CGCATGCAGTAGAACTAGGGCGGAATGGATAAAATGGAAGGAAGAGAGTGGTGTGTTTTATGACAGAAAGACTTCAATAATACTGAAAGGGAAATTCTAGAAAACTGCCATAATACCAGATATAATGAACTGAACTGAATGTTGGGCAGGTAAGAAGAAGGAAGAATAATGAATGCAAGTGGCGAATATGAGAATGCTTAGATGGTTGAGTAGAGTGTCGAATCAATAAGAATGATATAATAAGGGTATATGTCTACGGATGGTATCAATTATAAAGGGTGATTCATGTAGAGGTACTATTTTTGGTGGGGAATTGATTGGAGTTCGTGCATGAATACTGTCAAACTGACATTTCGCTTTGGTTCAGTATTGTTTGACATTTCATGATGGAAAGACAGCCTGACACAGCGTCTAGAAATTATTAAGTTGTATTTTTAAAATGAGAGTTCTGTGAGGAATGTATTTCGTGCACTTAGAACAATTTATGGTCCACATAACCGGCCTACCGAACGTACAATTCGCTTTACGATTAGTAAATTTGAAACCGAGTTTTCATTATTGGATAACACGCGACCAAATAGACGCCATTTAGCACGTACTGAAGAAAATATAGCGGCGGTAACGGATAGTGTACTCGAAAATAATGAAGAATCGATTCGTTGCCGTTCTCAACGGCTTGGCTTGTCATATGCAACAACTTGGCGTATTTTACGTACGGATCTGGGTTTAAAAGCATACAAAATTCAATAAGTGCAATAGCCGACCGACCTTCCGAGTCGTCACTGTTCCAGTCGATGGGCTCTTGACAAGCTTTCAGAAGATCCTCTATTTTCGATAAAAATTTTGTTCTCAGATGAGGCCCATTTTTGGCTTAATGGGTACGTTAATAAATAAAATGCCCATATTTGGGGTGATGAACAACCCAAAGAGGTTCAAGATTTGCCATTACATATTAAAAAATAATCTGTTTGGTGTGGTTTATGGGCTGGTGGAATCGTTGGTCCATATTTCTTTAAAACAGAAGCCGGCCCGAATATTACTGTGAATGGAGACCGTTATCCGTTAGCCATGATAACATACTATTTGGTACCTGAAATTGAAGCTCATTGTCTTGGCGACATTTAGTTCCGACAAGATGGTGCCACTTGCCATACAACCCTTCAAAGCATGGCTTTACTGCGAGACCGATACCGTGAACAAATTATTTCACGCTTTGAACCAGTAAATTGGCCGCCTAGATCCTGTGGCATCTCACCTCTAGACTGTTTATTTTGGGGAAACCCAAAGTCCAAAGTCTACATCAGGGCTTCCCAAACTGTGCGTCGCGACGCCCTGGGGCGTAGCTGCGTTGTTACAGGGGCTTCGCGTGTCAGCGCAGACTTTTAATACAGAAACTATATTTATTTGACTTTAAATAACTATAAAATATATGTATTAATAAATAAATTGAATAAAAAATATAACATAAAGTCGATAGACCCTTGATTTATCCAAAATTATTCCAAAAATTGTTTAATTCGAAAATTATCCGGTCGGCTCCCCTCCCCCGTGTTCCCAACTGTCGCTCGTTTTATGTCATTTAACTAAGCTTTTGTTTTGTTTTATTATGCGCGCGGATTTTTTGCTATCAGCAATGGATAATTGAATGAGCTGATGAAGCATGATGAATACATGATAACTGATGAAGCCATAAAAGACAGAATAACCAAAGTGGAACGAGTTATAGGTGCATTGAACGAGTTATAGTGTTGTGATGGATAGCATTATTAAAGTGGTGAACTACATTAAAATAAGACCCGTCAAATTAAGGTTTTTCCATAAAGTTTGTGAAGAAATGAGGGTTGAGGATACCTCTTTAATATTATTGCAACTCTTGTTGGCTGTCCAAACGCAGCGTACTCGCACGTGTATATGAATTAAGAAACGAATTTTACACGTATATATGCTACGAGCAAAGCCCGAAATTGGGCAATCCTAGCATTGTACGGAAATTATTGTCCACTTCTAGCATTGTACCCCCAAACTGTACAATGTCCGAAATGATCAAATTTCAAAATGATTATCGAGACGCTTATCGATTCGAATCGATTATTATTGACAAGCGACACGTCAAATCAAAAATCGAACATTTCTTGTTAATTATTTGATATTTTTTACTTTCTATTTTACATACAAAGTTGTACTTTTTTGAATCGACAACGTTATGAAATGCTGTGTCAAACTAAAATATAAATAAGAAGAAATTGTTCTGCCATAGAGTGATAGATAAAAGCACATAAAAGTAGGTATATACCTAAAAAGTTCCGTTGAAGAAATGAAGGAAAGTTTTGTATTTGGCAGTGTTGTCATGTCGTTTTAATAAATCGCGAAAGAGCATGCGATATATATTAATATTAATATTAATTAATTTTATTAAACATTATTTTTAAGTTTAGAAATAAAGTTCAATTAAATTTAATTTAATATATTTCAAGTTCCAGCAACTAACTAATAGATTAATTTAGGATTTATATCGTAATTGATGTTTGTTTGTCTTTAATATCAAATGGAGAATAATTATAAAAATAATCGATATATGTCATATTCTTCCAAACTTTGACGTATTGCTACTTATCGACTTATTGAAATTCGAACATTGTACAGCAATTCCTTTATACAAAGTCCGACGATTATGTCTATTTCGAAGATTGTACAGTAAAGGGGTACAATGCTAGAAGTGGACAAGATTTTCCGTACAATGCTAGGATTGTCCAATTTCGGACATTGCTCGTAACATATACATACAGAATCACATGAATATACGCAAAACTTTATTAATTCAAAGATTATAATAAAATTAGCATACACCTGAGACATATTTAAGAAATTTAATGATCTTTGCAGAGTAACAATACTCACTCATATCGTGCAATTGCCAGATAAAATTACTGGGTTTCAAAAGAAGTAATGGAAGAGAAAATTAGAAGATCAAGAAATTAACTGTTTTCCTGCTTTACAAAATATTCTACAAGAAAAATCGATAGAAATCCTTGCTCCCTCTTTAAAAAATATGTTTACGCAACAAATGTTATCATCGAACGAACACGTCGAGAAATATTTTCCCGAAGATATGAAGCAGTATGACTGGGTCAGAAACCCTTTCCTGTCATCCACGCCATTCAACAGAGGAAGAAGAACAACTGACAGAATTAATTATTCTATGATTCCAGCCTAAAGATTTCAATACGACAAGGACAAACTTTTTGCATTTTGGAGCTCACTTTCTCATGAATATCATGCCATCAGCACTGCTGTATTAAAAGTCTGCTACCATTTGCGACTTCGTACTTGTGCGAAACGCCTTTTCTGCAGTTGCAGTAATTAAAAACAAATACAGGTTAAACATAAACTTAGAAAAAGAAATGAGAGTGGCAATTTCTAAACTGGAGTCGCTGTTTCATAACCTGTGCTCAAAAAGCAAGCACATCCCTCACAATAATCAGCCACTTACATAAATAAATATCCCTTTTCATTTTTGTGTTTCATGTTTTATTTCGTTCTTTACTTTTAATAAAAAATATAAATGTTCAAATAGTGTTCAAAATTGGTAAGTATTATTGTGGGTTGGGTTGAGGGGGCGAGGGGGAGGGTTGAGTTTGTTAACTTAAAGAGCCTTTTTTCAGTCATACGCATTAAAATGTCTTCTGATATCCTTTACTTGCTCTTATTTTTGGCCAATTTTATCGCTTCTTTAATGTTAGATATTCATCTTTCTGTTCATGCAATCTGTGTTCTTTACTTCCTTTAAAGTTTTTGTTTATTTTTTAAGATATTTCCTTTTTTATTTCATCTATCTTTAACTGTTTTATCGTAAATATAGACTTTTAGACTATCTACTTAATGAATATGGAACAAACAGTATAAATATCAGTTTTCTTTTGTTTGTGAAAAATAGAGTTGGTGCAAAAATATATATACCTTGGACACGAAATAATTATTTCTTTTTCCATTTCTTTAATTTTTTACTGTTAGGATTCAACAAAGAAAGCTTGAAACATATTTGAAATATGTAACTACACGAATTATTTTATTGTACTGTCATTAGGAAAATACCTATCAATGATTATAATGTACATTAAAAGACATTATGTCATTAACTTTCACTTAATCAAAAGGAAATTATTATTTTTAATTATGAAGATACTTTAGTGAGTAACTATTAACTTCAGTATTACATTTAACATTAAGGTTTTAATGATTTAACTGTACATTAAATACAATAAATATTTGAAATATTAAACATCCAATGACTCATTAAATACTAAACATAGATAATGTCTATCATTTGCTTCTCTGTTAGAAGTCATTAACAAGAAACATTGGATGAAACCGTTGCTATCTTTGTTTTAATCTTTTATTTCCAATGTAGCCCATAAAAAATTTTTAAAGTTAAAAAATTAATACTCTCCAGTCAAACCTATGGAAATTTATTATATGTGTATGTTTGGTTGCCTATGCTACGGATAACAGGAAGTCGAAATAAAATCATAATTTCATAGTAATCATTTTTAATCATAAAATGAATATTACAAATTACATGCCTAACGGGGTATTACACTTTAGTGTACAAATATTTTAATAACAAAAATATTAATTGCTCTAAAATAAATCTAATAAAATTAAGTAATTATAACATTAATATCTACATTTAAAAGGCCCAATCATTTACTAAAACTTATTTTATAAATATTTATTAAGTTATTCGTTAATAACTACCCTAAAAAAATTATTACAGAAAAAAATTCTTATTCTTTTTATTTTAAAGCGACCGCCAATGAAGAACAGGAAACATTCACACGCATACAAATAAGGTAAATTCGTAGTCAATACATGCTCTGTTTTCGGTTTTAATCGTACCAATAAACTTATTACGAAATCTGGACGAACCAATGGCCACGTACGTCAGTGTCAAGTGTCAACCACCAATAAGCAGCCTTTAAATTATTATCAAAAAACAAATGAGTAATGGGAAATGGTGCTTGCTGTCGTAAGTGATTATTTTCAAGTAAACTTGAAAACCTGGCACTAATTTACACATTTTTGATATTTTTAAGGACAAGGCAAGTAATTTGATAAAATACTTGATCGATACCAGAACGAATCGCTAGCAGTTTAATGACAAAATGAGTGTGGATGCATACGGACCGAGCTCCCAAACACTCACGTTTTTGGACACCGAAGATGCAGATTTAATAGGAGCGGATACTCAGGGCTCCGAATGTGACTTTACCGATTTTACAATTCCCTCGCAGACACAGGCCTCCCAACATGACCATGCTGGCCCCAAAGTGTCTGGAGTACAGGTTAGTAGCTGACCAAGGTCATATTAGAGAACATTGACTGGTCACAAGTTACTTTTTTATTCCAACTCATTTTAGAAGCTCATTATTAAGTGAATAGTTCTCCCACAAATGTTAAATGTGAACATTGAGTCTGGACATATGTAAAAATATTTTATTCTTATCTGTTCAGTGCATTTTAAATAATTATGGACAATTTTCTAGTGCCTTTACATTCATTTTAGTACTATTTAATATCTGAATGTTTAAATAATTAGAGTAATATGCACTTCTGTTGGATCAGATATAAATTTATTTATATCATGTACTAATTTTCTTATCACTATTTTAATCCTCATGGTTTTATTGTCTATGCTTAATAAAGAAGGCTAGTAAAATACCTAATGTTACTGATAATTAACAGAATTAAGCTGTATTATAGATCATTAATCTTTAATATTGTTTGAAATATTAAATAAAAATACACTATAAACAGGCTTACCTGATTTTGACCTTATTGATACTATTTAATAGCTATTTATGCCCATAAATTGTCATTTTTGGTGCTAATTATTTCAAAAACATTAGTAATCTATTATAATACTAATTGTAACAGCTAAGGGATTATCCAACCTCATTACACATCCTAAAATAGCAGCCAATGGGCCTGGAAAACAAAGAATTAGTAAAATCTCTAATACCTATGTCTTTTACATAATTAATTGAATTGGTAGGGTAAAGGGCTCTTATCTTATTACAACAGTGAATTCACTGAACCCAGTATCAATTGTCTAGTAAATTAATGTTTTGCTATGTTGAATATTCTGCTTTTTTAATTAAAGAAGTTTGCAATAGCAATTTCAGCTAATAATAAGGGTCTGTAGTAGTTTTTGTGTTGTATGTAACAACTTACTAATTTGGTAGCCTATGAAACAGACTTTTTATAACCTTTGGAAAGAAGGGATTCTATCTAAACTGATTTCTTAAAAACCTTATTGAACATTTGATTATTGTTAACCCTTTACAATCTAATCCCAAATTGCATGGCCATGTTGTGTGAAAATTCCATCAATTTTGAAGGAAATATTGGATTATTAGTTTCACAATATAGTGTAAATCAGGCTTGTAACATAGTAGGATTGAAGTAAATGTTGTTAACCAGTTTATCTTAACCTGTTTCTTGCTATTAGCATTTAATATTCTGCACAAATTGTATCTATCTTCACAATTGTATCAATAAAGTAACAACCTTATCTAAAATCGGAATTTGTGTGAGAAAAACAGATTTCAGAATATACAGGGTTACACAATTGAACTGTTACCAACTTCACATCAATATATCAGGCAAATCGATAATGACAGCTACATCAAAGTTGGCCTGATAACACTTCAGTATATTGTTTATAAGCTGACAAAAGCATTTGCATTTAAGTTTTATACATACAACAAAAGTTATTTGCAATGGAATTTAAATGTAATAGTGTGATTACTTTATATTTGGTTGAAAAATCGCAACAAGCTATTGTTCGTTAGCTCAAACACCTCAAAGTGAATAAAATGTTTGTATTGCACCACAACTCGTTATAATGATACTGGTAGCATTGCCAAACGCTATGGTGGTGGATGAAAAACAAACAGTAACATCACCTGAAATGGTTCGGAAAGCGAAGGCTCAACTTGAGTGAAATCCACGTCATAGTGGTAATCAAATGGCCAAAGAACTGAAAATATCCCAGTGAAGCATGCATTGAATATTGAAAAAGGAGCTCAAGGTCAAGCCTACAAGTTCCCCAAAAAGCACACAATCTTTGCAAAAAAGCAAAAAAAGTTCAGCTTGAAATAGCAAAGGAGTGGTTACGCCTGCACGAATGTGGCGAATTTCCAAACAGTGTTCTCTGGTGAGAAAAATTCTCCTATTAAGCAGTTCATAAACTCTCAAAATGATCGTGTTTACTTGACCGAACGCACATATGAAAGTGTGTTCATCCAAAATGGATGTTCCAACAAAACTCGGCATCATCTCATAAAGCTTCATATCATCCACACAATTCGCCAGACGCAAATCCGATGGACTATTCTAACTGGTCCATTTTGGAGAAGAAGCTGAGGACTAAAAAATATGCCAGTAAGGATGCGCTGAAGAAAGCAATTATATGTGAATGGGCCACAATACCAGAAGATCACATTCGTGCAGCATGTAACTCGTTTTTTGATCGTTTGAAGGCCATAGTCAAGGCAAAAGATGGCCACATCGTGCTAAAGGGAGTGAATTCTGAAATTTTAATTATTTTCACACATTTTTATCATTTGAATCAATAAAAAATAATTTCCCACAAAAAAATTATTGTCGTTTGAATAGGTAACAGTTTATTTGCGTAACCCAGTATTTGTACATCATTTTAATTTGAGTTTTTTCGTTAAAAAAATGTATCCAAACTGAAATATAAGGAAAAATTGTATTAGGGATGAAGAAGTAGAGGCTTGCAAAGAGACAAGTTGATATCCTTTATGCCATTAGTTGTAATGACAATTGATTCTGACAAAAGTATAATAATTCAAAAAAGAATAGTGAAAGAATTTTGGCATAAAATAGAGCAAATAAATTTAAACAAAAAATAGATCAATTTGATAACAAAAGTAGAATAGTATGGTCAATAATTAATGAGCTAAAGGGTAATTCAACAGTGCATAGGGAAATTCAGATCCCAGCAGAAGGTAGTACAGTGGATAATAATGTTAATGACTATTTCTTAAACGGAGCTCAGATACTAGTAGTATCTGAATTTTCCACATACTCTTACGAATCATACATAGAACAAGAAAGGAGATCTATGTATTTAAGCTTTAACTGAGGAAGAAACTAGACCTTTGCACAAGAAATGTAACATGACACAAATTGTGAATTATCAGCCAATAACATTGTTGCCAAGTTTTTTGAAAATATTTGAACACTGTATGAGCAACAGGTTGATGGAATATAATTATGTTACAATGTAAAGTAGGTATTCAATAATCGTCAACATGCATAAAAAGGCAAAAGGAAGCAAACAGCCATGCATCAATTTACTCAAAGTGTCCTACAAGCACTAGAACAGCACGCAGCTATATTAGGGTGATTCCTAGGCATATGATTGTGTAAACCACGATCTATTACTGAAAAAACTAAGCTTATATGGTATAAATGGAGTAGCTCGTATTTGGTTCAAATCATTCTTATTAGAAATATCACAACGGGTAATTTTAACAATATTAAAGCTGAAATTAAATATATAAAACTAGGCAGTGCTCAGGGCAGTATGATTGGACTGATAATTTTCATTTAGTACATAAACAATGTGCTGTACTGTGTTAATAGTGATAATTGTAGTCTAATTAATTATGCTGTTGATACAAATGTTAAACTAGCTCCACAGCCCTTGATCCTTTATAGCTCCAAATATTTTTCGGGGTATCTTACACTCAAAAATTTACAAAAGTCTTTCATCCTTCTGCATTAGAGTCCATCTTTCTACCCCACATGTAAGGACAAGTATTATATACATAATATAAATGTATCTGCTTTGTCTAAGTCAGTTTTAGCTTTTTTTTCTATTTGAGTTTTTTTTTTTGGCTATATAAAAGATAAACTATTACCTGCAACTATTTCATATTTTTCATTGACAGATCGTTGAATACTTCTTTCTCCAAATAATTTAATATTTACCTTAATGTGCAATTTTTTACCTCTATCCTTAACAATTGTTTTCTATAATTTCGTTATCCCATCAATTAAATAAATAAAAACCCATTTGGTTTGTTTGTTTTTTCTTATTTTTTATAATTTTCGCTCTTTTCAACACACTTTTGTTATTATTTTGTAGGTTTTCCTTATTTCATCAAATATTTCACAGTTTTGTTTCTTAATCACCAAACATGTCTTACAGGACAGCTATCCAATTTGTTATTTGTTTTGCCTGTTACGAACCCATCAATGTTTTGGGTGGACCTGGCCTGGATTCATCGCTGAGACTGGAGCAACCAGGTTGGAATTCGCAATACCAAATAGTTTACTGATGTTTCATTTTCAAACACAGAAATCATTTCAGCAAGACACATTGCTGTTGAGAAAATTGTTAAAAAATATTACATGAAAATGTTTTTAGCTATGATCCATTTTTCAACTTGCTAATTTCAAAAATTCACTGTATCTACACGACTTGTATCACAATGAACCTCTCGATTTACGTCAAAAAAAAATTGGGGTTACATTAAGCCTTTATATGCAAAACTTAAAGGAACCTCATATAGTATTAACCAGATAAATCCAGAATACAATGAAATATTCACAAATATACATCATATAAAGTCACATTTGTAAAATTAATTTTCATTTTAACAGGTAAATAACAACATTGTCAACAAAATCGCAGCTACAACCAATGCTTTGGGAGAACTACAATTTGAGGAAGATGATGAAGAGGGATATTTCAATACTAAAGAACTGCCCGATTATGCCTGCAAGTACTGTGGCATCCATGAACCAAACTGTGTTGTTATGTGCAACCTCTGTAAGAAGTGGTTCTGTAATGGGAGAGGAAATACTTCCGGAAGTCATATCATCAATCATTTGGTATGTATAAAAATTTTTACTATTACTATTCTCTTTGTTTTTTTTTTTTCAATTGAGATATTAATTAATCCAGCCATTGTATTCCCCAGACTTAGCCCTGTGTTACTTTTTCTTGTTTAGGTAAGAGCCAAACATAAGGAAGTTACCCTCCACAAAGATGGGCCATTGGGAGAGACAATTTTAGAGTGTTACAGTTGTGGAGTTCGTAATGTTTTTGTTTTGGGTTTCATACCAGCTAAAGCAGATTCTGTAGTTGTTCTACTCTGCAGACAACCTTGTGCTGCTCAAAACTCGCTTAAGGTACACATATTTAATATCACAATAATTTAATTTTATAAATTTAAACTGCAAAGTGATTTGTACATGTTAAAAGTTTTATAATGTTTTTATTCCTTTAGGATATGAATTGGGATCAAGAACAATGGAAACCTTTGATTGCTGACCGTTGTTTTTTGACGTGGTTAGTCAAGATACCTTCAGAACAAGAACAATTACGTGCTAGACAAATTTCAGCCCAACAAATCAATAAATTAGAAGAATTATGGAAGGAAAATGTCGATGCCACTTTCCAAGATCTAGAAAAACCCGGTGTAGATGAAGAGCCACAACAGGTACGTAAAATATTTAAAATTATTATGTACAACTTCAAATCTACTTCAATTGTGCTTCAAATTTATTATCTATAATCATAAAACCACTAAGGATATATAACTTGATAACCAAAGATAATCTTCAATCTATTAATATTTTCTTTAGTTCGGCCAATCCTCAATACATTAATCTATATTTTGAGAACTTAAAATGACTAAAGTCATACGGTACTTTTACGTACTTTTTTTCAGGTACTTCTCCGTTATGAAGACGGTTACCAATACCAAAACATCTTTGGTCCATTAGTAAAGCTAGAAGCCGACTACGATAAGCGCCTCAAAGAATCCCAAACTCAAGAAAACATCGAAGTTCGCTGGGACGTAGGCTTGAATAAGAAAACTATCGCATATTTCACCCTCGCCAAAACCGATGGAGATATGAAATTGATGCATGGAGATGAATTAAGATTGAGATACGTTGGAGAAATGCACAAAACATGGGCGGGAGTCGGACATGTCATTAAAGTGCCCGATAATTACGGCGAAGATATAGGAATTGAGTTGAAGAACGGTTCTGGGGCCCCTGTGGATTGCTCAAGTAACTTTGTTGTAGATTTCATTTGGAAGAGTACCAGTTTTGATAGGTAAGATCATAATATTTAGGGATTTTATATTGATTCATGTATTTTAACTTCAATAGCCTTTATGACATCAAAAGCAACGCCTAGGAGGTAAAGTCAAAGCTTTTCACATTTCCTTTGCGTTCCAGTCGCTTCCCCAAGGCATTTCAAGTGCTTTTGACTCTTTGAATAAATCTTCATATTGCTGGGTCGATTCAAGTGCTGTTAACCTTTCTATAATTCATTTGTCGTTAATATACCGCTTTTGAGATTTCTTCAATTTTTCCAAACATTGTGAAGAAACTATTTCAGTTTTTCAGTGCTTTTGACTCTTTTTAAGCGCTTTTGACATATTCCCAGTGTTTAAATTCAAATATGGTTGTATAAATTAATCAAGACATTTTGTCCTCCCCCTGTATACCTTCGATCCCTATTCGTACCGTTCGGGTATGCTATGCATCCCGTAGGACACAAGCGCTTAAGTCGTTGAGCAGAATAGACGCAAGACACAACCCTCGCGAGTGCGTCGATGCATCGAAATCGGTTGGTTTTATAGTAGTGAATTATGGTACCTAATTAGCGGTTCGGTAAGTTCACCTAGTTTAATACCTTTGTTTGTTTTTTGATTGTTTTTGCAACCATTTAAATTTTATATTATTTGTTATTTGCACCTATGAGTGAAAGTTCATTTATCTTGCCAGAGCTATCGAAGGAATAGCTGGTATTAATCTTAGTACTATTAATTCGTAATAGTACATTATTTTGTTAAACCCCCACATTGGTCCTTCGAGCCGGATTTGAACTCATTTGTTGAAAAAAAATATTTTGTTATATTATAAATTTGAATGGTTGGTTTCGTCTTATGTCGTATTTTTTTATCGTTTTGAGGGTTGATTAAGTTGCGTCTCTTGTCGAAAGCTATTAACTTCGAGACCCGAGAATAATTTATGACCTTTTAAAGTGCACCATATGGGATTTTTTAAAAGGAGATTATAGTCGTTTTAATAAAGTATCGAATTTCAAATCATTAATTTCGAGCATTTCGGGGTTTTAGACAACATTTTTGTACATTTTTCGTTTGTATATTATTGGAATTTATTAGACATTGGCAATGGACAAGTTAGAAGAGAAAAACAGAAAGCTCAAATTTATGAGAAAGACTGTTTTAAACGATATGCAAATAATATTCGATTTGGGTTTTAAATCGCTCTCGGATATTTCGATCCGACCTTTATTTAAAATCAGGGTGGAAGAATTAGATTTAATACGCGATGAATTCTTGAAACACCACACAAATATAATTAGTAATATTCTTGCTGTACCAGACGCGGATACGAGGGTCGAAGAAAATGTTCGGGAATTATTTTTGGAACAATTTTATAAAATAAAATTATTTAGTGCGGAGTTATTTGAGCCACAATGTGAAACTCCAGAACCGTTTAGGTCGGTAGTAGTTCCAAAATCTAACATTCGCTTGCCTAAAATAGAACTGCCTAAATTTAACGGTGATTTTAAGGAGTTTAGTTCGTTTTTAGATTTATATAATTCGGTTGTACATAATAACGCAGGACTAGCAGAAGTAGAAAAGTTTAAGTATTTGAAAGGATGTTTAGAAGGGACTCCACTTAGTTTGATTCGTAATTTGCCAATAAATAGCGATAATTATCAAATTGCTTACGATTTAATTGTTAAACGCTACACAAATGTTCGTCGGTGTGCGACCGCGCATTGGGATGCGATCATGGGCGTGCCGAAAATATCGTTAGTTAATTCGAAAAATCTGGCTAAATTAGTAGACACGTTTTTAGAAAATTTAGCCGCATTGAAAACATTAGGCCTTCCGACAGAACATTGGGACTTTATTATGTTTAATTTACTTTTGTCGAAACTAGACGCGGATTCAGTAAAATTATTTGAATTAGAAAATAAATCGAATAAAATCCCGTCATTTCAAAAATTAGTTGAGTTTATTGAAACTCAGTACATTGCTTACGATAATTTGAATAGTAGCGTAAGCGAATCTAAGAAGTCGTCGCGGGCCCCAACTTATACGGAGCCTAAGGGTAATTATAAACATTCGAATGAGTCTAGGCATAATCGTAGTTCATCCTTTGTTACAAATTCGTCATTAGTAAGCTGTGCTTTATGTAAGCAAAGTCATTTTCTAAACCAGTGCTCGTTGTTTTTGAAGAAATCTCCAAAAGAGAGATACCAATTTTGTAAAGAATCTTCCTCGTGTTTTAGATGTCTTAATCAGGCTAATCATTCTGTCAAGTCGTGTCCAAAGTCCTTTAAATGTAGTAAATGTAATAGTCACCTTCATAATAGTTTGCTGCACTTCGATAGAAATCGTTCCAATAGTCAGTCGTCCACAGAAAATACTAATAATCCAGGGGCATCGGGAGTCGAACAGAATTCGCCTGAAATATCACATTGTGCTGCTAGTTTTGTAGGGAGGAAAAACGAAACAAAAAAGGAAATCTTGCTCGGTACCGTTTGGGTTCATGCAATTGATAGTAAGGGGTGTAAACAGCCCTTGAGATGTCTTTTAGATTCGGGTTCAATGAGTTCGTTCATTAGTCGAAAAGCTGCCAGTAGATTAGGTTGGCCTAAAACTCCTTGTTCGTTTGAAGTTAACGGACTCAATTCGATGCAAACGAAGCTGAATCAAGGTCAAATAAGTTTTTCTATCCAACCTCGTCATCAGGAGTCACCGGTGTTTCACTTGGAAGCTGTTATTACAGATCGGGTTTGCTCGGATTTGCCGAGCACCAAAATTGACATATCGACGTGGAATTATATCAAAAATTTAAAGTTAGCCGATCCCGAATTTAACTGTAGTCAATCTATTGATTTGTTAATTGGTTGTAGCATATTTTCGAAGGTGTTGTTAGAAGGTAAAATTGAAGGTAAAGCGGGACAACCTGATGCCCTAAATACCGTTTTTGGATATATTTTGTTAGGACCTACTAGCACACCTAATCTTTCGTCGACTTCGCTTGTTTGTCTTTCAAATATTGAAGACCCATTAGATTCTTCATTATCGAAATTTTGGGAACTGGAAAACATACCGGAAAAGCCAGTTTCAGAACCAGAAGACGCTCTGTGCGAAAACATTTATCGGGAAACACATAATCGGGACGTCTCAGGTAAATATGTCGTGTCTTTGCCTTTTCGTGAATCGCCGCCTTGTTTGCAAGATAGCTATGATATTGCTTTAAATAGACTGCTATCATTAGAACGTCGTTTATCTCGTCAACCAAGTTTGAAAAAAGAATATTCTTTTCATATGCAGGAGTATCTTGATTTAGGTCATATGCAGTTAGTCCCTAATGCCGAAAAGAAAAGGGGAAAGTATTACATTCCACATCATTGCGTTGTGAAACCAGATAGTGTTTCAAATAAAATTCGAGTTGTGTATAATGCGTCTCAGAAAAGTCCCAGTCTTGGCAAATCTTTGAACGAATATTTACTGGTCGGTCCTAAGCTACAACAGAACATAGTCTCGCTTTTGTTAAATTTTAGACTTAATCGTTTTGCGTTGTGTGCGGACATTCGTCAGATGTATCGCAATATTTTAATCGCTCCTGAACACACGGATTATCAACGCGTGTTATGGAGATTTTCTAGCCTTGAGGAAATTCAGGAATATCGTTTATTAACTGTTACTTTTGGAATAGTATCTTCGCCGTATCTTGCTTTAAGAACCCTTCAACAATTAGCATTAGACGAAGGCTCTCGTTTTCCTAAAGCCGTCTCGCTTATTCGTCATGCTTCGTATATTGATGATTTTGTTTTTGGTGCTTCGACTCTCGAAGAAGCACAAACTTTAATTGACGAATTAGTTACTTTGTTAAAGTTAGGAGGCTTTGAGTTACGGAAATGGTGTTCGAATGAACCCAAATTGTTGTCGCAATTTCCTGAATCCCATATTAATCCTCATGCCATTAATTTTGATCCAGAAGCAAATGGTCCTTCATTAAAAATCCTTGGTTTGAAGTGGATTGCACAGTCCGACGTCTTTCAATTTTCAGTCAAATTGCAAGACGTCCCTTGTACCAAAAGATCGTTTTTGTCCGAACTAGCTCGAATTTATGATCCTTGTGGTTACCTAACACCTATTACGTTTTTCATTAAACATTTAATCCAACAACTTTGGGCAACCGGTCTTAAATGGGATGATCGCCCTCCTTCGGAAATAATTCGTGTATGGGAACAATATAAGAGCGAATTATCTCTTATTTCACAATTCAAAATTCCTCGTTTTTTGAATATTTCTTCATGTCCCATCTTAGAGCTTCATGGATTTGCCGATGCTAGTGAAAAGGGATATGCTTGTGTCGTTTACATTCGTAGTATTGATACTCGTAACCTAGTTCAAGTCAATTTACTGTGTGCCAAATCGAAAGTAGCTCCTATAAAACAGATTACTATACCTCGATTAGAATTGTTAGCTGCTGTTCATTTGGTAAAACTTATGTCGTTTGTGTTAGAGTCGTGGAAGCATATAATATTTCAAAATGTGTATGCTTGGTTAGATTCTCAAATCGTATTGCACTGGATTAAAAGTTCCCCCTCGAGATTCAAAACTTTCGTCGCAAATCGCATTTCGTATATCCAGTCCTATAGTCAAAATTATTCTTGGCATTATATCGAATCTCGAAATAATGCAGCCGATGCGCCTTCGCGAGGCATGCTACCGGCCGCTTTTCTATCGAAATTAGACTGGTTAACAGGTCCTTCGCTTTTGTATAACATTCCATTAAATTTTCCAGAGGTTCCTCCCTCATTGCAGGAAAAATCCTCTTTGGAAGAGGTAAAGAAATCTTTAGTATTTGTTTCTACTCATGAGGAACATTTTTTGTCTTGTTTACTGAAAAATAAATCGTCTTTTACCTCGATCCAAAGAATTTTGGCTTTTATGTTGCGATTCGCGCACAACTCTCATTATAAAAGGTCGAAACGGTCAGGACCCTTGACTTTCGTAGAATTAGAAGACTCGTTGATTATTCTTGTCAGATTTACACAGGAAAAGTATTTTGAAGAACATCTTCAATCAAACTCTTTTCCTAAACCATTTCGTAAGTTGGGAGTATTTTTGGATGATAGCACTCAGTGTTTAAGAGTAGGTGGTCGTCTATCTCAGTCTTCGTTATCGTATGAAGCAAAACACCCGTTTTTGTTACCAAAGAAATCTCGCCTTACTACTCTTCTAGTTCGTTATTATCATGAGAAGTATTTACATGCTGGATTTAAGAGTACTCAATTTTTGATTAGTCAAAGGTTTTGGATACTGTCTTCTAAACAAGCCATTAATTCAGTATTGTCCAAATGTATTAGATGTTGGAAACAATCTCCCAAAAACTTACAACCCCCTATGGGTAATTTGCCTAAATTTCGTCTCGGTGCCATTAAACCCTTTTCGATTTGTGGGTTAGATTATGGTGGACCGTTTTCGATAACCATGTCTCGTTACAGGGGAGTTAGAACTCAAAAGGCCTATTTGTGTTTATTTGTATGTTGCGCTACAAAGGCTTTACATCTGGAATTAGCTAGTGATTTGACCGCGGAAGCCTTTTTGGCCGCTTTACAACGTTTTGTCGCTCGGAGAGGTCGAGTATCGCAAGTATTTTGTGATAATGGCACTAATTTCCACAGTGCTTATCGACAGCTTAGTAGCTTTATGGAGAGCGCTCTCGATAAGGAAAATATTAAGTTTTCATTTGCTCCTCCTGCTGCTCCACATTTTGGCGGTATTTATGAACGCGGAATTCGTTCTGTAAAGGAACATATTGGTCGTATAGTCGGGGCACAAATTTTGACTTACGAAGAATTTTATACCGTTTTGACGTTAATTGAATCCGTCTTAAATTCACGCCCTCTCACCCCTTTAACCAATGATGTTGAAGATCTCAATGCTTTGACCCCAGGACATTTCCTGACTCTTGAACCCTTGACATCTTTGTCTGTGCCTGATTTTTCGGAGGTATCCTTCAATCGTTTGTCCAGATGGCAGTTGTTACAGCGCATCCATAGAGACTTTTGGGCTCGATGGCGAAAGGAATATTTGCACACCTTGCAACAAAAGTGTAAATGGTTAGATCCTAGTTTTGTACCTAAAATCGGCACCTTAGTTGTTTTAAAGGAGGATAATTTGGCTCCGTGTAAGTGGCCTCTCGCGCGTCTTGTTGAATTACATGAGGGTAAAGACGGTGTAGCTCGAGTGGCTACCGTGCGTACGATTACCGGAACCTTAAAACGGCCTCTTGTCCGAATCTGTCCCGTGCCGATAGATGAAGATTAAATGGTCAGCATTTTTTTTTACTGATTTTGTTTTGTTCGGCTTTTATGAATAGAACCACGACAAAACCACCATTTTAATTTTAATTTTTTTATTTTTTAGTTTAAGTTTTGAATATTTGTTTAATATTTGTATAGGAATTGTTTGTAGTAATTATCGTTTTGATTGTTTAAGTAATGATAGTATTTAGAATTCGTTTTGTTTTTTAAAGACCTTATGGCCTTTAAAGGGGGGAGAATGTTTAAATTCAAATATGGTTGTATAAATTAATCAAGACATTTTGTCCTCCCCCTGTATACCTTCGATCCCTATTCGTACCGTTCGGGTATGCTATGCATCCCGTAGGACACAAGCGCTTAAGTCGTTGAGCAGAATAGACGCAAGACACAACCCTCGCGAGTGCGTCGATGCATCGAAATCGGTTGGTTTTATAGTAGTGAATTATGGTACCTAATTAGCGGTTCGGTAAGTTCACCTAGTTTAATACCTTTGTTTGTTTTTTGATTGTTTTTGCAACCATTTAAATTTTATATTATTTGTTATTTGCACCTATGAGTGAAAGTTCATTTATCTTGCCAGAGCTATCGAAGGAATAGCTGGTATTAATCTTAGTACTATTAATTCGTAATAGTACATTATTTTGTTAAACCCCCACACCCAGTGTTATTGGCAAGCTTTCAGTGCCTTTGGCATTTTTCCAGTTGTTTTTTATGCCCTAACGCTTTTGTCTAGCGCTTTTAATGCTTATCCGGTACGTTATAGAATAGGGATAGGTATCATTGTGCAATGGATTGGAAAATTGAAAAAACAATATTTTTCGTGGTACCACTAAATTTATACCTAAGAATCAGAAAATAATCTCAGGTTTATAACGATCTAGCGCCAATGAGCGATCAGGAAGCGTGTTCATTGATTTGATTGTAGTTGATTGTCTATCTTCTGGTAGTAATTAGAGATATCAGTATTACTTTATCTCTCATTGGTTGAGATTAATTACTTTTCAAATAAAATACTCTGCTTTGTTGATATGTAGTTACATGGCAAGCAGCAAGCATTGGTTTATTTTGAACCATCTTCCAGATTTATTCTAACGTGGCTGGAGGTAATAATTATTTGTTTATCGTGTGGATTATGCTACTACTGAAAATAGCACCGACTCATTGTATTGATGAGACATAGGAGATATTTTACAATGACCGATACTTATTCCTGGCACAATGAGTGCGACTAAGGCGAGAGTTTAGCCTTTCTTTTAATTCAATACAAATGCTAAGGTCCATCCTTTCCTGCAGCAGCGACATGGCGCCCAACGTGGGGCATTACAATTATTTGCGTGGATAACAATTATTATTTTTACTCATACTTGTATGAGAAGTCATGTATTTATTTATAGGCCGTGGTCTGGAGTTATTTTTTTATATCTACTATTTTGTTGTCGGAAGTATATTTTTGGTATAAATCAAAAAGTTCTCTTAATTGCTTTCAGAATGCAGTTGGCCCTTCGAAAGTTCGCTGTCGACGATGCTTCAGTTTCTGCTTACATATACCATCGTCTATTAGGTCACGAAGTGGAGGAAGTTTTATTTAGATGTCATCTCCCTAAACACTTTTCGGCTCCCAATTTACCCGATTTGAACCGATCACAAGTTTATGCCGTGAAGCACGCACTACAACGCCCTCTATCGTTAATCCAAGGTCCACCGGGAACTGGAAAGACTGTAACATCCGCCACTATCGTTTACCAACTTGTTAAACAAAATGGAGGACCGGTAAGTATCAGAAATATAATGTTTCTATTATACTATTGTTTCATACGCTATTATAAAACTTTCGGCCTTTTTCTTATGGAAAAGAAATTATTATTGTAGTTTTTGTTTGTAGCGTCACTCTATTTATTTTAGGTTCTAGTATGTGCTCCTAGCAACACCGCTGTCGACCAACTTACGGAAAAAATCCACAAAACTAACCTCAAAGTTGTCAGATTGTGCGCAAAGTCGAGAGAAGCAATTGACTCCCCCGTTAGCTTTTTAGCATTACATAATCAAATTAGGAAAATGGAAGGCAATACAGAACTACAAAAGTTGCAACAACTGAAAGACGAAACGGGTGAACTGAGTTCTGTAGATGAAAAGCGTTACCGAATGTTAAAGAAAATGGCTGAGAAGGAACTGTTAGAAGCTGCCGATGTTATCTGTTGTACTTGTGTAGGTGCTGGTGATCCTAGACTGGTCCGACTCAAATTCCATTCTATATTGATTGATGAAAGTATGCAGGTGAGTTTTTATTGGTTAATCATTATGTTCTACACTCTAAGCGCAGATTTGATAACTTAGAGTAAACTAATTCTGGAGAACAATGTTAAAGTTCATGAAACTCTAAATCAATTTATTCTACATCGCCAAGTGCAGGTTTTTTAAGTTATAGAAAAGTAGTTTGTCAGGAGAACAATTTGAAGGGTTATCAAAATATAAATCATTATATTCTTCACCCTAGAGCTCAAATTGGTTAAGTTATCGAGAAGTATTTTTTTCAGGAAAACTGTTGGAAACTGCACCAAACTAATTACTATTTATAACTGGGAATAAGCCACAATTAAAGATAAAAATACGTTTATTGACGTTTCAATTTCCAATTCGGAAATCGTTCTCAAAATACAAACAGTAAATTAAACAAATTTTGTTTTTTGTTACATAGTGAAAAAATTCTTCTAATAATTTAATTTTATCTGACTCATTTATATTGACAATTCAGACATACATAATGCATTTTAAAGTAGACGACTTTAAAATGATATTGCCAATATTGTTGAGTTGCGCTCCTGGGACGACTTTACTTATAAGATAGTTCATTCGATTACATGAAATCAACTTTAACTTGAGAATATCCGTCAGAAAAAATCATAGCATGTAATTCGTCTTTAAAAAGACAAACACATGACATGATGACAGTAAAATTCTCCTGTTAGTGATTCCATAGTAAATTATGAGGGAAAAACCAGGAAAAAAACCTCATAATACTATCCCGACATTGTAAGTATTTGTTTGTGAATTTAGTTTACCTTCAACAAACATCAAAATTCTGATTTTATATGTTACGTTATTTAAAAAATATAAATGATGTATCCTCTATATGTTACTGACTTACTAATACTGGTATTTTCTTATTAATAACTTCCTCTTTCAATATTGGTAACCAGATCCTACTACATTCTGCCGAGGAATTTGCGACACAATTGGCCTCATTTAGCATAATTAGAGCCGCTTCTTTGATTTTTCTTTTTTTACCATCCGTTTCTTTTAGGACTATATTTGAATTATTCCATTGAACCGTATGTTCATTATCCCATGCGTGTTTACATATTTGAGATCTATCAAATTCCCTATTTTTAATATAAGATTGATGTTCACTTATTCTAACATTTAATGGCCTTGATGATTCACCTAAATAAAACTGATCGCATTCACAAGGTATTTTATAAATGCAATTCTTTGTCCTTTCTTGTTCATTGTTAGGTTTGGTTTTGGACAAAATAGATCTCAACGTGTTTGTTGTTTTGAATGTTGTTGAAATGTTGAATTTATTTCCTATCCTTTTAAGTTTTTCTGATAATCCTTTTATGTACGTTATTGTTATTTTCCTCATATTAGGTTATAATGCACCAAACTGTAGTAACTAACTGATTATTATCCATTTTCACACTTTAAGTTGGCTGATGGGGTCAATATGGCCCCAGCCTTTTATATCTCTTTTCGTTTTCTTTGTTATAATTTCATATTTTATTGTCAACTTTTATTTTCGCTTTTAGCAGTTTCTTAATCCAGTCTTTATTAACTCCATTTATTTATTCTCTTTTTAACTTCGTACAGACCATCCATTGCTTTCCCAAGTTTAGGATACAAGTCTCGACGTCTTTGTGACTTATGCAGCCAGACATGATGACCTACTTGGAAGCTTTCATTCATATAACGAGAATTATATTGATCTTGATCGTCGTTAACTTTATTTGGATGACTTATTTGTTACCTGTGACATTTTCTTCTGAAAGTTTGCAGCTGAACTCAATGTCACGCTTCACAACCTCACACCTGACACCAATGTAACGATAGTTTAAAAAGTTCGTTTCATTTGATCTAAACAAACTTCGTACAGACCTTTCCATTGCCTTCCCAAGACACCAATAGTAGTTTAAAAAGTTCGGTTCATTTGATCTACACTATTTATTTACAACTTTTATTTATTTGTACAAGTGTTTCTTAAAATCCGAAAGCTAAATTATCTGTCGAAATATCAAAAGCCTACTTATATACTCATACAATAATTAGCTTCTTAAATCGTCCATAAATCAAACAGAAATAGGTTGAGATTACGTCATTGATGAATAGATTGGATGATTATATATTTTGCTTTCTTTTTAGGCTACCGAACCCGAATGTATGGTACCCGTAGTCCTCGGCGTCAAGCAGCTTATTCTCGTAGGTGATCACTGCCAATTAGGACCTGTAGTAATGTGCAAGAAAGCTGCTAGAGCCGGTTTGTCGCAGAGTTTATTCGAAAGACTGGTAGTACTAGGTATCCGACCGTTCCGTCTAGAAGTCCAATACAGAATGCATCCAGAACTATCCAGGTTCCCTTCCAACTTCTTCTACGAAGGTAGTTTACAGAACGGAGTTAGCGCGGAAGAGAGGAAGCTAGCGAAAATCGATTTTCCTTGGCCTATTCAAGACAGGCCTATGTTTTTCTTAGTTACGCAAGGCCAGGAGGAAATTGCCGGGTCCGGAACTAGTTATCTGAATAGAACTGAAGCTTCGAATGTTGAGAAAATTGCGACTAGGTGAGTCAGCGATTGAAATTGCCTTTGATATATAATTTCCGATCATGTTTCCATTTTTTCGAATTGCAAACTCGAAATATAATGCAATAAAGTAACCTAATATGCCTTTATTTAATTTATAAAATAAAATATATATAATATTTTCTGATATTTACTCAGAAAATTACATGAAGTAGAAAGAGTAGCACTCTTTATGAGTACTTGAAACCAATTCGCCAAAGATTTTTGCTTAGATGAAGAGATATGTTATGGAATGCAACTTTTAGAATCTCCATTATGTCTCTTCCATCTTTTAGAATCGTCAGCGATTTATTATAGCATCCATACTGAAGCTACTTTCGACTGAGAACATTTGTTTTCATGTTTAGAGCTTCTGTACCAGTCGCTTTGAGGATTCCTGTTAGGATGAAATATATTTAAATGAATATACAGAGGCACTATACATGAAATCAAATTTTAACTGTCTTTCTCTTATATTTTTTATATTTTATGGAACTAAATATTCAGTTAATGCAAACCATTTATTACCAGGGTTTTCCCAGTAAATATATTTCACAAGGATAAGTTTTCTCTATCTCAGGCATCTATAAAATGAGAAAATAATTAATTCATTCTTAATACTTGATTATTTTTTTAATAATAGCCGCACGTCTATGACTCGTCGATTTCCTTTCCTCTCAGACACGCAAATGTCTACATTGAAAATGTGACTCACTCGCTACAATTGTGGTACTATAGTCTGCACGGATAAAAGAAAGTGTAAAGGATGTTATAATTTTGAACGGGAGTATTGTCTTAAAATGATTTTTCTTTTACAGATTTTTAAGATCGGGCGTAAAACCCGAACAAATAGGTGTCATTACCCCGTACGAAGGTCAAAGGGCGTATTTAGTGCAATACATGCAATACCAAGGATCTCTGCATAGCAAACTTTACCAAGAAATCGAAATAGCTAGCGTAGACGCTTTTCAAGGTCGTGAGAAGGACATAATTATCATGTCTTGCGTACGTTCCAATGAACATCAAGGAATAGGATTCTTGAACGATCCTCGTAGGTTAAATGTTGCTTTAACTAGAGCCAAATACGGAATAATAATTGTAGGTGAGTAGCATAACAAATACAAGTACACTTAAAGTTTTGCATAGAGACATCTAGCGGAAGTTACTCGATTTACGTTGTAAAAAATATTGACAAGTTGAAAATTGATTTAAGACGAAAAACTTAGTTTTGGTGATCATCCTGCATGCGTTCCTCACTTGACACCGTGTGATTTATTTACGAGAATCAAAGTAAACTACGCGGTAAACGTGTTAAGACGTCATATGAATAGAGGCGTACAAAAATCTTATTTCTGAGAGAATTATATCGGAATGCTATAGTGTATTGATCTTAAAGGTAGATTCTTCGACATACAATAGTTAAACTTTTAGTATGCACCTCGTATACAATTATACCATAGGAATGTTGACTTCATTAAAATAAAAGTATACTTTTATTGCAAACGGTAGTTCCCACGATTAACAACCTAAAAAACACAATATTTTTTTGTTCATCAATTTCATTTTTATTTAATTATTAAAATGTAAATATATCAATCGCAAACCACGTGACAAGGACCACGAACCAAATTGCATGGCGTCATTTATTCAAAAACGTCATTGATGTCAATGTCATAAATTGTTCTTACAACAGAATATGGATATATAATCATAATCATCATTGCTATTTATTCTTAGTTAAAAATATCATTAAGAAACTTTGTTTACTTTATTGCTAACCTAAAAAATCAATTTTCGTCTTTAAAAACATAATGTCTAACAAAAAAAAAAAATAAACCAATAATAAAAATAGTATCGAAATGATTTTCACAAAAATACATTTTAGATTATCTGCAGACCAGTGCCAGATGTTCGCGGGTGCACTAAAGTCACATTTTCTATTATTTTTCGAACGTGTGACACAAATAAATATTTTTTCGGGTGTATTACTTGTACTAGTTACACATTGAGGTACCCCGCAAACACTTGCAGAACTTAGAATCCATGTTTTAATATAAAATTGAGAAAAAACTTCATATTCTGGTATTCAAATTTCATCTTTTTTACTCATGTTATAGGAAATCCCAAAGTGTTGTCCAAACAACCGCTATGGAATCATCTGTTGTCTTTCTACAAAGAACAGAAAGTCTTAGTCGAAGGTCCACTCACGAATTTGAAGGAATCGCTCATTCAATTCGCCAAACCTAAGAAGTTGATCAATTCTGATAATCCCGGCTCGCACTTTATGACCACTTCTACGTTTGATGCCAGAGAAGCTATGGTACCCGGAAGTGTATATGACCGCAGTGCTAACCAGGTAAGCCATTTTTAATAGATAATGTATTTATAATCATGAACAGAACTTGGCTCATTACTACTTGAAAAGATAAAAGTCTAATCTAGCGCATTATCTACCGTAAAAATACGAAACTACCGCATGAAGATCAAGACGAATTGGTTACCGGAAGATAAGTTATAGCGCCCATTTGGCAATGCTGCCATCTTTGGTTATTGCCTCAACGTATTCGTTGTACCCTCCCCGTTACAACGAGCCCTCGTACGTCACGATCGACCAATAGAAACAAAGATATGACGTAATGCCTTTTGCCGTGCTCCTGTGCGCACGGCACATACTGCGTTCAACCCCATTTTTCATCCCCTTTCCAACAATACCTCACACGTCATCCTATGTTAAGCCGTTTGGCAGTTGCGATTTAGGATGTGCCAGAACGCTCCTAGACTATCTACTCCTACTGTTTATTCATCGAGCAAAAAGATAAAAGAGGGAATGTAAAGGTAGTGGGGACAAAAATATTGTTAGACAGGAAGTGCGATCTTGAGAGGCCACTTTAAACAAGGATAGACAGTCTCTTTCCTTGTTTAAGAAGTCAAATTTAGTTTGGTTATGTTATTGTTTGTCCCAACTGTCACATGAAATTTTATTTATATTGAAGTTTTTTACCAATTGTGTCACTTTTTAGACTATTATCGTTAATATTTACTCAAAACTTTCTTGTCTGAAAAATATTTTACAGCTATTGTTAACAAGTGTTGGAAAATTTAAATTTAGCGCCTTTGCATTTCCGGATATGCCCGCCATCAGAGGCCACTTTTTTGGTCTCCTTTTCATAACGATTAGATTCCCTCTTTTATCTTTTTGCTCGATGTGTTTATTGCTTCTTTGTAAGTGTCCATATTAGCTTTTTACATAAAGGATAAATGATTAAATAAATGAACCGTTTTTGTACTATAATTTTGGTAAAAACATATTATATAAATGGAGTTCCTTCTTAAATTGCTCTAGTTGTACATTTACTACAAGTAAATACATTTTTTATACCTTTTCCTGACCAAAAATTTTTATTTGTAGACAATGAACGGGCAGTTCAATTATCCAAGCCACAGGGGCGTGCCATTAGACGTTTTTGGTAGAACTCACGATCCAATCAGCTACATATCACCTGAACGTGCTCAAGCCAGTATGAACCTACCAGTACCGGTTGGAATGTTCATGAACATGGCCCATATTCCTCCCAGATTCTACAACCAACACCAACAAGCGTTACAGGTAAGAAAATTTGTAAATTTTTATTCATATTTGAGAAGTTTTCTTTGTTTTCTGTAATTTAATATGTTGTAATTTTTATTTAATTTAGGCTCGACAGCAGCAAAACCATCGCAACAGAAAACCGCCTCAGAGACAGAAGGGCAAAGGCGGTAATCTTAGTCAAGATCACACCCAACCATTCAGTCAAAGTCTACAACTGACACAAGGCATGTCACAACCTGGTTTGTCTCAACCTGGCTTCAGTTTGAGTCAACCTGGATTATCACAAGCTGAACTCAGCCAAGATCCCTACATGGCGGAATACCAATCGCAAATGGATGGATTGTTGTCACAAGATTCTACATACCAGGGAGATAGGTGAGTGACATATTTACACATTGTTTCTATAGTGCTTAAGATTTCTTAATGATGTATCTTCTCCTTGTTTCTACACTGCTTAAGATTTCTAACAGATATATGTTCCCCTTGTTTTTAATTTTTTTTTATTTAAACATAAAACCACATCAACTGCGCAGGGTTATTAGTGGATATAACAAACACAAGAAATATTATTCCTTTCCTAACTATCAGAGTGTTTCTGGTTGGTTTTTTATAGTGTGTATAATAGGGTCTTAGTTTATATTTTTTCAATCCCTGTAGTGCATTTAATGAGTCTGTTATGATAATGCACTTCATTGTTCTACTCTTTTTGAAGGAGATTGGGGCTTCCAAAATAGCTGTGGCCTCGCCTGCTAGTATACTGCACTTTGTTGGTATCGATACGCTATTGGCGACGTGCAAGTACTTGAATGTGATACGAGAAACGATCGTGCGCGAGTAGCGGAGAAATCTTGCATTTTTTACTGCAAATTTCATAGATTTCATAAATTCATATTGTCAATTGTCATATTTCATATTCGTTTGTTTATTTACACCTTCTGTCACTGAAGAAAATGGGATTTAGGAAATGCTGTGTTATAAATTGTAAAAATACAACAAAAAATTGTCAATTTAAGTTTTATTCGTTTCGAACTTCGAAGCATAAGTAACATAACCTAAATTATGCATTTTCTTCCACCCGATTTTAAAGTCAGTTTGAAATAAATAATAAATAAAAGTTCACTTTTAAGTGTAAATTTTAGTTTCATAACACTCACTTAGAGTTCATTTTAACCCAAAAATCAAGTTTAATGTTTAAATTTTATTTTTTTTTAAGTTTACAAAAACGCATCAGGTTCAAGTTTTTGTGAAGATGCATTAAGATATATTCGCTGTCCAAAAGTTAACAGGGAAAGAATTAATTGTTCAAACCAATATCATGATATCATGGGCTTAACCTGCTAATTTATGCATTTATGCATTAGCATTATTTATGGTAATTTATTTTTATTTAATTCTTTCACATTATTCTTTCATTCTTTTTTGACATTTGCCACTACTAAAGCTTTTCCATTTGACTCAGATCTTGGTTGAAAAGTTATTTGGTGATTTACTTTTTCAAATCTAGTTTTTATTATTGCATCCATATTAACAGTAATGCTGTAATTTAATAATATATTTATTTGTATTTACACTACATAGAACGTTTACCTTTTAATAACATACCGACATAACCTCAATCTTACTTTTTCTTCATATTCTTTTTTGGGGCTACGTCCTTGACAGTTATCCGGTAACCTCGATCTAACATGAAATCGCAGTAAATTTTGCTGATTTACGACACCAGGTGTCGCTGTTCCGAACTTGCACGGTCCCAATAAGAAATTTCTTTACAGTACTAGGCAACAGCGTGGCCATTAAGAGCTTTAGATGCATCGATAAAGATTTTGAAATAATTAGGATAGTGGTCTAGAATTTCCATAAATAGATGTTTAATTATTGTGGAATTGGTACTTGATTTGGGATATTCTGTAAGTTTTAAGTCAATAGTTAATGGGAGGCTTGTCTATGGGGGATAGTTTCTATTTATATTTAGCGATACATCGAGTTGATTCCTATCGAGAGTTGTGAGCTTTATTCTTTCTATGAGGAGTGTAGAGTTTTTAGTCATTTTGTTAGGAGGAATACCAGGGTTGCAAATGTGGAAGAATACAAGATACTGTTTCTGGGATGATATCTTTGCAACCTGCGAAAATGGTTTAACTTAACCACTACCGGACTTTTCAGGGCAGCAGTCAACAAAGTCAGAATAGCCATGTTAGTATCTCAAAATTCGTAACGGATATGCACCATAAGAAGAAGAATCTCTGGAATATAATTCAAGGATAGTTCCTGTCGTCTTATATGTCATGGAGGTTCTCCAGTTAAAGCTTTCATACTACTAACCAGACTAGTTTTAAGAGTACCTAGGGCTAATCTCAAAGCTGTAGATTGAATACTTTTGAGTTTTTTTTAAGTGCTTTTACATGCAGCATCGTAACATATACAACCATAATCGATTTTAGTTCTAATGAACGATTTGTAAAGACTTATTAATATTTTATAATCAGCACTCCAAATTTTATTGAATAATATTTTGAGTATATATTTAATCTCTTTTGGCAGGAAAGCTGTAGTGTATTTATGTGCGAATTTGAATTGAATGTTCTTTCAAAAGTTAGACCTAGAAATTTTATTTCTTTTGACTGCTCTAAAGGTAAATTATTTAATGTTAGACTAGTGGTGAGGTGTTCCCGTTTTTATCGTCTAATTATGCAGCCGGTTTAGGAAACTAGATAATTTTTGTTGCTGTCATTACATTATTTGATTTAGTATAAACAACAATTGCATCTGCGTAAATACTAGCTTTAATGGGTGCCTTAATTGCATCCATAATACTATTAAAAGCGATTAAGAATAAAGTTAGACTAATGCCCGATTTCACCGACGATACCTAAATATTTAAGAATTACCTAAGCGGGCTTAGGTACTTCCTAACTCTAAAACGGATTTCACCATACGCTAAGAATTGCCTAAACCGCTTAAGCATTACCCAATGGTATGATACATTTTGCGATCTCCCTAAACAGTTTAGGTATTGCTTATAGTTAAAAGTGAGGTTATGTTTTAACAGTTTTGACAGATGTACTTGTGAAATTTGTCAATAATTTGCTTCTTACCGTAATTTGTGTGTTGTTACTCTATAGTTAGTTATTTTTGTATTATTTTATATTAATTAATTGTTGATTTGGTACTATTTATAATATGGAAGCACTACAGTTTATCGAAAATCTAGATCGATTCGATTCCTGATCTGATTCTGAAGAAACAGAAAGAATACCTCAAGTTATCAAGAATCGACCAAATTATTTTGAAACTTTGGACGATGTGGATTTTTTTAGAAGATTTCGAATGTTTAAGCCAACAGTTTTATTTGTGTTGAAACAAATAGAAAATGATATTCTACCTAACAAACGGTATTTTCTTTCAAAAACCCATTCACGATTTCATTAAAAGTGTATTATTAAAAATATAAAATAAAAAACAATTTTCAAGATATGTTTTATTTTAAAATTATTTCAATAATGACAATAGAGCTGGTGACACTTCTTCATTATCTGAAATTAATATTAGGTAAAAAATGTATTATACTGTATAACTTAACATTGTAATCAACTCATTTTTAATTGTATTTAATATGCTCTCCGCCTATTTAATATGAAATTTACAGCACTTTTCTTTTCCTCAATTTCACTAGACGTATATACATAATTTACAAAACTAAACAAACCTTATTTACAAATAACTAACTTCTAATTAAAATAACTATAACACGACAAAACTGAATAAAACCAACTTGGAAAAGAAACAATTCAATAACAAATAAAAAAGTAAGGTTATGACTTAGTAGTTCAAACGTACCCAAAGTAATACCTAAGAAAGAATTTCCTAGATAAGCAGTTCTTTTAGTTGTGAAACGCTAGTGTTCCTAAGTCTTGACTTTTTCTTGTCGAAGGAAGTTCTTTTCGATAAGAATTACTTTTGAAGGCAACTGTTTAGGTATCGTTGGTGAAATCGGGCATAAGTATCGAACCTTGAGGGATTCTTCTCCCAATTTTGGGAATTGACTTTGACGCAGCATTATAAATTCCCTGTAAATAGATAATAAAAAATAAAAGAATTCACTTATTCGCTTTCTAATATTGTATATGTTGCTTATATAATATTATAATTTTAGGTCAGCCTTCTACCAGCCAAGTGCCCAGTTCTCCCAGCCCTATTGATCGAGTTCGGCAGAAGAATGACAATAGAATCGCGGGAGCGGTCTTCTGAAAATTTGCAAGTGAATGAGATCTGATCGTCAAATTGTCAGTAACGCAGCAAAACAAGGTCACAAGATGTCGACAACGGAATAACATAAAAAAACAAATTCGACACGAAGAGAGATATTACACACACAATAATAAAACGTAAAAAAAATACTAGAGAAGCGAACACGGGAAGTGAGACGCGTGTTGCGCATTTCTCCATATTTTGTATCCTCCAAATCGAAAGGGGGAACGAAGCTCTTCCCTGTAGGTGACGTTTTCACACCGCTGTGACTAAGATACATTTATTTACATCAATTGTAACTTATTTTAAGCTTTTATTTTAAATTTAATGTTTTTTATTAAGTTTATTTTCTGTTGGGCGTTTGTACAGGGGGTTTAACTGTATTATTTGGGAAGAGTTTGGTAACAGAATAAGTAGAACGAAGAAAATGGTTTAATGTTTTCCTAAATTGATGTAGTCCTTTAACGTTTATTAGTTTTTGCTTCGAGTGGTTGCAATGTGGATCAGATATGAATTATCTTGGTTTGCTATGGTATTTTAGTGGTTGAAATGTTAGATGAAGGCTAAAATCACTTCGATGTTGTTCGAGTACGTTAAGATGAGACATTACCCTAAAAACTACAATTTAATGAGGGCGTTGGATTGTTTTAGAAGGTTTTGCAGTGCAAGAGGTTTCACATAACACTCCTTGTAGAAGTAATCAACGAAATAACTTCTGAAAACCTCCTTTTATCCTAAAAAATCGAAATCCTTTAATTTTATAGAACTGAAGAGAACTTTACTTGATCTTATTTCATTATGATTTACACAGTATTTACTTATCAGGGCATATTTTACCTCCCTGTGGCTGTTCTTGATATTACGGTGCAACTAACTTCAAATGATCAGGTAAAAACAATTTTAAAAAAATAATAATTGAGGCAGTAGGTAGAAGAAAGGCATATCTGCTAAAAGTGTATTTTGAGAAACAAGCAAAGATTTAACATCCATGCCTAAGGCGAACCAACACTTGCATTGTTTAAGTGTTTTAGTTTTAAGAATTTTCGATCCATTCTCCTATTTTTGGATATAGGCCTCCCCTTGTTTGCTCTACTGATGTCTAATCAGAGTTTTGGTCTTGTAAATTACAAGTCATGCACATAGCACCTTTATACTTTATTTTCTTAGCCCTAGATTAATATTTCTGGTTAATAAAACTTTTTTATCTTAAAAAATTCTCATCTGGCTTTCTATGTGACATATTTACTTCCCTTTTGAGCATATTTATTACTTCTTTCCTACCTACCGACATTTTCTTACACAACAAAAGTTTTTTTTAACATTCAACCTTATTCTATGCAACTTTGTACATAAGCCTTCCCTTGTTTTTTCCACTAGTGTCGTTAATTATTATCCCACTTTATTATTAAATAGTACCTGAGAATGACTGCCTTTAAACCTCACTTGGATCAAACTTTACCTTACTTTTTATTTCCTTTGCGGTTTCTGTGTAGCATTTAAACTGATTAAAGTCAAATTCCAATCTAGCAACGAAAAATTCTACGAACTGGCGCAGAGAATAGGATAAATATGTGAACATTCATAGCAGTGGCTTTCCAAAAATATTTATCCCTGTCTTTAAATTCACATCGTGAAGATATCACAAGAATTAGAGTGGACAATACAATAAATATGATAAAATCTGTAGCAGTGGCGTTCCAAAAACATGTATCCAAGTTAATTAAAAGTTCCAAGTAAGATTATGTAAATTTCGTAGTTATTTTAACACTAAAAGCCAAAATATTGCTCGACTACTTTATAGAACCTCTATCATACTGAATAGGAACCAAATTAGTGACTTTTTTCAAGCAACTGTAAGAATAAACCACAAATTTTTATGTATTCAATAGTGTTTTTGAATATTTTTTAAAATAGTCTATAAATTATCAATAATTTTCCAAAGACTTCCAAAATATTACGGCTAACATCCCACCAATAAGTAAAAAAGAAACAAAGTTGTTTCGCTTTGGTAGAGACGTTATGTCCCAATCAGTAAAAGAATGAATACAAGTTTGTATAGCTTTATTTTTTATTTTTCTATTTCGGCATAATTGTCAGGGGTTAATGGTTTAACTATTGTATTACTAGAATCATATTATGTTCTTGTTTTATTTCGAGCAAATAGTCCGTTTCGAGATTGAAAAAACTCGATTTGTTTATTATCGCCATCACTCACTGCTTTTTTGTTTTGGACTTTTCCTGCATACACCGAGCAATCCACGTAAAACTGGACGTTTCTTGTGAGTCAAATTTATTTCAAAATAAATAAAATGTTCAATGTATTCAAAGGTTTTTTATTTAGATACTTCCTTTTATTCCTATCTTATACGTGATACTGGATTATCTGAAAGATGCTAAAAAATGGAAGAGTTACAACAAAAATATGATAACCATTACGTATACAAGAAAATTAAATAAGAACTAGAATTAAGGGCTTATCATAACGTTTGGGCTTGTTTTTTTAAGTCTGCAAATGTTTAAATATCTGCAATTTTAGAACGCTGACGACATGCACATTTTGCCTTAATCGTTTGGGACGAATGTACAGCTGGTCCCAAAAAAAACTGAATACTCTTGAATCTAGAAAATTCTGCAATGTATTTCAGCTCCACATGCTAGCAAAGAACTAATATCAAGAACTGTAACGAAATTAGAAGATGGTTGGTCACTATCTGTCGTTGCGAACCATTTTAACGTAATCAGAACAACAGTGTATAATATTAATAAAACAATGAGAGAACAAAAAAACTCTCGAAAGAAAGCAAGGTTCTAGAAGACCAAAAATATCTCTCGCTCATGAAGATCGTACGCTTTTGAAGAGATTAGAAGAGAATCCTTTTGAAGATGCGAAAACTGCAAGAATTATGTCACAGTTTCCAGAAGAAAAAACAACAACTTAGCGCAGAATTAAAGCATCGGTTCTTATGTACTGAACTGCAACAAAAAAAACAGCCCTTACACCACAACAGAAGCAATTGAGACTTATATTTGCTTTAAACCATCAGCTACACAATCAAGATTTTTGGGACAGTAATATTTACAGATAAGAAAATTTTTCAATCTTCTATAAAGGGCAAAATTGGGGTGTATAGACCAGATAATAATAGATCTAATCCTTTATATGTTAATAGATATCGAGCAACTAGTTATTTTAGTGCCAATGTATGGGGATAGATTTCATCTAGAGGACTGGTATGGCGTATTGATTGCAGGTTTGTTGGGCATACTTATCTGAATGTTCTAGAAAACATCATGTTTCCCAGTGTAGAACAGTTGTATCCCGAAAATAATTTTATCCTCCAACAAGACAATTGTCCTGTTCACACTGCAAATATAAACCAGTAGCTCCAGAATAACATTATCCATGGCCCAGCTACAGTCCAGATTTAAAACTCAATTGAGAATGTGTGGGGGGTTATTATATAACAGGTTTGGAAAGCTCTCTGAAGAAGACAATTTCATAATTACGTTCACGCAGATGGACCCAAGACTACAAGCTGTTATCAATGCTGATGGAGATATTACAAAATACTAATTTTATTTATACATACCTAAATTTAGTATAGTTTTGGTCTTCCAGACCCTTGCTTTTTTTTCGAGATTTTCTTTTTCCCTCCATTTTTTATTAATAGAAAAGCTGTGGTTATGTTAAAAATTTTTGCTGCTTTTGATAGTGCCCAGTTATCTTTTAATTTCTTACAATTCTTGCTTTAATATATTGTTAAGTCGTTTGTTTTACTCCTTAATAATAAATAATAGCAACAACCCTATTTTACGTAAAAAGTATCATTTATAATATTTATATACTCTTTATAAAATGCAGGAATTATCAAAATGTATTTATTACAAATTATGAATTAACATTATGTAATCAATTGTTTGTTGTTTGTTTATTTTATTGTCTGTCATAATAAATGTAATATAATCTCAGACCAATCAAATACACTGCTCACAATGGTCAAATTTTACTAAGAGTCATATCAGTTTTTTTTAGGAACCAGCTGTACATTATCCCACAAGACGTCATTACAGGCACTGGACAGAACTTAGAAAGATATTCGTGACAATCAAAAACATTTTTGGTGTAGCCATGATTCTATTGACAGACTTTTTTTTGCCTTGGCCTTAGGATATCCTTGCAACATCCTGGTGAAATGAAATTTTTATTTTCTTTGGTAGTTCTAGAGGGTGTTTCAGGACTTAGGTCTAAAGGAACAGAGTCTACAGCCGATGGTCCTGGAAGGAGGTTATTGAAGGACTCCTCACTCCTCTTCTACAATTTCCATAGGACGATCTGTCACTGCCGAACCAAGAAACTCTCTCTTAAAACATTTTGATTAAAGGGACATATCCCTGTTTTTTCAAAACCTGACCGAATATTTTGAAGTACGATAGCTTTATCGGTGTGTATCGTGTGCTGTACCAACCAACTCAGGGTTATGGTATATTGTGATGGGCGCTTCTGGATGATTCAGTAGAAAAGCCAAACATGCAGCATTATAATATACCTTGAAATGTCAAAAGACAGTCACATCTAAGGGCTGGAGTTTGTTGCTACTATGTGGGGGCAACATCAAAATATGGACATCTACTTCTCGAGCCTTCATGATTACTTCCACTGTAAGGTGGCTCTCGTGGTTACCAAATATTAGCAGCGACAGATTTTCTTTGGAACTGGTGCTATATTTTGGTAAAATGTTCTAATACTTGTAAAAAAAGTTCTGCTGTCGTCGAGCCTGAAGGATTAGCTAGTTCCAAGGTACCAAGAGGTGCTCCATTAAGCATATATGCTCCTTAAAGAATGTACGTGAAAACACCATCACTGGTGAAGTGCCAAGGGCGGATATTATGCAACAGGTGGTAACTAATACACCATGTTCACCACCAGTGCAGCTATTTACTTGTTTAATGCCTTTCACAAGTTTTTTGGAGTTTCACTTTCACAGGTTTTGCGCTAGTCTCACCTCAAGATTAAAAATATGTGAACTCTCAATTAAAATAGGATATTTGTTTAGGATGTTTTGAAGATAACTGAACCTTGTGTTGTTGAAAGAAGTTAAGCGTGCCAAGCTACATGCCTGAGGTTGTCATATACTCAACTTTTTTCTTTTCAATAATGCACGAAGCCAGTTGATACCGCCCATTCTATGTTCTCTCCATGATTTTGGTACCTTAAATTTGTTTACTTTAGCTACATCAAATGCGATGCGTCTTACAGCTACGATGGTTAGGCTGTACGCCATATTACTGCAAGTTTTAATGTAGTTACACAGAATACCTTTGATTGGGATTTGGTCGCATAATGATTGGTAAACTTTCAGGATTATTTCTTTTCTGCTGCACATATCTGAAGGATTTGAAATTTGACATCAAATTGTTGTGCGGCTTGTCGTAATGAACATATTCCATCAATGACAGCATTGGACATCTGTTCAGCAGACGTCCGGCCAATTTTGCGTGGAACATTTAGTTTTCTAAAAGGCACCAATATTCAGCTGAGATCACTCAATAACTGCTTATAAATGTCGCAACTAACATTAGTGTAAGTGTATTATATAGGAATAGGCATGTAATGTTAGGACGGTCTTTAAGAGTAGTTTCAAAAAGAAATATTTATAAACAATTACTATATTACATCTACAGTTTCGAGAGAGTTCAAAATAAATTCTTGAGGGTATGTGCTTACAAAATTGGTTTTCTTAGACAGCAATACCCATATGATGATATACTGTCAATACTAAATATCTCATCACTACATGATAGACGATGTCAAGCGGATTTATGTTTCCTTTTTAAAGTTATAAATGGATATGTTCAAGATCCAGAGTTACTAAGTTTAATAAGTTTTAATGTTAATACTCGAAGAACTCGTAACACTGAGATTTTCAACATTCCATTCCACAGTACGAATTATGGCCAAAATGAACCCATTACAAGAATTTTACAAACTGCTAATGAGCACAGCAATAATTTAGAGTTATTTGGAATATCTACAGCAGCATTTAAGAAATCATTTGAGCAATTTTGAGCATTATTTAATACCTTAAGTTACCATTTTAATGGAATTTTGTTTGATTTTAATTTTGGTTTGTTTTTTATTAACGCAACCTATGTATACCTAAGCTTTGTAAAGGTTGACGTCATATTTATGTAAAAATGGTATATCTGTTAATTAAATAAATAAATATATTAGCATTTAGATGGTACAAATAAAACATATTAATATTTAAAAATTTTAAGTAAATATAGCTAAAATGAAACCATATTTTATTGAATAAACTGGTATTTGTTTTTTATATTTAGTAGTTTAATTTTATTGAAGTCCATAAAATGATATTCTCTGTATTTTTTACACAGCCAGTTATAAGCTTTTATATTGAGGCACTAACCATGTTACCAAAAAGATTATGGATGTCTATTTCTTTCGTTGATTTAATTATTTAGTGCAGTATGCTCTTAGCATTGAAGATTCCATCTCAATCTAATTTACATTGGGAATTCATGATAGTTTTTGGCAGTATTGTCTTCATACTTCAGCAATCTTGTGGGCATCTGTGATTGTTTCTTATTCATAGTCATTCATATTTGTAGTTTGACTTTTCTAATTTAATAGAATTAATTATTAAATAAACTGTATATTTACACTGCTGGTTGGGTCTATTTCCTGTTTTAATTTTTTAGATAAACATAATATGACCTGTGATCACTTTTTCTATACATATTTATTTATTATATAGTAAAGTTGTAGGTAGGTATCTTATGTACCTATATATTTTTGTTATTTTTTTCATGTTTTTACTACATGATTTTCCCTCATATCATTAGTTATATCATCCATTTCTGATATAACTTTGCACTTACTTTACACTTTTTATCTTGTTTAACTTTTATTTAATAGTAGAAATTGGTGTTCATAAACACAAAATATTATGTTTTATTGTTTATTTTTCATAAATTAATATCACAATACATGGTAGTATAATATATAGAAGCTAGATGTATTCACTAATTATAAAAAGACATAGATATGTAGTACATTTAAAAAAAATATACTTACTATAAAGTTTAAAAAATAGTTTTATTTTTTGACAAATCTTTTGATAATATTAATGCCCTACATTGTTTATATTATCAAGTTTCATTTGGATCTTTTCCAAATTATTATACAATTGTTGAAGTTCGTTCTGGTTAAATTCCATGAATATTCTCTCTTTTTTACTATTATCAACAGATTGTGCAAGTTCAAATTGCATTCGTCCAATAGGAACACTCTGCTTATTATTAATTTGATCTGCAACCTGAATATTTAACTCCCAAGAAACATTTTCAAGCTTCATTCTACTACTAAAATTACCAAAATCTTCATTAGTGTGATTACACCATATCTTCACAAATTCTTCAGCCTTTTCATCCTCAAATTCTAGCTGTTCACATAGCTGCTTATATAAAACTGTTGGTTTAAGAATCACTTTACTGGATTGCTTAAAAATATGTGAAATTGACTGCACTAGAAGTTGCAATGCATCCTCAGTTAACTTCAATGAGTCCTTTAGTTTTTTCAGTTCTTCCTCTGTAAACGGATTCTCGCCTTCAGCTTCAACTATGTGGCCCAAAAGTAATTGAAATTTTTTTGTTGAGAGAGAGTTTATTAATTTTACTCCATTTTTTAATCTAAAACATAAGATGAAATAATATTGGTGTTTACTTATAAAGATCTACTAACCTTTCATTTACATTAATCCATTTTAGATTCATTATTATCGTGTTTATCTTCGTTTATGTTCTTGTTTAATTGCTAAAATAGAAATTTGTAAGTACAACACAAACTATAAACTAATGAAAATTGAAAATATTTTCCTATTTTTTGTTGTACTGTATATTCGAGTGCTTATCTATGGACTGGAGACTGGACTGACTGGACTGGATTAGTAAGTTATTCGTTATTCATACACCAACAAAACAAGACCAGAGAACTACTAGTTCTCCATAGTACATACTAGTTCTCTGAGTCTCTGACAATGACAAGACAGTATACCCACAGTACATAGCCATCTAGTAAGGTAAGTCCTATAAAAGATTTGGAAGAGAAGTTTCAGCGCGAGATGCGGACGGGCCTAAACTAATTTAATTTGAGGCGAATTCAAAACTTAGGTTTTGAATTTTAGGCAGCAAAATTCACAAAGTATGCTTATAATCACAGTATAATATTTCTTTAGCAATGGCAATATACTGTGCTTTTAATATAAAGCATACGGTTGAGTTTACCGAAAGTACAAGCTGATTATAGCCGCAAATGTCAAACATGGAACAAAAAATTTCCGGTACAGCCACAGAATAGTGAACAATCAGAATGCCCACTCTGACAGGAAGTAAAGGTGGCTGTGCCACTCTCCATGGAAAATTAAGTACGCGCAGACGTTCCGCCATGTTTTAGAGGGAACAAGTGTTGTTTATGTGGTGTGTATAGACAAAATTAACCCGGTTTTAATTGACTTACGGCAATCATAGATATACCATACAATTATATTAACATTGTTAAATATAATAACATAAATATAATAGAATTAAATATAAATATACACAATGACGTATAATATACGTTATTGAATATAAACTAGATTCTAACTCGATGATATAAACAATTACATAAACTCACAAATCATTATGTCTGTGTTATGTTTCCTTCTAAAACATGGCGCGCGTGCTGAAAAACTTCAAAGGCGGCTGAGAGTGGACATTCTGATTGTTTATTATTCTGTGGTACAGCAGTGTTGGCATGTTTTTATAATGTAGATGCTTCAAATATAAAATAAAAAGATGAAGCTTTAGAAAAATACATTTTGTATATATTATGTTATGAATTCAGCAATTTTTGATTTATATAAAACAACAATGGGTAAATGTTTGTTTCTTTGGAGATTAACTGCAGTTAATTAGTAGAAATTTTTTTAGCAATTACTACATATCACTGGCAATTACCCTTTGATAGATTAGAGGAAAGATTTAGCAATCGTCAAATCAGCAGTTGCCAGATTACAAAAGATGTTAGCAATTAATCTCGAAAAAGACAAATATCTACTCGTTATTGCTTCATATAAATTAAAAATTGCAGAATTCATAAAATAGTTGACTTTAGCCGCCGAAAATTCAGAGCATATCTTTTAATTTGCCGCTTAAAATTCAGAACCTCAGTTTTGAATTTGCCGCTAAATGAAATTAGTTTTGGCCCGTCCGCATTTGGCGCTAGAGACTCTATCTAAAATCTTTTTATGGGACTTACCATGCTAGATGGCTACGCACTTTGTACAAGGAAAAGCAGAAAAATAAGGTTATGATACATTTAATTATTATTGGTTATGGAAATCAAAACACATTTTTAAAATGCCTGCGTTTAAGAGATTAAATACTAAAATATATCAAAAAAGTGGTCCGGTGATCACACCTGATTATATATACTGGAAAAAATTATCCGTAAGTTAATAAACTATAACACATAACCTTTTTTAACTTTTAAACTTTTAGGTTCCAGTCTTGGTAAAAGAATTTGGCCCAATAGATTACATAGATTTTTCTCCAATAGAACCACATCATTTTGCTGTGACATGCTCAGTGCGAGTACAAGTTTACAATCCAATTACCAAATTAGTTGTTAAAAATTTATCTAGGTTTAGAGAAAATGCTTATGGAGCAGTGTTTCGTTCAGATGGTAAATTAATATTAGCAGGAGGAGAAGAAACAAATGTGAAGTTGTTTGATGTATCGTCAAAAAGTTTATTAAGGTAAGGAGTTATTTTTGTTACATCAAAGTATATCTTGAGTAAGGTAATAGTATTGCAATACTAAGACCAATTTTCAAACTTTTATTATTAAATATTTCTTACGCCATTTGATAAATGCCACACTTGTTTTACTCTATTTTTATATACTGTATTGTGTGTTATTGTGTTTATTGATGTGTTATACCCTTTTTATTTATTTATTATTAAAAAAAACTTACAAACACCACCTAGGTACACCAAACACCACCCTTACAAACCTGTTAGCTAACTTGTTTCTGTTTTTCCTAGTATTTATCTCCATTCAGTTATTCAGGTTCATCTGGTTCAATGGCTTTATTTTCTTAATCTTTTTATAGTATTTTAATAACCTGTGTGACAGTTTTTTCTTAACAACATATTTATTATTTGTAGGTTATTCAAAGGACATACTGCTCCTGTACATAGAACACACTTCCTCCATGGCAAACCACAAATTTCGACATTCTCAGATGATAAAACAGTAAAAATATGGGACATTCCAACAGAAAAAACCTTATTCACCTACACAGGTCACACTGACTACATAAGAGCAGGAGCAACATGTGCTGCTGTTCCTGACATAGTGATCTCTGGGGGATATGACCACAAAGTAAAAATGTTTGACACCAGGACAGAGAAGGAGGTAATTACAGTTGACCACGGAAGTCCAGTGGAGTCACTGCTCTTTCTACCTGCAGGAGGAATATTTTTGTCTGCTGGTGGAACAGAAATCAAAATTTGGGATAGTTTGGCTGGTGGAAGACTTTTGGGGAATATTTCTCAACATCATAAAACTATTACCTGTCTTCAATTAGCTTCAGATAATAAGAGATTACTGTCTGGAAGTTTAGACAGACATGTGAAAATATATGATGTTTCTACCTTTAAAACTGTACATACATTAGATTTTCCTAATGCAATCTTAAGTTTGGGTGTTTCTAAAACTGATGACACTCTTGTTGCTGGGTTAGTGGATGGTTTAGTGTCAATTAGTAGGAGGGAAGAGGCAAAAGAAGAAAAGAAAACTACTAAAAAGGTTTCTGCTTATCAATTTATCAGCAATACGCATCAGCCTTCTGTAGATACTGTTGTTAATGAAGTTCACCATGAAACAGAACGAAAATTTGAACACCACTTAAGGAAATATGAGTACTCAAAAGCCTTAAATAGTGTGCTTTTGCCATATGTTGTAAACAAGAATCCACAAAATACAGTGTCCTTAATACAGGAACTAATTCGTAGAAGGGCCTTAGACAGAGCTTTTCAGGGCAGAGATAAAAAATCATTAACTCAAATCTTACGATTCTTTATTAGGAATATTACTGACAGCCGATTTACACGAGTACTTATAGATGCTGCCAATATTTTCTTTGATGTCTATGAAAGTAGTATTCACACATTACCTCCTGAAGTTGGAAAACTTTTTATTGAGTTAGCTGAAGTTCTTAAGCAAGAAACTGAATTGATTAACAATTTGGCTTCCATACAAGGCATGATGAGCATGCTTTTAGCTAGTCAGGTTACAAATGTTGCTGAACCAACTGGTAGTGATAAAAAAGGACATAATCTTGTACCTAGTAGTGACGCACAAAAGAATTTTGTTGTAACAGTATCATGATAATAGGATTTTGTAGTTTTATATGAATAAAAATATATATTTATAGTGTTGTTTTTATAAATATTTTCGTGAATAATGTCATACTTACGCAAAGATACAGGGGATGGACTGTAAGTAATCATGTGTTATATCCATCCAGCAATAAGACAAAAGAGGGAATGTAAAGGTAGTGGGGGTAAACCATCGAGCAAAAAGACAATAGAGGGAATGTAAAGGTAGTGGGAGCAAACATATTGTTAGACAGGAAGTGCGATCTTTAGAGGCCACTTTAAACAAGGAAAGAGAGTCTCTCTCCTTGTTTGACATCAAAATTAGTTGGGTTATGTTATTGTTTGTCCCAAATGCATGGAGCAAAAAGACAATAGAGGGAATATAAAGGTAGTGGGGGCAAACATATTGTTAGACAGGAAGTGCGATCTTTAGAGGCCACATTAAACAAGGAAAGAGAGTCTCTCTCCTTGTTTGACATCAAATTTAGTTTGGTTATGTTATTGTTTGTCCCAACTGTCACATGAAATTTTATTTATATTGAAGTTTTTTTTACCAATTATGTCACTTTTTAGACTATTATCGTTAATATTTAATTAAAACTTTCTTGTCTGAAAAATATTTTACAGGTATTGTTAACAAGTATTGGAAAATTTAAATTTAGCGCCTTTGCATTTCCGGATATGTCCGCCATCAGAGGCCACTTTTTTGGTCTCCTTTTCATAACACTTAGATTCCCTCTTTTATCTTTTTGCTCGATGCCCAAATGTCACCTGAAATCTTATTTATATTGAAGTTTTTTAACAATTGTGTCGTATTTTAGACTCTTATCATTAATAATTAATTAAAACTTGCTCGTCTAAGACACATTCTGAAAAATATTATATAGCTACTGTTGATAAGTGTCGGAAAATTTAAATTTCGCGCATTCGCATTTCCGGATATGTCCGCCATCAGAGGCCACTTTTTTGGTCTCCTTTTCATAAGGATTAGATTCCCTCTTTTGTCTTATTGCTCGATGGGGTAAACATATTGATAGACAGGAAGTGCTATTTTGAGAGGCCACTTTAAACAAGGAAAGAGAATCTCTTTCCTTGTTTAAGAAATCAAATTTAGTTGGGTTATGTTATTGTTGATGTTATTGTTTGTCAAAACTGTCACATGAAAGCTTATTATGTATATTTTCTATTGAAGTTTTTTAACAATTGTTTAACAGTTTAGACTATTATCGTTATTAATTAATTAAAACTTTATTGTGTTCTAGTGTTAAAAAAGTATTTTAATAAATAAATAGATATATATATATATATATATATATATATATATTATATATATATATATATATATATATATAATATAAAATATTATGTAATATAAAATAAATAAATAGAAAAATTAGAACCCCTACACCACTGTATGATTATTGTCAAGTGTCATGAAATTTAAATTTGGCGCATTTGCATTTCCGGATATATCCGCCATCAGAGGCCACTTTTTTGGTCTCCTTTTCATAACGATTAGATTCCAATGACGTATAATATACGCATCGAGCAATAAGACAAAAGAGGGAATGTAAAGGTAGAAGGGGTAAACATATTGATAGACAGGAAGTGCCATCTTGAGAGGCCACTTTAGACAAGGATAGAGAGTCTCTCTCCTTGTTTGACATCAAATTTAGTTGGGTTATGTTATTGTTTGTCCCAAATGTCACATGAAATCTTATTTATATTGAAGTTTTTTAACAATTGTGTCGCATTTTAGACTCTTATCATTAATAATTAATTAAAACTTTCTCGTCTAAGACACATTTTGAAAAATATTATATAGCTACTGTTGATAAGTGTCGAAATATTTAAATTTGGCGCCTTTGCATTTCCGGATGTGTCCGCCATCAGAGGCCACTTTTTTGGTCTCCTTTTTATAACGATTAGATTCCCTCTTTTGTCTTATTGCTCGATGAATATACGTCATTGTTAGATTCCCTCTTTTGTCTTATTGCTCGATGGTTATATCCCTTAGTTGCGCCAAATGTAGGCAACTTACAGTTACTATTTGCGTGCTATCCTGGTTTCAATATTGTAAAATAAACGAAATCGCACACTATACACAATTGCAAAAAGTAATAAATAAAAATATATTCCAGTTGTACGAAATATACAAGAATCACTTATAAAATGAGAAAACATAAACAAAGTACAATAAGCCAATTGACTGTTATACGAGTAAAATCCGGTACTCTAGTTTAAAAAATAGATGCAGAAAAGTAATTTTCTGAACAATTGTGTATGTTGTACTGCCTATCTATTAGTCGACGTAGACAAATGACAACTATTAGGATCATTCGTCTGACGTCTTTTGTCACTTTTATTTGTTGTGGTTGGGACTTGGTAAAGATTCATAAATATTCTTTACAATATAAATTCATGGATAAACCAAGAGCTTTTCAAATAAAAGACACTAATAAATTATTTTAGGGAGTTGCTTATATAATAAAAAGCAACATGTCTAAGACTTTTATGCTCCCGATATTTGGTTCTTCTCCATCTTGTTCTCTAAAGCAAAGACTAGAAGATAGAAGAGCTCGTTTAAATGCTTTAAAAGCGGAATTAAATAAGAAAACTGAAAAACCTGAAGATTTTATAACGTACGAAGACAGTGATAGTGATGAAGAACCCTTGTCTGTTCAGAAAAATATTTTAAGCACCTCATATAATTTTGTTGATTATGTTCGGAATAGGGAAATTCAGTATTCAAAATTGAGTACTGTAACTCAAGATTATGGCAGTAGACATATGTTAACGCATGAAATGTTCAAAGAGACTCCAATTAGTTTAGGTAATATGAATAAAGTGTTTTGTTCAAAGTGGTTAAGTGACAGACAAGTTGTTTTTGGAACTAAGTGTAATAAGGTAGAGTATAACTATTGAACATTCAAAAGGTATTATTAAATATGACCTAGTCATTTCTTGTAAATAATTTCAAATTTATGAAGACAGAATCGACTAAATTGTACACAAACCTGTTAAATTTGGGGATTCACTATTTAATTAAAGACAGAGGTTATCAGATGTCTACATAGATTTTAATTATTTAATAAATACTTTAAAAACTGTTGACATATCCCTATTATATTGAATATATCTTTTGAATCACATTCCAAACAATTTCTGAATTTTTTTAAAATCCATAACAAATATACATTGCAAGCAAGGGTTTTCTCTCAAAATGATATTGTAGTTTTCGCATGAGCTATAGCAATTTTAGTTTGAATTGAAAATCAATAATGATTCTTTGTTTTTATGAATAGTTAATGGTATATGATGTAGTCACTCACAAAATAGATCAAATACCATCATTACTCAGTAGAAGAGATCTGTTAGGAAATGACCAACCGCAAAGTGGAATCCATTCAGTACAAATTAATCCTTCAAGGACTTTACTAGCAACAGGGGCTCGAAATACTTGTGATATTGCCATTTATAGGCTACCCACCTTAGATCCTGTTTGTGTTGGAGAGAATGCTCATAAAGACTGGGTAAGTATGTAAAAAGCTGTGTAGTAAATGCAAAACCTATGTAGATTTAATGTTTAATCATATTTTGAATCTAGTTGTAAAGTAAAGGTCAATAATAAAAATTAATGTTGATTTCACAGTATTTGTCTATTTTAAGTCCATGGTATTCATCTTTACAAACAAACTAGACCTTAAGGAAAGACATCAAATACAGATGTGCAGTAATCAATAACTGAAGTAAAATATAATAATATACATTTCAGATTAGCACAGATTGCACCCATATACTTGACTAGTAGTGTCAATGTTATTCCTGCTGGTCATAAAATCATCCCAATTTAAGTTTATTATATTAAGCGTATGACCTTTTAACTTTCAACTATTGAAATGATTTTTAAGACATAATTTTTTAAATTTATTAAGTATGAATCATGGTAGATGCAATTTTTTAGGTTTTTGATTTGTGTTGGCTAGATGATGAGTTTCTAGTATCTGGCTCTAGGGATACCAAAATGGCTTTGTGGCGGATAACTCCAGAAGTACAAGAAACTGCAGAGGAGGTACCTAGGCACAAGTATATACAAGCAATATCAGTGAAGGACTGTAGGGGTGCTCAAAAAGTAAGATATTGCTGTATATTATTTACCCAGTTTATCACTTTTTATATGACAAAGGTAGCAATATGCAACTTTCAAGTAGATACCTCAGAGTCTATGCATACTCATCTGTTATCTTTTCCATTTTATTTACTATTATTTGGATAATATCTGCTAGTTATTTATTTCCATTGGTTCACTCTTCTTTGATCTCTATTTGCAAACAGAACTAAGCAAAATTAAGTAAAATTAAATTCAATAAACCTCATTAAAATTAACTAAAATTATAAAAAAATTATGTAAACTCCAAGTTATATTTTGCAGGTACGAGCAATCACTTTTAATAAAAAATATGACGAAGTAGCAGCTTTAAGCTTGAACGGATTTATCCATATTTGGAATGCGGAGACCTTTAAACAAAAGTTATCTAGAAAATTACCTTCCGCCCAAGAAAATGTCTGCTTAGCTGTTCAAGATACAGGACTTTATGCTATAGGATGCAGATCATATACTCTTCTTCTGGACTGTAGAACTTTACAGGTATGTTAATTGTAAAATATTCCTTTTTTATTGCTCTACGAATGATTTTTTATATTATTTATATCGTAAATGCTCAAACAGTTGATTGAGATCAACTTGTCACAAAAGGATAATTTTTTTCCTAATTAGCGTCCAAAATTTATTCTAGTAACTGATTATAAACACATAACTGTGAAGAAAAGCTATAAATGTTATGAAAAATGTTTATATTTGTGAGATTTGCACCTCTTTTTTGAATAATTGTTGTGCAAGACTTTTATAAACATTTAAAATAATGAAGTGGTTTCTATTGAAATCACTACATGAAACTACCATAACAGCCAGTGGCCAAAACAAAAACCACTCCATATTTTTTTACAAATGTTAAAAAATATAAAGTTGAGCATATTTGGATCTGATAGAACACTAAAATTTTAAAAGAAAAATTTAAAAGTATAAAAATTCTTTGTTTGTCAAAACTAAAATATGACACACTTAAATATTTTCCATATAACATATTTTTAGGCTGTCAAGAAGGTAAATTCGAGATATTCCGGATGTGGAATCAGATCAGCAAGCTTCCAAGGTGATGTCCTCACAGTTGGTACTGGTTTGGGTATGCTAATGTTCTACGATCTCAAAGCTGGCAAATATCTCGACTCTAGCATTAATTCTTCTAGGACCGTAGTACTGAAAGCTAGTAAAGGCTATGTGGTAAGTGTTTAGAAAGTGAATTATACTTTGGTTGCATAAACGTTCATCAAGCTTCCCATTAAACTCAGATTTTGGGATGAATTTTTGACAAGGTTTTGAGTCCTTTCTGGAGTCTTCATTAGGACTTCCGCAACCTCAATCTCGAGTCTTTTTTTATAATCAGAATTTAACCAAAACACTTGCGAGATATGTCAATTCTCCATTCACGAAATGGATGAATGAAATTCATCCAGATGAATGTGTTTCGTTAAAAATTAAATTTTAGAAGAATTAACTAATGTAGAGCAAATGAATTCACAAGAGTAAATGAACTTAACTGACTTTAGTGTACAAGTATTTTTAAAAAAGTCTAGAAAATTTTAACAAAATAAAGTCATAAATGAAGTCATAAAAAGTGCAAGTGAACTACTGTGGACAAAAGACTCAAATTTCTTTACTTTGAAGCAAATTCTTTATTTTTATCGAAAAAGTAGTTCAAATATTACAATAAAAAAATAAAAATTAATAAAAAAAGTACAAATGAAATAATATGTGATAAAATATATCGCATTTCTTTCTAAACAATGTGGAGGAGGTGATGTTCTTAACTATTATTAAAGGTACCTAAATAAAGTTAATAGCCAGAAATTATTTAGTAATCAGTATGGCAAGATGTATGTGTTGTCTATTGATTTCTTGGTATTTGAACACAGCATATAAATGAGCGTTTGTGCAACCCGCCGTTAACTGTTGTGTTAACTGTATATCACAATTTTATATTTTTTACTAGTTTCCTGATGAAGAATTTGTCGACAATGTCCAAAACGTTAAATATGTACCCGCCATCTACACACACTGTTACGACAACAGTGGGACACGACTATTTACCGCAGGAGGGCCTTTACCAGCAACGTTAACAGGAAATTATGCCGGAATATGGCAATAGAAGATTTATTTTTTAATTAGGATATGTATATAATGAATATAATTTGTATCATAATTGGCAACTAACGCCTCCGTAGGGCGTTAGACGTTAGAATTTGAAGAGGTCTACAATCTCTAATCTAACGTCGAAAAATGACGTGACGACGCTATTTTTGTTTTAAAGAAGATTTATGCCTTGTTTAAAAACTAAAGAAATTTAAAATCTTCAGGTACACTTTAAAAAAGTTACTGAACATTTTCTATTTATTTTTTTTTGTTTTAAGCAAAGCGTGTGGAAACTCGAATTACCTTCCGTGTAAGTGGTACTTAACGTTGCAAATGGTGTATTTTTGCCGAAAACAACCGAAAAATCCAAAATAATACAATAAAACAAATAAATTCACAAAAAGCGCAAACGAACTACTGTGCAAGGAAAGGTATCAAATTTTCTAAGTTCTACTTTCCAAATTCCTTAATTTTTTTTCTTTATATTTATTCTTTTTTTTTTATTTATATTTTATAGAAGAAATCTTTTTCAAAATACTGCAATAAAACCACCAATAAATTTATAAACAGCGCAAATAAACTATTATGGGAAGAAAGCTATAATTTTTTTTTGCAAACAAGTTGCTCTTTACAAATCGTTTATTTCTCAGAAAAATTCGCCAATCTCCTAAAGTACCACAATAAAACAACTCGAATGAATTCACAAAAAGCGCAAATGAACTACTACTATGCAAGGAAAGCTATTAAATTTTCTATATAAGTTCTACTTTCTAAATTACTTTTTTTCTTTATATTTATTCTTTATATTCCTATATTTTATTAAAATTCTAAAACCTCTTTAAAATATTGCAGTAAAACATCATTGATGAATTTATAAAAGCGCATTTGAACTACTATGGATAGAAAGCTAACAATTTTTTTTTCAAGTATGTTGTACTTTACACATCATTTATTTCTCAGAAAAATTTGCTAGGCTTCTAGTACCACAATAAAATAACTCGAATGAATTAAAAAAAAAGCTCAAATGAACTACTGTACAAGGAAGGTATGTTGTGTGTTGTACTGTACAACAAATTTTACTTCACAAATTCCTTTATTTTTTTTGTCTATATTTATTCTTTATATTCCTTTATATTGTGTTCGAGAAAAATTCGAAAATCTATTCAAAATATCACAGTAAAACATCACCAATGAATTTACAAAAAGTGCAAATGAACTACCGTAGGACGAAACCATACGGTGAGTTTTTGTTTAGAAATAAGAGTGCTCTAATAAAAATAGCGTTGTGAGATTACCGTGGGGTATATACAATACTGTTGCCAGAGAATGACTGAGCGAGTGCACACAATGGATCGCATTTATTTATATACTAACAATAGGAAAGGAGAATTTCACATGTAAATATTCTGTTAGCATGTCGCATCTTCGCATTATTGTGCGAATTTTTAATATTTAAGTCTTAAATTTTGACAGAATAAATTTTCTTAAGTATGTTTAAAATTATTCGTACCTTCTTAGAAACTTTTAAACTCACACATTCGTTACTAGGTGTTTCTAATATCAAGCAGGCGTTTAACAACAATATCAGTTTACTAGATACGTTTAAAATTACACAGACGTTTCTGGGAACGTTTAAAACCACCCACATGTACCTAGAAATGTTTAAAATCGTGCACACGTTCTTTTACCAAACGTTCTTAAACACTTCTAAAATTATTTCAACGTTCCTAGGAATTTTATATTCAGGTAGACGTTTCTAGATAAGTTTAAAATTGGAAATGCATCTCTAGGAACGTTTACCATTACATAAACGTTTCTAGAAATGTTTAAAACCATTCTCACGTATTTAGAAACATTTAAAATATTCACGTTTTATGTTAGAATCTTTTAAAATCATTCAAATGTTTCTAGGAACTTTTAGAATCAGGCATATCTTTCTATTCATACATTTCTGTAGTTAAACAACAATTGTGATTTCCTAGATATGTTTAAAAATCAGACATTTCTAGAAAAGTTTAAAACCACTCACATACTTTAGACAGAAAAATTTATTAAACGTTTTTAAAAAGGTCTAAAAGACGTTTGTAGATAAGTTTAAACTCATGCAGACGGTCCTAAGTATTTATAGCACCAGGTAGACTTTTATAAGAACTTTTAAAATCATTCAAACTTTGCTAGGAATTTTTAAAATTAGCTGTATTTTTCTAGATACTTTTAAAATCAGTTGTACCTTAACATCAGACGTTTTAAGCGAGCTAAAAATTAGAGAGACTTTTATAGACAATTTTAAGATCAGGCAGATGTTTCTAGAAGTTTTTAAAATCACTCACACATTCTTAGGATCATTTAAAATCAGGAAAACGTTCATAGGTAATTATAAAATCAAAGATAGCTTCCTAGGCAATTTGGGAGCATATAGTAAGGTTTAAAATTATTCAACCTTGTAAAGTTAGACGTTCTTAAGCAAGCTAAAAATTAGAGGACAATTTTAAAGTCAGGCAGATGTTTCTAGAAGCTTTTAAAATCACTCACACTTTCTTAGGATCATTTAAAATCACTCATAAATAAAAAGACAACTTTAAAGTCGCTTATAATGTCAAATAAGACGTTTTAAATTCAAGCAGACGTTCATAAGTACTTATAAAATCAGGTAGCTCTTTATATGAGCATTTAAAACCACTCAAACGTTCCTAAAATCATTTAAAATCACTTGAAATGTAAATAAGATGTTTTTAGATAAGTTTAAAATCAGACGGAGGTTCTTATATAATCAGGTAGACCGTTATAGGAACATGTAAAATAAATCAGACATTGTTAGGAATATTTAAATCAGCTATACTTTTACAAGTACTTTTAAAATCAATCTCAGCTTAAAATCAGACGTTTTTAAACAAGCTGAAAACTAGAGAATTGTTCATAAGATCAGACAGATGTTCATAAGAATCTGTAAAATAAAACCACGTTAAGTAAACGAAAAGACGACGTTATTAGTTCCGTTTAAAGTCAGATAAACGTTCCTATCTACTTATAAAATTATCGACTTTTCTAGAAACGTTAAAAATCATTCACATATTTCTAGAATCGTTTAAAATCACTCATACGACCCTAGATGCGTTTAAAATCAGAGAAACGTCCATAGGTACTTTCAGTACCTATGAACGTTTCCATAGGTACCACCACCTTGATGGTACCATCAGACGAAGGTTTTTGCTGTTGTTGTTTGTTTGTGTTTAATGACTACGGACACTAAATCCATTCGCCAATCTTACAATTTGAGGTGTAGTGTGTGTGTGTATGTGTAGAGTAATTGTCTTGATACTTAGCAAAGTACGTCATTGTCTTTGCTAAGAGATGCTAATTGTATCCGAACGTCTGCGGTCCCTCCGGCGAGTACCGATCGCACCAGACGAAGGTTATTAGTGAAGTTTAAAATCACAGATATGTTGCTAGGCAATTTGGGAGCGTTTAAAATGATTCAACCTTTAAAGCTAGATGTTCCTAAGTAAGCTATATTTAGAGAGACGTTTATAGACAATTTTAAGATCAAGCAGATGTTTCTAGAAGCTTTTGAAATCACTCACACGTTCTTAGGATCATTTAAAATCACTCATACATAAAAAGACATCTTTAAAGTCGCTTATAATGTCAAACAGTGGTTATTAGGCACGTTTAAAATAAAATAAACGTTTCTAGGTATTTATAAAATGAAATAAACTTTTCTAGAAACGTTAAAAATTACTCGCATATTTCTAGAATCGTTATAAAATCACGCATACCTTCCTACATATGTTTAAAATCAGGAAAACGTTCATAGATACTTATAAAATCAGGCGAACGTTATTAGGAAAGTTTAAAATCAAAGATAGGTTTCTAGGCAATTTGGGAGCGTTTAAAATGATTCAACCTTTAAAGCTAGATGTTCCTAAGTAAGCTATATTTAGAGAGACGTTTATAGACAATTTTAAGATCAGGCAGATGTTTCTAGAAGCTTTTAAAATCACTCACACGTTCGTAGAATCATTTAAAATCACTCGTACATTGATAGACATCTTTAAAAACAGGTGCAATGTAAATAAGACGTTTCTAGATAAGTTTAAAATCAGGCAGACGTTCCTAGATACTTAAAAAAGTCAGTTAGACCTTTATAGGAATATTTTAAATCACTCACACTTTGCTAGGAACATTTAAAATTGACTAGACTTTTCTAGACACGTTTCAAATCAGCCGTCGGTGTCGCTTAAAACCAAGCAGATGTTCAAATCAACGTTCTAGTCAGTTATAAAATCGAATAAGCCTTTCTATGAACGTTTATAATTACTCAAACTTTTCTAGGAACGTTTATAATTACTCACAATTATCTAGGAATGTAACGAATGAAGTTTCAAGGTACGTTTAAAGTCAGTGAGTTTGAAAAGTCTATTATTTAAACAAAATCAGTTTTACGTAACTTTTTATCTCTTCCACAGATTGGGGTAAGCTTTATTTATTTTAAATATAACGTAAATGTGATTTTTTTATTTAATTTTTGTTATCTTGTACTGAGCCACTGAGAAAAGTTCTAACAAGAGTTGATTTGGTGTCGTACCAACCGTTTGGAAACTTTTTTCCCAAAACATGTTCGGGGAAAAAATAATTCTTTTAATACAGTGTGGTCCAACCTTTTAGATGTTGCGGGCCGTATTAAATTTGAAATTATTATGAAGGGCCAGAGAAAGGGCCATTACGAAATATTATTTATAAGTATTTAAATGGGATATTTGAGGCAAGGGTTTATCCTCTACTAACTTTTGCACAGCTATATCTATGCTAGTCGTAGTGAGTGTAATACACGCTTCCAAAGAATCGTTTTCCATGTGATTACGTGTTTTAGATTTAAGATGCTTCAAAGCAGAAAATGTACTTTTACATATATACGTACTACCAAACATTGAATATACTTTTAACGCAAAGTTGAAAACCTTTCATCGAATCTGTAAGAACTTTTGCAAACCTCGAGAAATCGGCCATGGTTTCTTCTTGATTTATTTCGAATCACTCAGGAAAATGTGTTAGGTCGTTTATTTCCATGCAGTTCTCCAAAAGGTCAAGTTTTTTTGCGAAATGTCTCAATTTGACCAACAAACTGTGATACTGTCTTATTTTTCCCTTGGAGTTGTAGGTTTAATGTGTTCAAGTGAGAGGTAATGTCTGTTAGAAATGTCAGTTCATGAAGAAATGTTTTGTTCTTAAGCTTTGTTATAAATACGTCCGTGTTAATAACAATTTCTAAGACAAGAAAAAATTTCTAAGACATTTACCTGCACTCAATCAGCGTATCTCTGAATGTAGGGGGACATCCTTATATTCAGTATTTAATTCCTCCAAGAAAGAGATGAATTTTCGTATCAGATTCGTCCAGGGCTAAGGAGTAAGTAGTACAAACAATTACGAACTGTGTCAACCATTTGTTTAAATATCAACTCTTCTTTAATGGGAAACTGAAACACATTCAAAATTTTTGGCCATCTCTTCATCTCCAAAGGATCGCGCCATTTTAACGTCACACCGTTTGATCATTTCTCCACCTCTAAATGCTTTTTTACTTTTGAAAAGCTCTAAACATACTTCGTATGATGCTGCTAAGCTTGATGATTGAACAGCTGTCGGTTTTGTAAATAGAGATTTTTGTTTATTCAAAGATGTGTCTGAGGTTGAACCACACTGATTTAATGGATTTATTGAGTGTTTGTTTAATTGATGTCTATACCCGAATTCCTCGCGTCTTTCTCTTGAGATTTATCAGTTTTTACAGAATCTTAATTGTTGAATAAATCAATTTTTAAATGCAACAAAAAATATATATAATAGAAAAAATTATAGTGCTCGATTGTATATGTGATGTATCAAAAATAATTCAAAAGGAAGATATTGACACGGGGTACATAATTAGGACTAACTGGTAAGCAGGTTTTGTATGTTTTCAATAAAATTGATAGTGTGTAAAATAATTTATTAATTAAGCTGAGTATACTTTCGACATAATAAATGTCATCATCAGAGCTATCGTCAATTAGTCAATAAATACTTCATAGAATGAAAATTGTGGACAAACAACATATTAAAAAACAAAGATCGGCCTCTCTATGCCACAGATCTTGGGTCTAACCCTCATACATATGTATAATTTACATCAAATACAATAGAAAACATGGTTACCACATACAGCGACGACAAGTATTTGATGTAAATTATACATATGTATAAGGGTTAGACCCCAGATCTGTGACCTAGAGAGCCCGATCTTTGTTTTTTAATATGTTGTTTGTCCACAATTTTCCTTCTATGAAGTATTTATTGCCTAATTGACGATAGCTCTGATGATGACATTTATTATGTCGAAAGTATACTCAGCTTAATTAATAAATTATTTTACACACTATCAATTTTATTAAAAACATACAAAACCTGCTTACCAGTTAGACCTATTTAGAAGTGTGTACAAGTCTTACAGTCTTTTTCAATACATAATTAAGAGTTTTCTCGGTGGCTCTATACGTTGTAGTTCATGTTTTATTAAATGAATTTGGGCACTATTGTGACATAACTTTATATATTTCCTTTGTGCAATTGTATTTATTTACAAATATTGTATGTGGAGTAATCAATCTACAATAGGATTAAAAAATGGCCTTTAATTCTAATTTGTGTTTGCTTAAATACTAATATTCTGTCTTCTTAACCTTACCTAACCTATCACCATCATGGTTTTTCCTGTAGCTGCATCTCTTTCTAATGGACTGGGTTTATCCACGACGTGACCTTGCCATTGGTCATTTAGGTCACGTGCTTGATAAACCCGGTCTACTAGAAAGAGATGCTGGGACTGCTTGGCGTCAATTTTCTCTGTCGCACTGAGGGACCGAATCTGGATTGCAAGTCAGTCTATTGGTATTATATACCTATGGTTTTTCCTTTTATCCTTATGCGGAATCGACTTCTATTAAATTTCTGCTACCTACTGATACTTGAAAATTTCCTAGATATTTAGACAAATTGCTATACCTGTCTCTGTTTAATATATTGGCGCTTATGGAGATTTCGATTGACAAGTGACCAAATTTCCAAAGATTTCTGGATGAAAAACAATAAAAATAAACTCATACTATTTTATTTTATTATTTACAAAAAAATTAGCATTTAACATAATTCCATAATTCTAGTCAATCCATTTTCACAGTATAATACAAAATGTAATAAAAGAACTGTTTCTATAGTTCAAATTAATAATAGGGCCTTCTCGGATTATTCTGAAACAAAAATCACGTTAAAATTTTATTTCATTGATTTTTCTGAAAGATAACTCACCAAAGGATTTGGCCTAAATCTGTACGCCAGCATCATTCTTTTTCTATAGGTCTGGTACTCATCTTCATCTTCGTGGGAGCCTTCTAAACCCAAACCTTGTGTATGTTCTCTAGCGGGCCCTCTAAAAATAAATATATGCAAGTATAACAAACTGATGACGGGTTTATACGGGTCATACTATCACTCCGATAGTATGAGTCTATCTGCGTTGATATCGCTACAATATTTTTTATATAGTCAAGAAGAAATACGCTTTAACGCCACGGCCTATACAACAACTCCTTTGATAAACAAAAATATAATTTCTTAACCGACTTGATTGTAGATTTTAAATGCATTTAGATACGCTTCTCCTTTTATTGACGCTACAACCTACATTTGGACTTAACCTTCAGTATTTTATGACGTTCACCAGATTTTGTGCATCCGTTGCCACCTCACTCTGTTTGCCCTTAATAGTACTGTCTAAGACTCTCTTGTCAAAATATCGTCATCCATTATCACTAGACGATCAATATATCGAAGTCTCTGCAGCCTAGCGAATGGTGCCATTCTGTAACACGCTAGGAGAAAATCCATTTCCCGAAGTTTCAGATTTGTGGTCCTTCGAGCCGGATTGCAAGAAGTTATACTTTAGTTTTAAAATATTTAATTATACATATTAACTACCGAATGGTTAGAGCCAAAGTAGAGATAAAACATAATAAAATAGAAATAAATTTAGAAAAACTTTGAATATAGACACAGATAAACTAAAGTCTAATACAGAACAATATAAAAGCAATTTAAAACCCGTGAAAGTATTTAATTTATATATACTTAGCTTAAATAAAATCGATGAAGTCATAACAAAAGAACTATTAAATGCAAGTTTGAACAATATACTAATAAGGTTTTGAGGTTATGTTGTTTTTCGACTAAACAGTTGACAGAATAGGCACAGCAGGTATGCCAACTTATGAAAACTGAATTTCGATCTTTGTTCACATTAATTCGCACAATACTTTAGCTTCTCCAGTTTTTTTCTTTTATTCGAAAGTATTAAAGGTAGAGCAAACATCTCACAACAAGTGAATTAGCATTTCATTGTACGTGATTATGTTAAAAGAAAATTTAGCTACGTACAAACTAACTTACTTGTTTATTGGCTCTACAATTCCCGTTCCTCCGGATCCTAGACCTTCCCCTTCGGACCAGCCGAGTTTTTGCAACATTTTAAAACCAATGTTGTCCTCTTTGAGTTGAAATTCTTTATAATCGGACTCGTTAAGTAGCTTTTGGTCTTTACCGCTGACTTTCTCCATGAACTTCTTTAACTCGTCGGGTGGCAGAAAGTCTCCTATGTGGTGTTTTCCTTCGGCTTGCTTGGTAAGTTCATCGGCCCATAACTGAGTCTTCAACATTTCCTGAGAAGATATTATTTTATTAGTAGACTTCGGAGAAAGAGGTATTATGTCTTAAATTTTAAAATGCGTTGTATTACAGCTCAGAAATAAGTGATTTGGAAGAAAATGTTTGACCAGCAGACCAAGTTTTTCTCTACATATAAAATTTACGACACAAAGAGAGAACTTGGTATACCAGTAAGAGTTCTAAGATTTTCCGGCCCCTTTTGAGATTTCCAAGAAGAACAAAAATTCATCGACAATGACCAGAGGGTTGTAGATGTGGTCTCTAATCGCTAGATTTCTTCTTCTTTTCAAAAGAGATTGATGAGACAACGACCACGCTGTATATTGAGGGCAGAACGAATCGTGTCTTGATTTCTTTTTCGCAAAATTAAAAAGGTTTCCTCAAAGAAGTGTTCGTCAACTAGAGGGTGAGTGAGAGGTGCAAGAAGTGGTCGATAATGACTAGAGGGGCTGGTAGACCATCGCCCTGCATTTGATACATAAACTCCCCATATAAGCCGAATGACAACAAATAGAGTAGTAAAGATGGCAATAGGCGGCTTCCCAATAGAAAGACGTTCATTAGGAAGACCACGAAATCGATTAAACGACAACTTACTAGAAGACACACAAGTTTGTCGTTGTCTAATCCACTGGTGTAAAAGATACCATCTTAAGTCTTGTGACTGAGTCTGCAGACATACTTAATGTTTATGAGCACCGAGATCGAACACCGTTTCTCTCCTACCGTCGACCTCATCCAGAACCTCATGAAGAAACGATAGAAACAAGATCCACGACATGGTCCTCTTGAACCAAGTATGAAGGTATCAATCGGACAGGAAATTCCACTCACAGACAAATTCTTATCCACGACCAATTTCGCAGCAAACACTGAGTGCTGTTCGTAGATGATCTCGTCCAGTACGTAGTCCCATCTAAATACTTACATTCGTCGTCGAAGTTTTGTCTTTTATACAAAATAGCGCCCACAGTGTGAAGCTTCATTACACTCAAATGATGCCCAGTTACATAAAATGGTTATCAACACGTCAAATCCAATAACATCCTCGCATCTATCGAATTTGGACGTTAAACATTTAAATTTTTCGGTAACGAAACTAATTTAAAAAAAAACTGTAAAATATGCATTATTTATTATATTCTACACTTACCTTCTCTCTGGCCTTGTGCTCCCATGTGCCACCATCAGTTTCTTCGTCGGAGTCGTACTCATATTTATTATGTCCGGCCAATCTTAATCTTTCCGCTTCTTCTCTCTTTTTAACCATGTCTTGATACAACAAACTGACTTTGTAGTTGTCCTCCGTTTTTTTCCAGTCCTCTTCCGAGAGATTCGCAGTACCATAAGTGTTTAGAGCGTATTGAATTAAAGCTGGATCGTTTCTGGTAACTTTTGTCAAAAGGACCGGTCCCGTATCTGAAGCAATCATTTAGGAAAAGATATTGCTTGTTTTTAATAAAATATATCTGTATGGATTAATACGAGGTTTGTTAAAAAATGTGACTTATTTTTCTCGTAAAAAATTACAATTATATACATCTGTAATAAGTCCAGCTGGAATCATAATAGATCTTTTTAGCGTATTTTTATAACCTTCAAAACACTTCTGTTTTCTTATGGTCTTGAACTCTTCTTAAGATGCGGTTTTTATCATACTATATTTTATCTACGGCAGTTCGGGCAATACAATTTTACGTTTGTTTTTGTGTTAACATATTCGCTACCCTCTCCCCGTTCCAATGAGCCCTCGTACGTTACGATCTGACCAATAACAATGGAGATATTACGTAATGCCGTTTTGGCGCAGTTTTTGCGTGTGATTTTTATCTCAACGTGTTCCCCGTCCCTTCCGCTTTCCAACGATATCCTACACGTCACGATCCAACGAACCGTCGTGCCTTCACCAAAAAAAGCGTCAAAAATGACCAGAATGGACCTTAGCAATTTCCCCGTACTCTCACAGCACTTTTACTGTCATCTTTTCTTAACAAAGGTAAAATCTCAGACAGAATTGTAAAGTTAGAAGTTTTAATGATATATCAGATAGTTTTCAAAGAATGATCAAATCATAAGAAATCATCAAAATATAATTATAATGAAAACAATAAAAGTGAGTAGCCACAATTGAGTAAACTTTATTAGAATCACGTAAGAAGATCGAGTCTAATTATGTGGTGAGCTAGCAGAATAAATGAAAGTGGTTGTTAATATTGTTTTCTTCCGACAACTGTTTTCTAAAGTAAAAGACAAGACACCAACTGTAAATAAAACTAATGTTATCTACAAACTGCCTTGTTTGGATTGTCAGAGCTGTTATGTTGGCCAAACTTCTCAATGGCTAAAACAAAGGGTCACACAACACAAAAGTAACTGCACAAAACAGAAGAATACATGTGCGGCAGTTGACCATCACTTAAAAACTGGCCATCAATTTGACTACTCAAATTTCAGGGTTCTACAACAAGAAAATAATTACAAAAAAAGATTGTTTTTGGAAATGTGTCATATAAATAGAGAAAACTATGCAGTAAATTACAAGGCAGACACGGGACAGTTGAGCAATATCTACTGTAATATTCTTAGTATGTCCAAATATTTTTTCTGTTTACAATTATATTTTAAATCACCCTGTATATTTTTAATGTGTAATTTTATTGTGTTTTAATTGTTTCTTGGTTGTTTTTGTTTGCTGTGTTTTTATATTTAATTACTAGTGACCTAGGTGCTTTTAACCAATACTGTCAGTACTGTTTTGAACATATTATGTACAACAACTTTTTTAAATGTTTTTAAACTCTAAATCTGTAAGTGATTCATTTTTTATTCTCACCTGATTTTAATATAACTTTTAACCATATTTTAGTTGTCTCCTGATGAAGCTGACAAAAAATCAGCGAAATATAGAGCATTAAAAGAAAAAAAAAATTTTTGAATACAGAGCTCATACCTGATACTCCAACACAATAAATTCATATATATATATATATATATATATATATATATATATATATATATATATATATATATATATAAAGGTTACTTACTTGAAGGAGGAGGAGGAACGAATGACATTACTGGCGGCATAGTTCTGATCGGTGGAGTGAAAACGACAGCAGGTGGAGGTATATTGGCTTCTTGATTTCCCCATCTACTTTTCCTTTTTCTTTTTCTGTCCGCATTTTCTTCGTTCTGTAAGTATAGGTATGAATTACATAGTACAAATAAATAAAAAAGAACATTTTGAGGGTTAAGTAGGACATCCAACTCGTTACATTCGGATTATGATATTCAGTACTAATATTAAACCAAAATACTCGATTTATGTCAACAAAAGATTGAGGTTACATTTATATCGGAAGGTTTTATTGGTGGCGCCCTCTAACGGGCTATATGCAAAACTAAAAAGACAAACCTCGTACTACAATAATACCCAAATGAGTAAAACTGGGGGAACCATATCAGGAGAATAAAATGACCGCATCACACACCTAAACAGTTGATTTTAGGACATAAAGGAGCAAACCATGGATAGAAGTTGGCGCAAGAAGCTGAAAATATTAGTTCTCCCAACTGGAAACCCAAGCAGAGAACAGTTCAGCATAAGAAACTTAAGAAATCTCTCTAACAAGTCAGGATGATGACGACGAAGCCAAACTGCGCATCGAAAAATTAAGTAAAAGATACATACCACATTTTCTTCTTTGACTTCTTTCTCTTCAGTCATATTACCTCCTTCCTCCTCCAAAGCCATTTCCGGTTCATACTTATCTTCCGGTCTAATGTTCCGTTCCTCGGCAGCCATAATTTCCCTTTTGACTTGATCTACAAATCGCCGATATAGTTTGTACGCCTCCGATTCCTTATCGAATAGAAACCTATAAACAGTCCAAAAGAAATCGTACAAAGTTAAATTTTGTGAATACCTTTGCGGGGGATATATCTACTATGGATCAAGTCCTATTCGGATTTAATTCCTTAGAATTTGCACTACGTTGGGAGAATGAAGCTGATAGAATTACCTCTAATACCTTTATAATATGGCAGACAGTAAAGTAAGTATTGTTTAAATCAAAATGTTGGTCATTGAGCACCTTATAATTTATCATATCAGTTAACACTTGTCTGAAGAATGTCTAAAGCTTTAAATTGCTGAAGGGAGAAACAAAAATACGCTATTACCTGTTCATACAATTTAAATAGTTTCCTACGCATACATTATTTAAGATGTAAGAAAAATTTCAGATTAGAGTAAGCTAAATCTGGCGAATAAGATGGAATATTGTAAGTTTATTCTTTAATTCACCGATTTTTGCAATGATTTTTAGAGCTATGTAAGTATGTGCGATCTTTAGATGAAAAATCGTCTTTTTTTTTTCTGTAAATATAAATTTTGCTCACAAATTTTTACATCTAGTTGAACGAAAATGTTTCTATAACAATCTGAGTTTATGGTTTTGCCAGTTTGAAACAATTTTTGAGCTTAACTCACTTCTATCGTGTACGAATCTCCTCTAGTTCGGGACTGCCGTAATGTTTAAATCATTTCCGACAAAGCTTTCTGGTTTCCATTCGCTAGTAACCTAACGTACGAAATCTATTCGACATTTGATTCATTAACTCGTGGAGTTAAACGTTCATAGGGATTCTCCAGGTTCAGTCTACTCTCGAAAGCCTCCAAAAATTTTCCTCAGCATTTATTTCAACACATTTCAGATTATCTTTGTCTTTCTACAGCACAGTTCGTGTTTCACAATACACAACCATAAGTATCAACATTTCCTGGAGAGCTGTTAAGATCTCTTTGAAAAAAGTTTCACTTGTTCTCCATCACCGTCATCATCTGCTGTCAACCTCTTACATCTATTGTAAGACGACCTCTTACATCCACTGTAGGACGTGGATCTCATCCATAGTTCTCTATCCTGTACTTTCTGCATTAAATTTCCTGTTGTTTTTCGTAAATCATCTATCTATTGTGTTGGTGGTCTACCTCGGTGCCTTTGGTTTTCTCTAGGTCTCCATTCTACGAGTCTTTTGGTCCATTTATTATCATTTAAACGTGCTTATTACCAACCCATCTCCATTTACCTTGTGCAATCTTTTCTATGCTCTCTTCTTGTTATCCCCAACATTACTCTTCGGATTAACTCTTAATTTACGCAGATCCTTTCGTCAATTTTAATGTTTCGGAACCATATGTTACTACCGGCAGTATACATTGGTTGTAACATTTTTCTTTAAGCAAATTGATAGTGTTCCTTTTAGAATTAGAATTAGAATCTTACAGGTTTCATATCCTAATATCATGTCTCAAGTAAATATGGCTAAAAACCTGATGTACTTCTTAGCCACCTATTCTTAAACATCATTTGGAATTAAATTGGTCATGTATTTTGTTTCTTGAAAGTAATATTCAGGCCTACTTGTTTTGTTGACTGTTTTAGTTCTTTCATCATTTTATAAGTTCCATTTAAACTTCGACTGTACTAACAATATCATTTGCAATACGCACGTGACTTAAGTATTCACTATCAATATTTATTCCGTTTTTAGTCCAATCTAGTCCCTCTCAACGCATATTCCAAAGCTGCCGTGGGGGGAGATGGTGTAGATCTGTCTAATTCTTCGCTCAATCCTATATTTATAAATTCATGAAGTTGTTGCTGCATTGTTGTATATATTTTTATCAACTTAGCGTATCTATACTTTAATTGATTTTGTTCTAATAGTTTCAACACCACCGGTATTAAAAGCTTTCTTGAAGTCGACGTGAGTGGTTTATCATACGCATCACACTTTTCAATCAGTGTTTTTAGTGCTTGTCTGTATGCTAGGTGGTCAGTTGTTTCATAGCCTCTCCTAAACCCACTTACTCCTTAGGTTCTTAGAAAACTAATTTTCGTTTTAAACGTTTTGTGATGATTTTGTAGACAGAGTGTAGTAACACCTTTGAGCTAGAAGAAGGGATAAATGATGGACCAAGAATACTACAGCAGGAAGTTTATTCATCAATAACAGAGTTAAAGGATGCCAAAGCGGCAGGCCCTGATAATATACAAGCAGAACTACTCAAACTAATGGAATACAACTCTGGAGAAATACCAACAGAATGGCTGAAATCTGAGTTTATTGCACTCCCAAAAACAAAACAGGAGCCAAAAAATGCGAAGATTGCCGTACTATAAGCCTCATGAGTCATCTCCTAAAATTGCTACTAAAGATAATTCATAAGAGAATCTACAAGCTGTGTGAATGTCAAATTTCCCCCAAGCAGTTCGGGTTCACAAATGCTGTTGGTACTAGAGAGGCTTTGTTCTCAGTACAAGTCTTTTTCCAGAGATGCAGAGACGTCAACTGCGACGTATACGCATGTCTGGTTGATTACGAGAAAGAAAAATATTTGAAAAACGGGTTACACAGGAAAAACTGGTCCAGGAAGAAGAAGAACAACTTGGTTAAAGAACCTCATAGTATCTATAAAATCGAAGGTAGTATCTAAGCATAATATCTATAAAATATGCAGAGGAGCGCTGTCTACAAATTGATTTTCTTTTTATGAATAAAAGCATCTTTCGAATATAATTTCATCGAATTTCTATCAGCATTTATGAATCTATGACGTATTATGTACTGCTTCATTAATGTATTTATAAAAAAATAAGAAACACGATTTTGTAATACAATTCGTCTGATAGATTCACTAAAATAACTGCCATATCATTAGGTTTACTTACAACTGACCGTATTTAATTTTTTTATTTGAAAAATGATAAAATTCAACAGACTAATGAACAGATTTGTAGAAAATGTGCAAATCTAAAATTCACTGTAGTGTATATTAATATTAATAGAAACGTATTAAGTTACTTTTTAATCTTACTAGTCATCGCACTCTTGCTATAATTATGTCGGCTGAAAGATTTTGATTATAATGTAATATTTTCAACTGTAGCGTAAAACTGAAAGATACACAAGTAAAGAAAGAAGGCGAATGTTGCGCAAAACACAGACTGACTATCTCAAAAATGAATTTCTGATACACGTTAAAAACTCAAGCTAAAAATAAAGAAGACAGCAAATAGAAGAGGATAGCAAAAACACAGAGAAAGTGTTAAATATACATTTATCACACGACAAATTTATCAGCATAATCATCTTGGTGCTACAGCCCTTAGAGGGCCTCGACCTTCTCAAGCTTTATACGCCAGTCTGTTCTGTCCCTTGTTTGCATTTTCCAGTTGCCGACTCCGATCTTCTCGGCATCTTGTGTTACCCCGTCCATCCACCTCAGCTTTTCTCTACCCCGTATCAGTCTATAACGATTAACTACTGTTTTACTTAAAGTAAAGGTATTTGGATCATATAAAGAATGTCCGAATATGTTGATGGGTGGAACGAGCAATAGCAACGTAAGACTGGAATCTGGTAAAGTTAATATTTTAGGAAGAAGCTGTCTGAACAAAAAATCAGGTCATTCTGGCATAAGTAGCAGCTTTTTGCCTTTTATGAATAACGAGGAAAATAAAGCTATAATCTCATAAATCCGGCTCGAACGACCAGTGAACAAAATTTAAAAAACTCTTGTTTGTTGCGCTGAAGTAATTGTAAAAATGCTCTAAATTATCGTCAAGTTTTTAAATGATGAAGGTTGACAATGTAAGTCCATAATACTAATCTATAGATGAGTCAATACTCACAAATCTTCAGTAGTTTTTTATTGTTGTTAAATTTTTGACTACCAGTTTAGAGACTTAAAATCGAGGCTTATCACCAGGTCACAATGCATAAGTCTTTATTTAACAAAAACTACAAGCTAAAAACAATATGAAACAAACAATAAACAGCTAAATCAAACACGAGAATGATTTATTTGTTCACAGCAATAAATACTCAAAGAAAGTCAAGACAAGAATGGAAAAGAAAATGTGAAGGAATAGGAATACCAGTCATAGATAACTTCTTATGCATAATAAGTTTAGTACATGACCAAGTTGTGACTGCTGAAGACGAAGAAGATCTAGTATATTGTACCTAGTGCTTTAATACAGTAATAAGTCCTTATGGAATCACGACAGATTTTCTTTTTCAAACGGAAAAACCTTAAATGATTTAATTTCATTTCATCCTATACACTGTTTATTTTGTTAAAAACTATTTTATATATTCTAGGTCGATTTGCAAAATTTCGTGTGGATTATCAAAACAAATTATTTCAAATTAAATAATTGTGGATGCATAAAAATGGAAAATAAAGGATAAACGAGATAGAACAATGATCTCTTTTAAAATCTATCAAAGAAGACCGAGTCGATCGATAAGAACAAAAAGTATGTCGTACTTCTTGTGAATAGTTTACTAACGGACTTATTTTCCAACCAAGCGTTGTGGTTGCCAGGAATCTCGCTGAATCTGCAAGACAATAAGTTAATTGAGAAGTAGATAGAATTAATTATCTTTTATATTTGGCCCAGCGTTCTCTTGTTACACAAATGGTGCCCAACGTGGGGCGCCAATCGTTTAACAAGAGGATGCCTATAACCAAAATGAAAACATATAGAATTCCATATAATTAAATAGAGAAAAAAAGAATCATAAAGAGATATTTAGAAGAGGAATCATTTAAAAAGACAATTATGAAGAAAATATTAAATTTGAAAATGAGACCAAAATGTAGCATTTACAACGTTACAATGTATACATTTGTAGCATAGATAGTTATGTAAAATTTGCTTTTGTTTTTAACGTTGCTTTAAGTTTTTACACGAATAATTGTTTCCAAATAAATTACTATGCCGCCAAATAAATTATTGAATTAAAAATCGATATACCTGCCTTAAATTAAAGAAACTCATTGTTTCAGATTAAATACGATCAGTTGCGCTTCAAAATAAAGTAAAAAAAAAACAAAAACTCCCTCTAACGATACCAATGCAAACAATACAATAACCAATCGGACTTCATCCATGAGTTGTGTATTTTTTTCTTTTTTTTTTTGTATAATATAGTCGGTGTACTGCCTGGCATACCACAATCTAGGATCTTGTTCTTTTCGCTGTCGAACGACGTCCTCGAAAGTGTCTCCACATTCTGCTACCATGCGACCCAGAGACGCCATCGCCTCGTATTCGGGGGTACCTGGGGGGAAAACTTCACAACACATCACTAAAACGCCCCGATAATGGCGCAGGGATGACTTGAGAACCATTAAAAGTAATTAAAAACCAGAAATTCGGGTATCTCGTATTAAATATGATAGTTTCAATAATCAATAGTCATTGACCTAATCAATTTAACAACAAAAGTATTATTAGCAATATTTAAAAAAAATTCATAGTGGTCCAAAAATTTTTTTTGGTACAATAATCTGACTATAGAAATTAGTAGGCTTCCACTAAACCACAATTGCAGAGCCCGAACAAACAGTTTAACAAAAAATAATATGTGACTAAAAAAAGTCGAAAAAAAGGTAAATTTAAAAAAAATCAAATGTTCGCCATTTTGTTTTTTTTTATGAATTTTCAATTTTTTGGTAAACTATCACGTAAAGGTACTTATTTTTTAAAACCCTTCTCGAATTTTATGTTTCTGATTTGCTGTTCCAGAGATTAACTACTGTCCGCCATGAACGACATTGTTGGACGAAAAATTTTTGGCGCCAAATTTAAAATACACGAACAATGGAAAAAAAATTTTGAAAATTTTAAAATTTTCAAAACTTGTTTTAAACAAGTAACCGTTAATGATAACTGCATCAAATTTAGCAAAATAGCCAATTACATATCCATTTCCAGGAGACTTTCGAATAAGTTTATTACATAAAAACCCGATTTCTGTGAATCTATTTACTTTTAATAAAATTTTGTCAAATATCTACTAATATGACTGAATAAAAATAACAGTTATGTTAGTCATCCCTGCTTTGATAGTATTAAAAATATATAAAATGCATTCAGTACGATAAAGTGCTAGGAGATTGATCAAAAAATCAAGTTGTATCAAACGCATTTTATAGATTTTGTGAATGTTGTTTAATATCCATGGCGTAAGGTTTTTTATAGGTTTTCAAAACACAGTAAGGCAAATAGTATAGACAAATTTGGCATATATTGAGAAATAAGTAATTTCTGTAAATTGTTCACTAAATATGTAATAGAATAAATTGATCATGTAGTTCATATGTAATGGTTTGTGTTAAAAACTTTTTTGCTCATTATTCATTTATATTTAACAAGTTAAATTAACTGTTACAAATACATTAGTATGTTGTAGTACCTGTGCATTTGAACATATATAACACAGTGGCTAAGAAACTTATGACAGAGTATAAACGATAAGTACTACAGATTAACACGCAAAAAACTAAATATTTCCATAGAAGAAGATCTGGGAGATAAGGGATTGAACTTAATATCAAAATACTAAGCGTTAAACTCACCTGCTCATGCAGGTGACTACTAGCTACCTCCTACCAGACAACTGACGGGGCTATAAGAGTTAAATGACTACATCAGGAATTAAGACTCACAAAACTCTTCCAATCTATCGAGCACGCATGGAAGAATATGACAAGGTTTGTCTTATACTTCTTGACTCGATCAATTTAATCGAAAATAATCGTAATAATGAGTCTGTATATAAACCAGATGCAGTACTCGACACTAGGGCACACAAAAATTCTCCCCAGACGAACCGAAAATCTCAATATCAAATCGGACTACCAACAAATCCCGGGAGACCAGATATAGTCCCGTATGCAAAAAGCTCTAAATAACGGTGTCAAAATTCTTCTTCTTTTGGTGTCTATCCTCTGTGGATGTTGGCAATCACGTTGGTTCATACACCTTTGTTGACAGCTGCTCTAAATAGATGTATGGTAGTCATTCCTGCCCACTGCCTGATGTTCTTCAACCACGATGTCCCTCTGCGCCCTTGAGATCTTTTGCCTTTTATCCTGCCTTGTAAAATTAGTTGAATTAGTTGATACTTCTCATTACGCATCACATGCCCTAAGCATGTCATCTTTATAATTTTCACGATATGCATAATTTCCAGATCTTAATTCATATGTTGGATCACGGTGTTGTTTGTAACATGATGTATATAGCATGCACTACATTTTGAGGGCTTCTAATCGTTTGGATGTTGCCTCCGACAAGGTCCAGGCTTCGACTCCATATAAAATGGTAGAAAATACATAGCATCTCAAGACTCTTGTTCTTATATCAATGTTCAGGTGCATGTTACATAAAATCTTCCTGAGGCGATTGAAGGCAGCTCTCGCTTTTTCTATATGACATGTTATTTCCTCTAAGTGGTCCCATTCCTTATTTAGGCTGCATCCAAGATATGTAATTTTGTCAACTATTTTTAAAGGTTCATTATTAGCTGTAAATTGGTGCTGTACTAGGTCGTTTTTACTTACTAGCCTTCTTACAGTTTAATTTCATGCCGTATCTGTCACAGGCTTCCACTACACGGTCTATTAATCATTATTATCAGCAATCAAAACTGTATCGTCCACATATCTTAAATTATTTATGATGTCACCAATGAGTTTTATACCTTCTCTTAAACTATCAATAGCTTCCCTGAACAGCATTTCCGAGTAAGTATTAAACAAAGTCGTACTGACGTACTGAATATCATAATCATATGATATTTGTTATTATTACAAGTAATTTAAAAAAACCAAATTATTGCATTTCTTTTAAATGCAAGCTTCACCATTGTTCTATACATGTTTCAAGGTTTTACAATAACACTTGTTGTAGCTCAAACTTCAAACTGAAATTCTCTTCATCTATATAGACATTCTAGTAACATAACATGGCTAAGTATGGTAGTAGCGACCTCTATATGAAGCAACAAAAAGTCAGGAGACTTCTCTTCCAACTGTCAGAGTTTAGCTGTCTTTCCAACATATATTCTCTATGTAAAGAATGCAAAAGATGGTGTTTTTCAAAGGTAAACTTTAGATGTATTGTCGGAATAAAAGGTTTTTTCTAACATGATCCAATAGCTTGGTTTAATGTGAAGACCACAAACCTTTTACAAGCAGTTGAACACAAGAAGAAGAATCTAACTATATTGACTAAAGAAATTCATAAAATATTATCAATGAATTACAACAATTCTCACCTTTTTTTTAAAGAGTAAACTTTTCTTTTTATTGATGGCAACTATTAGTTTTTTCTTTGAAATACATTCTAACAAATCAGTTTTGCAAAAAGGTCTGTCATAATGTTTTATTTTCATATGTGAATGCATTCTAATGTGTCTATACATTCCAAATATTTCAATAAAGTGTAAACTTAAGTATTTTTATTAATATCTTACCTGTAGTAATGTCCTTAAATAGATGGACTGGTTCCAACATCTGAATACTTCCCGGAGGTGGTATGTTCAAAACAGGCATTTGATTGGCCACTGGTGGTGGTTGATTAATAAAAGTTTGAACTTGTGGGGCAGTAAACAAAGGAGGAGGGCATGTTACATTTACGTTCACCATACCAGGAGGAGGCAAGACAGGCTGAGCCATCAAAGATGGAATATTATTGGGTACTGCAGGGGCTGTTGTTACTTGGCCTACTACAACTGGTAGGGCAACAGTGACAGAAGAAAAGGCTGGTTGGACTGAATCTAATGAATTCGATTGTGGAATGGTGTGAATAAGAACATTTTGTGTTGAGGGGACTGTGATGGTAGCTGTGGCAGTATGGGACTGTGGGAGAATGATTTGGTTTTCATGTATTAGTGGAGGAGGTATGGACTTATTGGGAGGTGGGATATTTTTCAAAAACTCTGCAGGTATACCACCATCTTCACAAGGTGTTGGAATTGATAATAAGTCTAGAGGTTTTGGTGTTGGAATTTTATTCAAATGTAAGGAAGTAGGTGTGGGTATATTCTGAACTTGAATAGGGGCTGGCTGAGGTATATTTAGAGCATTTAAAGGTTCAGGTTGTGGAATATTTTGAATCTGTATAGGATTTGGGGGAGGTATATTTGCCAATTCCACTGTAGATACACCGCAAGGAGGAGGTACTGGGGTCAAATTTGCAGTAACTAAAGGTGGAGGCAAATTGACAGTTGTCAGAATTGGAGCAGAGACTAAAACACTCTGCGTAGATGGGACTTGACTTAAAACCAAAGTATTAGATCCCTGCACTATTTGTGGGGGAGGAATGTTCAGAAGCACTGGCGATGCAGATATTACAGTTTCAGTAATGGCAGTTTGTTCTGGAATACTTTGAAAAGTCACTGTTTGTGCTGGTAGGACATTCTTTAAGAGAGGCTGACCTGTTACGTCTTGGGTACTAATGTTAATGGAAGTGATTTCATAAGTTGGCTGTTGAGGCTCTTGTGCCTGAGCTTGAACAATTGCAGAACTAAATGAAGTACTTATAGTTATTTTTGGTTCAAAATTTAATAGTTTATCAAAACGAGAGACTCTTTTTGGTTGGCGATCCTTAGGCGATGGTGAACGATGATGACTACTAGCTCTATCCAATTTATTTCTATCATCGCTAAAATATATTATTTATGATTATTATTATATTCTAGTTTATCAATTTAATGATAGGTAAAATAGATATATAAGTTCAATTTAAGTATACATTGATGAATCAAGAGCTGTAACAATTTTAATTTTATAAGTGCTGCTTTAAAATAAGGGTTATCAATGAGCTTATGAAGATGTTTGCAGCTATACAATTTGATTAACTTATTAAAAGTAACTTTTTTAATTCGAATTTAAATCTTCCTTTAAATCAGTGATATACATTTCAGATTCGTAGATCTCTAATCCAACTAATACTATAATAGTAGAGTAAAGAATTTTCTTACCTAGAACTTTTCTCAATTTTTCCTTTCAGTTTACTGCTACCATAATACTTGAATTTGGAATCTGTCTTTTTGGCCTCTTTCATCTGTTTGAACTGATTGAGGAATGAACCATCATTAAAAAAGGTGTTTTTAACTTCTTTTTGTCCATTTGTATTCAAATCAGTGCTAAAAGTTATACAGTAGGAAATTATTACAATCTTATAGGGATTAATATTTGGTGAAGATTATGGGATTTATAATAGTTGAGTATGTTGTTAAGCTACAAGAGTTAGTTAAATAGCCTGGCAATGCATGTGATGATTTTAAATAAATCTTCAAATGATACTTAAAGCTCAATGGTACACACAGGGACAGAGATTTGTATGTGTTTTGTTTCTTAGCATATATTTAAAACAAAGTTTTAAAGTTAAAATGCCTGAACACATTAAAACAAGAGCAAATAGCTCTCATCAAATTTTTTTGTAAAAATACCTACACAAAAATATGATATTGAAAAAGTAATAGGTAAAGTAGAAAATCAACTAATCATTTAGAATGTGACAAAAGGGAGGTTTAAAAATGTTTTATCATCTCTTCACAAACATCTTTCAGCAAACACAGTGTGAAAATGCCCTTATCTGTTGTCTCCTTTGTTAATAATTATTGGATGTATTCATTTTTCTTATCATATTTTTTCCTTTTTATATGATATACAATCTATATAGATATACAATCTATCAAAAACACAACATATTCTATACTGAAAACGGTGTCCATCACAGCACAAATGCTTAATAAAATTGCTTGTCTTTGCAAGTATACTTTGTTAAAATGCTACTTACTTGTTTAACGCTTTTGTTAAAGTCATTGTCTGTATATGTAGCATTGTCTGTATATCAAAAATTTATGGAAGGTGATTCTGAAGTACCTGAACTTATTAAAATAGCAGCAAATAACATCAAATTAGATTTGCTATAAATATAAAATTCATTCTGAAAATGATTATCTTTAATTATGTCATCAATGTGAACTAGAAGGGTCCAGTGAACTTCAAAAAACATATACCTGGCATATTTCGTAACTTATAAATTCGTTAATATGATTGCGAGGGATGGAGAAATAGGAACAAATTATGAACGATTTCCGAAGTGGAAATTGAAACGTCAATAAATGTATTTTTATCTTTAATTGTGGCTTATTCTCAGTTAAATAGTAATTAAACAAATTAAGTGTTGCAATCTCCACTCAAAAGTAGATTTTTGCAGTGACATCAAATGGTTATATTGGTCTGACCTCTTTCTTTGGAAAATACACTACACTAAAATCATCAGATGTCAAGTATAAAAGACTTTATATCATATAGACAAAAAATCAACCTTGTGGGATAAATATTGTGAAGGATTTTTTAATTCGCATAAAACTTTTGATGATTAAAAACCAAATAAAGTAATTTGCAAAAAAAAACCTAACAAAACATTTATCTAAATTATATCTATCCCACAAAAAGTTGTGGCCACATCTCATTAATAAGCATATTGAAATAAAATGGTTCTTGGATATGGAAGTTATCTTACTGATGAAGAATTATTTGAAAATGGAGCTGTCATAATTAGCTTAAATGGTTGCAAGGACTTTCAAATCCATTTCCATAAATAATTTATGGTAACTAATGTAGCTGTAATACATGTATCTAACGTATTGAGTTTTAGTATGCATTATAATGTAAATAATGTTCAATAAAAGTTTTCCATTAAATGACTAAATAGGCACAGTGTAATGAAAATTAAATTTATTAATAGACATGTAAAAGATGTTGCATTTACTTACCTTTTAACAATCTGTTTACTAGAAGTGTCCGTTTTTACTTTTGTATCAACTTTAGAAGCCTGTTTAGCTTCGAGTTTTGCTTGTATTTCTCTTTTCTTTTGCTCTATCAATTTTTCTTGCTGGGACATTTGAGCAAATCGGTCATTTCGACTTATTTTTGATTGAAAGTTATACTCCGAGCCCTTTTTATTAGACATTTTATAAATGTATATATCAATCACGATATAAAAACTACTGAAAAAGTAAGTTCGAACTAAATATAATAGTCACATATTAATTCTACAACAATTCATAAAAGAGAACTGCCGTCATTATTTAATTTTTACCAACATAAATATAACTTTAATCGCCGCCATTTTATTTTGTTAATACTGACAATTGACATTAAGTATTTTTAAAGTTATTATTGTTGATTTATAGATGGCACCATCAGTTCAACTACTTTCGGACGGATATGACTGAACACGTTCTGATAATATATAAAACCAATTATATTATTTATCTATGTATAAAACCATTTTGCGTATTTTTAAAAAAATATTTAGAAATTTTATACCATTTTACACAAGAAGTTTCTATTTCATGGTAGGTTTTTTAAAACTATGGTATACAGCCAACCTCTGGAATTTTCCCTTTCATAAATATTTTGTTTTCCTTTCAAGTAATATTGGTAGATTTACTATCTATTTGATTTTCGTTACTACATTGAATGCTCTGTTTTATCCCTACTCGTTAAGTATAGTATATCGTTTTGCTTTCTTTGTAATTATTTAATTTAAACGAGGTAGGTAGGCATTATTCATATAATAAAATCCCACTGCAGGATCACTACATTCATAACGTAGTTAATCGAACTCACATTCGTACATACATTCAAAATTTGGAGATTACAGGCGATGAACGCCAATGCTAAGCAGTTACATCAATCCAAGAAGGATTTGATACAAAGGAAAACAAAATAAAAATGAAGATATCTATAAACGGATACCGGGATCATCGAGCAATAAGACAAAAGAGGGAATCTAATCGTTATGAAAAGGAGACCAAAAAAGTGGCCTCTCATGGCGGACATATCCGGAAATGCAAATGCGCCAAATTTAAATTTCATGACACTTGACAATAATCATACAGTGGTGTAGGGGTTCTAATTTATCTATTTATTTATTTTATATCACATATTTTATATTATATATTTATTTATTAAAATACTTTTTTTAACACTAGAACACAATAAAGTTTTAATTAATTAATAACGATAATAGTCTAAAATGTTAAACAAATTTTAAAAAACTTCAATAGAAAATATAAATAAGCTTTCATGTGACAGTTTTGACAAACAATAACATCAACAATAACATAACCCAACTAAATTTGATTTCTTAAATAAGGAAAGAGATTCTCTTTCCTTGTTTAAAGTGGCCTCTCAAAATAGCACTTCCTGTCTATCAATATGTTTGCCCCCACTACCTTTACATTCCCTCTTTTGTCTTATTGCTCGATGACTGGGATACAGGTTTCATTCGTCATTTATTGAAATGAGTCAATATTTGTAAAAATCTATTTTATTCTCACAATACACATATTTTACAAAAAAAAAAAGTATTTATACAACCTTATACCTAGCTTTGTTAAATGTATGATGACCTGCAGTTTGTAGTTTGAGTAATTCCTCTTTAATCAAACGTGTAATTTCAGCCTTGGCCTTTGACACAGCCATATCAGAAGTACTCTCAATAGCAAGATATAGTTTGCGTTCTCCATCAGGTGGATTTTTGCCAGTGGGTACATATGTACCTCGAACAGTAATTCCTGCCTCTGAGTATTCGGAAATTTGTGCTAGCGCTTCTTTAGATGTGACTCTCCATCTTGCTTGTTGAGGGAAATCATTAATTTCCAGTTCCTCTTCGTATTTTCTAAATGTTTGATCATCATCCATGTTGCGGTCTTCATCATCATCATCTTTAGGTTGATAATTCAGTTTGGTGTTAAGTTTAGCAGCAAGCTGCTCAGCTACTGTTTTAGGTGTTATAGCTGGCTGAGGACCACGGCCTTTAAGTATAGACTCAGCTGCTTGCTGGGTTGCAAATTTAGTATCCAGAATAACACTCTTTGATAAATTGATCTTCGAAGCTAATCTCTTGGCAAGTTCAAGTTTATCTACAGCTGTTACACCAACACCAAGGGCATTTGTATTAACAATACCAATTGGAGCTTTGATTTCTTTAACAGTTCTTTTAGTAGCAAACATACTTTCGATTTGTTGATCAATGTCATGTTCTAAATCTTCATCATCACTATCTGCTAAACCTAAAGCAGCTTTTTGGAATTTCTTCTTTTCATTTACAGCTGCAGCTTCAGATTCGTCAAATTTAAACCCTTTTCCACTGAAGCCTCCACCAGTGTGTACTTTCTTTCCTTCGGATTCAAGCTTGGTTTTATAATTTTCCCATAAAGTCCTCATACTTTCTGGAACAGGTACTGAAGCCAATTCGAAAGCTTTTATAAGATCTCCAGCATATCTGGCTTGTTCAGGAGTTATGAAAGTAAAAGCAAATCCCTTGTTTCCAGCTCTACCAGTTCTTCCACAACGATGAACATAATCTTCATAATGGTTTGGACAGTCATAATTAACAACTAAAATTAACTGTTTAACATCTAAGCCTCTAGCTGCTACAGATGTAGCAACAAGTAATTTAACCTTGCCATTTTTGAAGTCAACAATTGTTGAATCCCTATCAAATTGATCTATACCACCATGCAAGCTCATGCAGTTGTATGCAGCTCTCATCAGTTCCTTTAATAAAATATCCGCATTTTCTTGTTTGTCTACAAAAACAATTATGCTTCCAAGTTCTTGATAAATCCCGAGTAATTCAAGGAGTTTCAAAAACTTTTGATCCTCATCCAAAATAACAACATGTTGTTCTACATCTTTACAAACAACAGATCTTCCTCCGACTTGTACTTCTATCGGCTTCTGCAATATTCTTCTTGCTAATGCTTCCATTTGTCTGGGAAAGGTAGCACTGAACATTACAGTCTGACGGTCAGGCCTAACATTATCTATAATTCTCATTACTTGTGGTTCAAAACCCATGTCGAACATTCTATCAGCCTCGTCTAATACTATATAAGTAACTCTTCTCAAGTTGGTAACTTTGCCGCTGTTGGCAGCCAACATATCAATCATTCTACCAGGAGTACAAACAATAATTTCAGCACCTCGCTTTAATTCTGCTATTTGTTCAGATATTCCAGTACCACCATAGACACAAACTGCATGTAAGTTTAAACTCTTAGTGAATTTCTTTATATCCTTCCCAATTTGCATACAGAGCTCTCTAGTTGGAGTCATGATTATAGCAATAGGTCCGTCTGTATCTTCCAATGGGGGCTGATCAAGAATATGTCTAAACATTGGTAGAAGGAACGCCAATGTCTTACCACTACCAGTTTTAGCAATGCCTATTAAGTCTCTTCCAGACATAATTGCAGGAATAGCTTGTGCTTGAATTGGTGTTGGTTTTTCAAAGTTTAACTTTTTAAGAATATTCAATTCTTTTGTTGAAACTCCACATTGAGCCCATGTTCTAATAGGTTTGGGACAACCTTTTCCTTTCACTCTTATACCTTCCAATTCTTCTTTATATGCTTCCACTTCTTCGTGAGTCATTTTGGCAATCTCAGGCACTTCGACATAAAAGTTTTTTCTAAAAGAAATATAAACTATGTTATTGTGGTCGATTCTAGCCAATTCCTTTTTCTGTTTGTTTGCTATATTTGCAGCAGTATCTTTGAGATCTTCTTGCTCCTCTTCCGAAGAATACTCCAGTCCATCTTGATTCTGTTCCATTAATTCACCCTTTTTGACATTACCTTTTGATTTAGCAACTCCAGTTACTATAACTAAAGCACCTTTCTTCTGGGTAGCTTCTCCAGGTTTTTTGGTTACATCAATTTTGTTTATTTTGCGAACTTCAGCCTGGACCTCTTTCATATATTCATCCAGTGGATCAACTTCATCTTCTGCTTTAACTTCCTCCTTCACAGTCACTTCTACAGGTGCAGAACTAACTGATGGTGGATCAGAAGCATCATTAAACTGGGTATCAGCAGAAGATTTAGTTTCTTCTTTAATTTCCATCTAAAAAAAAAAAAATTGTAGTAAAAGATGAAGTAGTAATCAAATACTGCAAATTAAATATTTCTCCAATCAATTGTTTGCAAATAATCCTAAGGTTCATAATTAAACATTTTCACTATGTATTTATATTACTTACAGTACAACAAGTAGTAAGTGGCTGTCATTTGCATGTAAATAAAAAGAAAGTTTCATAAGAGAGGTAGTATAGACTTGTAGTCATGATGCCGTATTAGTTGTGATGTGAATAATAAGAAAATTATTTCAGACAATATTTACACAAAGGTTATGATTGAATTTAAATTTAACCTTGTACAATATAAAAGAAATATACAGTTAAAACCTTACTTCAAACCGAAAAATTGTTAGTCTTGTAGTATATATAGTAGTGTACATAATACATCCGAGCCATAAATATCTTTATCAGAATCAGTTTGCTGCATCGTCACCCACGTCAATTATAATTTGATTAATAACTACATCATATTAAGGTTCTTTTGATAAAAAGCTATCATCAATTGAAACAACTCTATCACTTTATATAAACTAAATAAGATGTTTAAGAATAATAATTGTATTTGTATGAAATGATTTTAAAAAGAAGAGAAGTGTCATAGAAATTTAAGCAGATGATTCAATATAGTCATTAAATGGACGAAATTTATTTATATTTTGACACTCTATTCTCTTAATGTAAATAACTACAGTGATGCCTTTAAATGTATATAAATAATATTATATACAAATCAGTTCTCTTTAATTCTAAATCTCTTAGAACCTTATAAATTTCTTAAAAATAAAAACCATATCCCTCCTAGTAATATGCTCATTAATAATTTTACTGCAGATTCAGCTAATCATATTGCAGATTTTTGCACAACATTAGTTATACTTTCAACATACTTTCTTAAAAAACATATATACCTTCTCTTACGCCTTATCTAAACCAATTCATATAATTGAGCTTCTTAATTTTAGATTTTTTTCCAGAATTTTAAGAGAAATGCCAGGTTTTTAGTTCAGTTTCATCATACAGTCATTCACATTCATAAACAAGACTGAGTACATTTAATTTTTTTGGTTGAGCATTATGTTGTTGTACAATGTTGTTAACTGTCATTTAATTTGGTATTGTCTAGAATTTAAGTTTAAGTAATACAGAAAACTAACACGTAAGTATTGAGAGAAATGGGCAAAGAAAGCGAAATAATAAACACAATAAAAATAAGAAAGTTACAAGATATGGGACAAGTACTGAGGGGACAACGATATGAACTGCTAAGGCTGATATTACAGGGAAAGATAAGAGGAGGAAGGAGTATAGGAAGAATGAGAGTGTCATGGTTGAATAATTTAAGGGACTGATTTCAATGCAGTTCTATAGAACTCTTCAGAGCAGCAGTAGATAAAGTAAAGAGAGTGATGATGATATCCAACCTCTGATTGGGAAAAGGCTCTTAAAGAAGAAGAAGAATTTAAGTTACTTTATTCTCATGTTTTTACTATATTATTTTTATCAATTTTATTCACTGTTTTTGTGTGCATAATATGTACATATTATGTACTGTTTATATATAGCTTTGTGGATAAATCTGTTTTTATGTTTTTGTTGTTCAGTTAAATGAATTAAAATTTTGTATTTAGTTATATTTTATAATGGGGTTTTATTCCCAAGAGAAATATATAAGATATTTTTTACCTTTTCATTTTTCTCTTCATCCTCAGAATCATCTTCCAGTGACCACTTTTTGATAATGGTTTCCGTATCCGGTTCAGATTTTATTTTACTGGCTTCTTTCTTTAAATTCTCCTGTTCCTTTTTCTTTCTCTCAGCTCTCCATCTTTCTATTCGTTCTCGTCTTTTAACCATTTCCATTTCCAACTTCTTTTGTTCTTCCTCTTTATCCAAGTTAGCCGGATCGAAAGATAAACCAGTATCATCTACTTTGGGCTTTTCCTTTGATCTAGATCGTGATTTTCTTCTCGAAATTTTTTCGACCCTTCTTTCCTTATCTCTACGATCTCTATCACGTTCTCTTTCTCTGCTGTAAGATCTTCGTTCTCGGTCCCTTTCTCGTCTTTCTCTGGATCTAGATCTACTTCTTCGACGTGGGTCTCTGGATTCCCTGGATCGGCTTCTTCTATATCGGGACGATTTTGATCTATCTTTACTTTTTGATCTCGACCTCCTTCTTTTTCTTTCAGGTGTTCTACTTCGATCTCTGCTTCGCCGCACCATATTTTAAAAATTTATGAGTAATAATACAAATTTCTAATGTTCAGACAGTTCTTTCTCTTTCAATAAAAATATCAAAACGTATATGCGTCAATATTCTTGGGTATATATTTATTTTATTAACCTAACCTCAACCTCTTTTCTTAAAAAAGATCGGCGATCGAAATCGTACGCCAAAGATATCGATTTTTTTTTAGAATATGAAGCTAATTCCCTTTATTTGTAAAACTAAATTATTTTATTCAGTCTTTTTTAAATTTAGAGCTATTTTTATAATAAATTTTTTTCTTATATATTTAAATTTAAATAGGTGATTTAAATTTAAAGATTTTTCATATTATTTATTTTCAAATCACATCTCTATTCTGTAACCAAATGGATATTTCGATTATTAGTTTATTTTAATTTTCGATTAAAACGTACAAATGAAATTGACATTTGACTTTGACAGTGACAATATTTTGATTAGGGTGAAAGGTGAAATTGTGATTGTGATTTATATTTTTAAAACACGTGAAATTGAAATGTTTTAAAGGTTTAGATTATTTGTTTAATTAGGACAAACCTGTAAACATGTCGGTTTGGAAGAAAGCTGCGAAAGCAAATCAAAAAACCCACAGGGAACGTCATCAACCTGAAGAACGTTCCCATTTAGGCCTCCTGGAAAAGAAAAAAGACTATGTGCTCCGTGCAAAGGATTTCAATGAAAAGAAAGCTACTATAAAACTTCTTCGTAAAAGGGCCTTAAACAAAAACCCCGATGAATTCTACCACCACATGATTAATTCAAAAATTGAAGATGGAACACACACTGAGATTGAAAAAGATGATGAGTGTTCACCAGAACAATTAATGTTGATGCGAACACAAGATTTAAAATATATAACTACGAAGAAAACTCAAGAGCTTAAAAAAATAGAGAAGTTGCAGTCCCAACTCCATTTATCCAGTATAGACTTTTCTAAAAATAATAAACACACATTTTTTGATAAGGAAAAGAAAAAAGAAGCTTCGAACAGAACATTGAAGATGCTGATGGAGAAAGAACTTCCTGATATTAGTGAGGATGTATTACTGAAATCAGCTAGAAAGACACAAGCATTGTACAAGGAATTAGCGAAGAGGATAGATAGAGAAAGGGAACTATCAGTAGTTCAACAAAAACTTGAGGTCAAACGTGCCTTAGAGAATAAAAAAGGAGTGTTACCACCTAAGCGGGTCAGGAAAGGTAATAAAGATAGTGCTCCAGTCTATATGTGGAAATATGAAAGAAAAAAATAGCAATTTTCTAAATATATATGTATATTTTTAGTAAAAAAGTTTATAAAATGATATTTTTTTTGTACACTGTATCCTTTTCTTCATTTTCTTTTCATATTTATCACAAGTGTCAAACAAGAGTTGGAATGAAGCCAAAATCTATAAAAAGGTCAGGCAGTCATCAAATAAAAATCAGCGCGCAGGAAACAAGACCTTGCACCAATATAATGAAGATTAGAGTAAGAGTACATAGTATTAGGATATCATAGTTCAAAAGACAGGTTTTCAAAATCTGTTAATAAAACTGGTTCATCTTCATGACCATCTGCAAGCAATATTTTTCCAACCACATCATCTAACAGGGCACCATCTAACCCTTTTGGTTCAGCTACCTTCACATCTAAATCTTCTAACCTCAATTTGTGACCTTTTTGCAAATTGGTCCTATATACTAAAGACTTTCCAAGTTTCTCATAGCAAGCTTTTTCAGATTCCTGCAATTTTTTAATAGGAACCCCCATGGCTAATTCAATACTTCTAATGTTATGAATTAAGATCTGCAATTCAGTGGGATTTAAAGAACAGCTATGGTCGGATCCTTTTTGATTTTTATCCAATGTGATGTGTCTTTCTATAATCTGAAAATGAAATGAAGATCATAAATTTAACCCCGTCTTACATTTTGGAATTTTACAAATGGATAAAAATAGAACATTTAAAAATTTTGGTAGGAGATCATGGGGCACAATGAAACACAAATTTGTTTTTTTATTTTTCCTCATTCCATCATCTTTATTTTTGTATGTAGGTATATCAGTTTGAAATGTGTTTTAAAAGATGCCCTTCGGTACTAGGAACAGACTTATAGTAGCATCAAAGAACTTATTAACTATTTTGAGTAATATTCAGTTCAAGTTTAAAAAAGAATGTTTCATTGTGACCCACCACTGGGCCACAATGATAAAAAATAATATAAAATCAAAGAATATAATTCAAAATAATAGTGTCCTTATTAAAATGTGTTATTGTTATATATGGGTAAGGAAATTTTTACATTACTGATGGTAGTAGAAGTAATGGGGTCTTGAGAGTTGTTATTGAAACTTGAGGAGTTGGCATCTGCATCGATTTCCATTGTTGAGTTGTTGATTTTTTTAGCAGGAGCATCACCTCACGGTTGATCCTCTTTTACCTGACAAGTAGCTGGCAAGTCCGTCATTGGTCGATCGGTACCCTAATTACATAAATAATCGGCATCAGTGATAACATGTCTGTCATATAGATAAATCCCTGTTTTCTTAAAAGTAGCAGTGGAGTCATTCCTCTAGCGTGAGCAATTAAGTACCTCCAATGATAAATGATTTTCGTGGTTGTCACATAATATCAGAGTGAGCGATTGCATGCTGGTTTTTGAGTGGTGGATGAAATGTTTAATATCTTCAACAAATAATACAGAAGTCATCCAGTCTGATGGATTTGCCAAACCGAGAGTATCAGTTGGGGCTTCCTGCACCATGTGAGGCTTAAACTGTACACATGAAAATATCATGACGGGGGATACACTTGCCGCTCGCTGAGATGAAACAACATATTGTCACATTAGTAGCTTTCTCAGCACTAGCACTTGCTGACCTGCTTAGCTCTTTTTTCGGCAATTATTTTTTGAGTCTTCTGAACTGTATGTGCGCCAGTTTCGTCCAGATTAAATACTCGTGTTCCATCTGCAAAGTAAGGATTTTTGTATACTGCTTGCAAATTGTCAAAAAACACTTTTACATTTGCCTTTGTGAAAGAAGTAGATCGGGACAAACTACATCTCTCAGGCGTTCTTTGGCTGAGCAATGTATTTATTTTCAAAAACCCATAGAATCAATCTTGTCCTGCCGATTTTTTAGCGTCCCACGAAATTGGATATTTTATTTTATTTATTACTGGCATGTCTTAGGCAACTTTCTTCCATTCCGCCACTGGAACACATTAGCAAATACTCTCTCAATTTATTTTATTGTTCTACATTAAACACTTGTCGGACATTATAGTGCGGAACATATATTGTAGCGAAGAGAAGATAAGAAAAGTATATAATTCACATTTTACCTTTGCACCCAAAGCTACAGCTGCTGCGGTTATATGAGTACCAAGCTCATGTCCGGAATAACCAATGAAAACGTCGGAAAAGTGCTCCTTGTATAAATTTATAACACTTAGATTTATATCATCGACAGGTGTTGGATATGATGATACACAATGCAGAAGAGCAAAGTTTTTATGGTATTTCGATACAATTTTGTAGATAGCCTCCACTGTTTCAAATGACTGCATGCCTGAAACAACATACAGGATGTATCAGACATAACCATTATTTATTGATAATATTTTTCTTAGAGTTTATAAAATTGAAATTGTGCTTTAAAAGAACGAGATATTATTATTTATAACCGTATATTGAAATATTTTATAACAAATTAAAATTTACTAGAATTAATCCATTCGTCAGAGATTTGATCTCTAAAAACCAAACGAACAAGCTGAATTTTCAGGCAGAATCGAAAAAATCGATTTACCAAAATTTATTTACTTAGTAAAAGATGAATAGACTCCAACAGCACTCCAAGCTTTTATATCTGGCATTTCAAAAAGTTTTAATAAATTATTTTAGAAATTTGGAAAAAAAACAAAATGTTAATATTAGAATAAAGTGCCATAATATCGGATAAGTACCTATTATCGGATAGTTATGTTTTAAAGAAACCTGTAATCTGATTAACAAAAGAAACCTATGTCCATAATGTCATAGCTAATTCCGAAATTAAAAATAAACAAATGTGAGCCTTAAAAAAAACAAATAAAAATAAAGGAAAACTAATTGCTAAGAAGACAATGACAACCAAGATTAAAAAGAAAAGTGCTAAGAAGAGGAAGCTTAAGTTCATCTGAAGAAGTTGAAGAATTCATTTTAGATGATGATTCTGATATGGAGTGTGACATTGGAGAAGAGGAAGCAGAATGTATGTTTTTTACTGGACTTTTCTCTGAAGATACCTCGAGCGAACAATGCAATTGCATTCAGCGCTCAAAGTGTTTTAAGTGAGGTCACACCGACTGCACGAATGTAGACCAAAAAGACACATGTATTTGTAATTTCTGCCTCGTTGGCTAATTTTATCCCAATATCCGGTATTAGGAATATTTTTTTGTCAGTCTAAATTTACCGTTTTTTATAAAAATTTAAAATTTATTTTTTACTTCTTAGAAATCATTTACTTATTTTCGTTCAATAAATTATTCTCTATAGTCTATTACTTGTTTTGCTCTAAAATATTCACACATTAATTAACGTATTAAAACTAATATTAGGGGTCAAAAAAAGTATCCGATATTAGGACACTTACTCTAATATTCAATTGGTGAAAGAATGGTGTAGACGATTGCCAAAAAAAAATTACGCGGCAAATTGGAAATGGTTGACAGTGAGAAATGATGGACAGATGAAACAAATTGAATAACTGTAATAACATTCTAGAGACTTTAAGACTTACCAGTCGATATGATTAAAAATAATCCACTTTGTGCAGCTCTCTCAATCAGTATAAAATTATTAGCATCCCCAGATCCAACTTTAATAAACGGCACGCCACTGCTGATTAAAAACTCAAGAGATTTCATATCCATAGCTGAAGCACTCAATAAAATATCAATCGATTTTGCAAATGTTTGTAGCTCCTTAAATTGTTCTTCGCTAAATTCCAAATACTTTTTATGTTCACCGTAAGTCGTTCCAAATGAATTTGGGGAGTTGTATGGTCTACGTAAAGCACCATGATTAAATTTCTCCGTTAGTGTTGTTTTCTGTAATTTTGCACAGTCTGCTCCACAGTCCTGAAAATATTTACAAATCGTAAAAAATAAGTAATTTACATATAACTGACAAATAAATATATTACTATAGTAATATATATGAGAAAAACTAGTAAAATCTGGCGACTTAATTTTTGTTTTACCTTTGCTATTTTTATTAGCTTTTTTGCTATTGCTAAGCACCCTTGATGATTTTGTCCAATTTCAGCAATAACAAACGTTTTCGAATTTTGTAAATATTTTGTAAAATCCATTATGGACAGTAAAATAAATTTAATCTAATCTGGGAACACAAAACAAACAGTTAATTTAATATCCCTTTATTAAATAAATATTAATTAGTTTTATTGTAATTTAAAAGATGGTCTTGTACAAATGGTTAAATATCAATCTATCAGCTGGTTAAATACCAAACACAAAACAAGACAACTTTACAACAACTGATTTAACAGCAATAATTATAAATATTAAAAATACAATATAACTGCTTTAAAACTTTCTACAATAATTGAATATTTACAATAAAATCAAAAATTTAAAATTTACGTTTCAATTATTTTTTCACATATATTTTTTTGTCTATGGTTGGTAGCACTGATTACAAGCGCAACCGCTTTGGCGGTATCACTCAATTTTTTCTTTCTCGAAAATGGTGCTAATATAAATGTCACAAAAAAGTTTATATTCGCGTAATAGGTCATTTGAGTTCCAGTAGGGATATTATTCAAAATATATAAATATGGTATAAATTGTAGTTTACACTAAAAAACAAACAAGTTTAAAATAATTGGTGTATTTTTAGTAGTATTTATTTTCGGCCAGAATTTTTTTGGTGATCAAAAAACAAACTTGTTGATGAGTTGAAACCGTTTTTTTTATTGATATAGAAATGGAGCCTCAAGTTATGACAAATAATAAGTTAAATATACTGTCAGACACCATGTTTTATGATATTCTCGCCAAAAAATCTTACCCATTTAATAACTATAGGAAACACTCAGAGAAAGATAAGTTGGAAGCGTTAAATAACAATAAAGGTGAGTTTGTATTAATAAAACAGTCAAAGTTAACGTTCTAAAAAACATTCTGTACTTTCCTATATTAAAATCAACCTCATATATGACTATGATTTAAGTCATATTAATGACTAATGGTTCTTAGGATAATAAAATATTATTTACATGGATTTTAGAACTTATTAAATTAGAATCGGATATGGGAAATTTAGAGGTAATAAATCCAAATGTTACATTGGTTAGTTTTCCACTAACTATGATGCCTCCTCCTCCCCACAAAATTGTCAATTATAATAACAATAAGGTAAAACAGTACCACCCTAGAGACTCGCCTAGACAAAGAGATAATTATAGACCCATATCCCCAAAAGGATATGACAGTGATGAAAGCTGTACCTCTTATTCTTCAAGAGAAACACCTCCAGAAAGCAGTAAGTATATTAATGTATTGTGTGTGTAGATCTCTAATATGTATTTAATAATTCAGTAGAGGTGAAATAATAAATTAGAAAAAAAACTAAATAACTATGAAGTTAGTTGCCTGTTTACTGCTGCTACTAAGATTTTAACTTCTTGATTAATGTTTTAATAAATATATATTAATATCCTATGAGTACCAGATTAAAATATATCATTTAAATATAATTTCTCACTAAACAGTGTTACTGAATTTGCAGGATTAAAAAAAATTATCCAATTCCATTGAATGTTCAAAATAATCAATATCAAAATAGATATACAGTAGACTCCCTCTATAACGAGAACTGAAATGACAGACTAATTACCTCATTATAAGTGGATCTCATTATATCCAACAAAAATAATGCTGTGCATACATATGAAGATGTAGTTTTCTAAAACATTAAATTGTAGCCATTTAAAGCAATATAAGATGCCAATAAGCGTTTTGTCTTTGGATAAAGTTTCTGACAACCTTTAAAACACTTTCCACATCTTGTCTATTAGGACCTATATTATTAGGTGTGAATGGTCAACCCCCTACAATGACACTTGTGAATGTTTTTCAATTTTATTTTTTCTCGTTATAAGCAAATTTACTTCGCCATAGAGGGTTATAGTTCAATAAAAATTTCACAGGACATTAATGTACCTTGTTATAAGCTAAACCTTGTAATAACGGTGTTCATTATAGAGGCAGTCTACTGTATTATGAACAAACACCACAAAGCATTGATTTAATTTTTAAAAAAATTATTAATGATGTTCTATATAGGATAGATTACCGATAGACAGATTTCTGAGGTTTTTCTATATATTTCATGTAACAGAACATTCAAAAATAAAAAAAACTTAATGTATACAGTTATTGTATTATAAATTCTTCTCCAATTTATTAGATATTAGTAGATCAAGTATCATAGATTTTTTATAATATTTGATATTAAACTTAAAATTTAAAATATTTTTTATCTTTTTCCATTTTATAATGAATGTAATATATTCCTTTTCTTTTATTTCTTTATTTTTTTGAGTTTGTTGATGATTACACAGCACAAGTGGTACAATATATGACTATTCTAAATAATATTTACTACAAGACAAATATTTTCTAATAAATGTGAAGATTAGAAGTTACATGAAAAGTTGAACTGTTCTTTCAGTTTGTCATTGAATACTATTTCTCCATATTTTTACTTTACTGTTTCAGAGCATCTATCAATGCTCTCTACTATTTTCTTCTTTTTTTTTTCAAGGGGTAAAACATACCAATTTAAGAAGTACTGTGAATAGAGGTGATGAACAAACTGTAGTAGTAGGAAAATATTGTCATAATTCTCCAAGTGTTTACCATTCACCTAATATTCATTATCATGTACAACATAGTCACAGTACACACAACAGTAATGGGCATTACAACAAAAACAGGTAACAGTTGAAGTCAATGTGTTTCCTGTTAGGTGTCTTGGCCAAATGCTTTACAGTAGGTCAAAGTAAATGACTTTTGTTTAAATTGATATTTCTATCTAAAAGTAATTTGATATAAACCACTGAATATTATTATTGTAAATGATTTCTCTCTGTTAACAGTATAAACAGATATTTTTACTATTACCAACAGTTCATACACATATAAGGGCCAATATTTCATTAACTAGGACTGCTATTTTTTCCAAAAGCAGCTGAGTAATTCCATGTCAAGTGATCACAGTTTAAAACTTTTTTATTTGTGTGACATTTTGCATACTTTATTTTGCTTTTTACAATTCTTAAATACAAATTTCAATTCATATATTTAGAATTTTGATCGCTGTAAAATAAGAACATGTTTCATTACTAAAGATGAGCAAATATGCACAAAAAAGTTAAGGAAATATGCACACATATATGCAAGTATTATCAGAATATGCAAAAAATACATATATGTTAACAGTTTTTTGCTTAAATGCTGAATATGAAGACTTGGATCGAAGAATCCTTTATGGAAAGAATTTCTGATTGAATTGGTAGTAAATAATATTTGCAGATTTTAAAAGCAGCAGCAGAACGAATGGGGTTATATATAAATCAAAATAAAACCAAATTCATGGCGACTAACACAAACACAAGAGCTGGAAATATTGACACAGATTTAATCATCAATGTCCAAAACTTCGAAGCAGTTAGAGTTCATATATCTAGGGACATCGGTTAACCCTAATAATAACACATCTGAGGAAATAAATAAATAAATAGATGATAAAAAAGATTCTAACAGCGCAACTTCTGGTAATGAGAAGACAGGGTAGACCAAAGCTGAGGTGGATGGATGGGGTAACATAAGATGCCGAGAAGATTGGAGTCAGCAACTGGAAATTGCAAGCAAGGGACAGAACAGAATGGCGGAGATAGCTGAGAAAGTCGAGGCCCTCTAAGGGCTCTATCACCAAGATAATGATGATTTTAAAACACTTTATTTTATGTAGCACAAATTCAAGATATTTTACTCTTTAATTTTGTTAATTGTTGGTAATAAAAAATGAGTGTGCAAAATTTGAGACAAATCTAAGTGTTTCAATTAATAACTCATTCACTCAACTAGATATTGTTTTATATTTTTTGTAGGTTGTTTTTGACAAGTAGCCCCGATAAATAATATATGTTCCCTTTTTCCAGCATCAAAAAGGATATGTTATAAAAACCACAATATCCTGAGGTTAATTGAAAAATATCAATTTAAATAAAAGTTTTTTATCTAAATGTGTTGTGTTTGCTAAGTTTTTCTTTTAAGTTTGCATGTCTTTTGTGTTGTCCATTGTTTATTATTTGCTTAAGCTTCTTTTTCCATATAATTTTTATTTAAGCTGTTAATATCATAATCTTTTATAATATCTGTTGTTTTGTGATTGTTATATAGACAGTTGGGATGTATAGTACACAGAAATAAGCAAAAAACAGTGTTTAGTTTAAAAAATCCCAATTTTTCAACTTTTTGCTTACTAAAAAACTTAATATTTGGGATAAAATTATGTACTCTCACTAAACAAGCCTCAAAGAGATAGTGACAGAGAGCAAGCTTGCCAGTTTTATCAAACAGACCTGTCATCTACAATGGAGTCATGGCAACCCCTCATAGGGATAGATCATTCAAAATCTACCATGGGTCCGAGACCTATGTTCATCAATGAAAGTCAACAGAAATATTTATTACAAGCGAAGTGTCTATTGTATTAACTTTTAAACATTTTTCATTAATAGAAATTTCTGTAGGAATATGTTTTAACATTTTTGGTGAAAAGAAGTGTCTCTTATATTAAGTTTTAAATATTTTTTTTCAGCACAAGTGTCTTATATTAAATTTTAAACATTTTTCTTACACAGAAATCTCTATGATGTTAGTTTTAAACATTTTTCTCCAACATAAGTCTCTCATGTGAAAATAAAATCTTTCTCCACTATTTCATTCCTTGTTTTAATTTCCTTTTAGTTTTTGTACTATCAATGTGACAAAAACTTTTTCCATGCACAAACTTTTGTGAGAGTTTGCTAATTCATGAATTTCAGTCTTCTTTTGATTAGACAGTAATATGAGGTGAGATGTTGCAATATACCAGTTTTCTTAAAATTTATATATTTTTTCCTGGACTTTGTTTGACAAATATTCTTCTTCACTGGCTTGTATGAGTCTTCGCTGCATCCACTACTGCCCTCCATCTTCTACGATCTTGCACTTATATTTCCTATTGTTGTACCCCAATTCTAGATAAATCGACTTCAACATCATCCTTCCATATTTTTCTCGGTCCTCTTTGAGACCTCTTTTTTTATGTGGTTGTCAGCTGTGTAGGTATTTAAACTCCTTTACTACTTCGAAGTTGTGATCATTAATACTGATGTTCTGTCTAAATCTTGGTCTTGGATTTTTGGTTACTACCATGTATTTCGTATTTTGTTCATTTATTCAGAGACCCAGACTACCTGTTTCCTTCTCGAGCTGTGAAAACACCTCTCTCACGTCTTTTGTAGAATGTGGGACTGCATCTATATCATCAGCAAAGGCCAGTAACAGTTGATCCTTGATCAGCAAATCCTCCTGTCAGCTCAGACGATATTTTACGTATTACATATTCTACAGCAAAATTGAACAGCAACAGTGATAAGGGGTCCCCCTGCCTAAGTCCTGAATTTATACCAAATGGCATCAATGTTCTGCTTCCTATCTTTCCTTGCGCATATGAGTCTGTCATGCACATTTGCGTTAATTCAACTAATTTTCTTGGTATTCCAAGCTATCCACAATTTGCTTCTTTTTATAGAATCATATGCTTGCTGGAAATCTATGAAAATTTGTTATGTTATGTATATTATTATAAAAATTGCTTTGTTTAACAAATATCGGTTTAAATCATTAAACTTTCCAGTTTGGTTTTCGTGAGAATTAATTGAGCTTGTCATACAGAAAAAAATAGCTCACAAGAATTTTAAAGCATCAGGCAACTCATATGATGAATTTTCGGTGCTAAGGGAAAGATGTAAACCATTACAAGCAGTATGTTATAAGAACTATTTAGAGAATATTCAAACAAATCTTTCAAGTAATCCCCACTCTTTTTGGAGGTATGTTAGTACTACACGTGGGTCTAGTGCTTATCCTAATGTAATGTCTAATAAAGGTGGGGATGTAATAGCTTAGAATGGTGATGAAATATTCAATTTATTTGCCAGCTATTTTGCAGGTACATATTATAATGATAGTGAGTGTAATGTACCTAATTTTAAATTGGACTATAATGTGGATTTCCAGAGTCTGAAGTTTAGTCTGACTGATGTTTTCGAGGGGATTAGCGGTTTAAAAACTACATATTCTTCAGGGCCTGATGGTATATCTGCAGCACTTATTAAGAACTGTATTTTTTCCCTTTGTAAACCTTTACAACAAATTTTCAATTTATCATTGTCATCATCTGTATTTCCACAATATTGGAAAAATAGTTTTCTTACAGCTATCTATAAATCTGGCAATCGTGAGTGTGTTAACAATTATAGAGGTATAACTATTCAATCAGCAATCCCGAAACTTCTTGATAAATTGGTATCAATAAATCTCACCTGGGCTTGCAGAAACATAATTATTGATGAACAACATGGTTTTTCTAATGGGAAATCAACTGTAACAAACCTTCTCAATTACCAACAATACTTGTTGAGAATATGAGAATACTATAGTTTATTGTTTTACCTCCTAGAAATTTTGCTATTACATTATTATATTGTTTAGCATAATTGTTACTCATATTTTTTAAAAGACTATGTGCATAGAATTTTAATCTTGCTGCATATTAGATGTATTGTTTTTCAAAAACTTTATTCTTAAGTCACTTGGTTTATCTGACTGTTGAACAGTGCATTTGAGAATAAAATTTAGGTTGACAGCGTTTACACTGATTTCTCAAAGGCCTTTGACTAGGTTAATCATAATCTTTTGGTCCACAAACTTCATGCATCTGGCTTTGGTGACCCCATTGTTAATTGGATTAAAAGTTTTCTGATGGGACGTACACAGCAAGTTCGTATTAACAATTATATTTCAAAAGAATTTCATTGTTATTCTGGTGTACCACAAGGGTCTCATTGTGGTCCCTTGTTTCTTAACTTGTTCATTAACGATATTGGTAAGGCTATCAAAAATTCACACTTCCTGCTATTTGCTGATGATCTTAAGATATTTCGTTGTATACATAATAAATCGGATAGAGATCTCCTGCAAGATGATGTAAACAACATATGTTTATGGTCAAAACAAAATGGTTTAAGCTTAAATCCAACTAAATGTTCTTGTATTTCATTTGGTCATATAGATAATCTAATGGCTAATAGATATATTCTTAATGATGTACTCTTGGATTCAGTTACTGAGATTAGAGATTTGGGTGTATTATTGGATTGTGCATTGACATTTAGAAGCCATTTTCTTAAAATTAAGGAAACAGGATTTCGTAATCTCGGTTTTATTTTTCGCAACAGTCATGATCTCTCACCTATTGTATTTAAATTATTGTATTGCTCTCTGGTACGCTCAGGTCTTGAATACTGCTCTGTTGTCTGGTCCCTGTTTCATCAAGTATACATTGATGGATTGGAGAGCATTCAGAGGAAGTTTCTAAGATCTTTAGCTTTTAAAGCCCATATTAATATAAAAAATACTGAAAATTATTTCATAGATTATTCTATAATAATGTCTCATTTTAACATTGATACATTGAAGAACCGCAGGTTGAGAGCTGATATGTTATTTTTGTTTAAAATTCTGAACAATGTTATTAATTGTCCCTCGTTATTGGCCAATGTACACTTAAACACAATGCATAGAACTCGACACACTGCACTCTTTCATATTCCTTTTTATAGGATTGATTATGCTTCCGAAACTGCCTTCCATATTAAAAATAATAATTGTTTCTATTATTTTTTTCCTGAAGCACTTTCAAACAGCCAAAATTTGATTTTTTTGTGGTTATCTCTCAGATTTTGATTTTATTTCTCTTGTCAGCTTATCATCTGACTATTACCTTGCAGTTAAGGATAATTAAAACAATATATGATTAAAAAAAAACAATGTAATTGTCTACCATCTACCAATACATCAAAAAACAAAAAAAAATGCATTTTACTATAATTTTAACAATAAATAATTATAATTTAAGTAATCTCTACAATATATCTTTTTCAACATCTGCCATCTTCCACTGATGTTCTGTGATTTCCAAGGCTTCCCACTCTGCTTTAAATGGCACTTTTGGATCAGCAGGCATTCCAGATGCAGCTCCAGTCATCTGCATCTGTTCTTGCATTTGTTTACTTTGATCAGCAGCATTATTTTCTCCCAATACCAATGTATATATGCTTCTTAAACCAAAAACATTCAGGAAATACCAAGAAGCTGATGATACCCAACTTGGATCTAAATGTGACAGTTCTATTCCTCTTTGCAACATAGATTTGAATCTCAGGGTTAGTGGAAATGGTACTTTTGTTGTTATAAAGCCAGAAAACATCCAATTGATCCAACCTCCGATCACTATCATAGGTAGGACATTTGTGAGATTACCTTTGAGCATATCTGTCATCATTGTTGGATCAGTCATCATGTTTTGGGTCACTGCGGGGCGTTTTTGCATTAAATACCCATCCTCTTTGTTGAAGGCTTGCTTTCTAATTAAAAAGGAATTCTTTGGAATATAACCACAATTTTCTCTCAAAGCCCTGGCCCTTAAAAGGAGCTGGGAGTCTGCTAACTGCTGAAGTTCAATCTTCTTTTGACTAGACAGTAATATAGAAGCGTAATGTCTTAATATACCAGTTAGGAATGTAATAACTACAATTGGTAAAAACACCCAAAAACGAATCTGGGGATCTACGACTAAGTCCGCACCCATCTTTGACGCCTCTTTACTTTTTATTCAAAGGTACGCTTTTAATCTACTTTAATTCTTCCAAATTTATAGTAAATTGAGTAATTATTAGTTAATTTTTTATTTAGAACATTTTTATTGATTCACTACTTCTGGAGAGAACTTAACCTGTTAAAAATGTGACAAGACAAGTGTCATATGTACAAAGAGAGAAATAGACTTGTACATTGAATGTATTCAGTCACATCCTACAAAGAAATGAAATTCGTTCTTTAAAGGAAAATGTGGTTAAACATCTTTATATTCGCATAATATATTCCATTTTTAACATCTGTATTGATTTAATTTATACTAACTTAATTCTTAATTGAACCAATCTATTCGGGTCTGTGGCGTTTTAATATTATATACTATCTTAAATGGAGGTTACAATTTGAGTTTAAAATACGTTTATTTTGATTAATTTTAATTAATATCTAATTAAGAATTGAAATAAATTTGTTCATTTTTTATCTTGGTTAAATTAGGGGTACAAAATCTCTTCAATGAAAAGAAAAATGGATGAGATGAAAACTAAAAAACACTTCTTATGGTATAATTCGATTTTTCCTATAGTAGACGAACATACATTTGCTTTCCTGACATTGATAACTGCGTCTCCTAAACCTCAACGAACTAAGGCTTTAGCAGTCTTCATTATTCCAAACTACTAGGTATGCAAGCTGTTTGTCATTTTCTCATTAGCCTTTTTCGATGCGTGAGAAAATTGCTACAACGGTACTTAAAGAAGAGGAAGCAACACATTATTTTATCTATCGTTTATGTTGACAATTCTTTTTAGATACTATACCAACAGTAATAATAATAACCACAATTCCAACTCCAACGGCCGTCAAAAATATAACAGTCACTCGAAAAATAATATGGATACCATGATAAAGAGGGCGCACGGATTAGTGGAACGATTTAAATCTCGTGCGGAAATGTTGAAAATAGAACCCAATCCGCCCGGATTGTCTAGCGGAGGACCATGGGACCAACTTAATCAAGAAATTTGGGATCTTTTTATTAATAGGGCGCAAAAAGAGAAAACGTACGACATGAAAATTAACTTATGGAAAGATTTATTTTTATATATAAGGGTGAGTAATTTAAAATATTATTGTAAGGGTAAAGATGTAGTTTTAAAAATATTCGTGCAAATAACTTGTTATAACTTATAATGTGTATCATGTAGAATAATTTCCATTTCAGAAGTGTTTAAGCAGTTACGGTTTGTTTATGGTCGGATCCACCATGTCGGGATTCGGTTTGGAAAGTAGTGACATCGATATGTGCTTGCTAACGAAACCTTGTGCGAACGACCCTCGATTGGATTCTCTACACCATCTGGATGCGATCCGCGAACTTCTAGTCAAAAATGGTAAGTATCTTGTCCTATATCGCTGGTGATAATAGTTTTATCTTAATGTTAATTTAGTTCAGATATGAGGGTGTAAAAGCTCTAGGACCAGGTGGTATGAGTGAACAAACAATCCAGTTAAGTAAATCTAGATGATAACGCGAAGTTATTCGATGATATTTACTACACGGGACAGATTCTAAAAGCTAGACGTCGCTTATCAGTCTATCTAAAACTTTATGTGTGAATTTTTGCGAAGACAAGAGGCTAGTAAGTTATACTAATGTATAAAACTTTTTTGATGTAGCTAGAAAGATCACCAATGATATACAGTGGAACTTGGTTATAGCGTCATTGAAGGGTCCAATAAAAAAATGACGCTATATCAGAGTGACGTTAAAAAAGAGGCTGAGAAAAATAAAATTTTAATGAGGGAAAATATTATTACAGCATTATTGGGTATAGTAGATATATTATTTGTTAATTAGTGTGGGCCTAAACATGATAATTTAACATAGTTTACGATATACCGAAAATATAACATTTACTTAAGTCAAATTAAAAAAAAAAACAAGAATCATTTTAGGATAAAAAACAATTATAAAACAAAACATATTATGTATGTATATGAAACTTACATTGTGTAAAAAAGTTCTATTGCTGAAAAAAGTCCGTTATTTTCTTTTGCACAACCCTTTCCGATAAATAAAGTTTTTCTGTTGTTTCCTTAATAAGCTGAGCTGCTTCTTTGGTATTTGTGGATGCCTCCCTGAACTGGTAAAGCCTGGATATGGTCTCAGCAGCTCTCATTGCTTCTTGGATTGTAGGACAAGCAACGATGTCTTCTTCTTCTTCAGCTTCATCGATATCTATTTCCACGTTTTGCACCAGTTCAACAATTTCTTTATCACTTAGGACTTGAAATGTTTCCATCTCATCGTCTACTGAAATGTAGGAGTCAAGATCAGTTCCGAACGCTCCCTGATTCACATTAAATTTTTGTATCCACTCTGACAAAGGCATTTCGTCATCTTTATCAACGTCCTCAACATTGAGGGAAGCTACAGTCAATTTTGCTTGACGAAAACACTTATGAATTGTCACTGACGTAACCGCACTCCACGCATTGTCTAAAAACTGAACAGCATCCAGGATGGTAATGTTCACAGGTTCTCCATTATCCATACAAAAAATCATTCTTTTTAAAAGCTGTTTTCGATAATAGCACTTTAAACTTCTTATGACTCCCTGGTCCATAGGCTGCAAGACACTCGTGCAGTTGGCTGGTAAGAACACTAGATTTATATTGGTCAAATTAAGTTTGGCACAGTTGTCAACTAGGAGAAAAATTTTTCTTTTTTTGAAAGAGAGTTCCTTGTCCCACTTTCTCAATTCTTCTTCAAAAATAGCAGAAGTCATCCATGCTTTTTTATTGGCTGTGTAGTTTACAGGTAGTGTTTTAATGTTTTTGAAACATCTAGGATGTAAACTTTTCCCAATAACCAAAAGCTTTCTTTTCTCCGTACCTGTCATATTTGCACAAACAAAAGCCGTCACTCTTTGCTTGGAAAGTTTTCCACATACACATTTTTGATTTTTGAAATTTAAAGTTTTGTCTGGCGTTAATTTATAAAAGACACCTGTCTCGTCACCATTAAAGATATCTTTATCTTTGTATGGTTGCCTTTGTTGTGGCCATGTGTTTTGTAACCAGTCACTTGTTACGTTCTCGTCCACACATTTTGCCTCTCCAACAATTTTCGAGAAGGAAATTGAGTGCCTGGCTTTAAACCGATCTAACCAGCCGTTAGAGCATGTGAAATCTTCACCAAACAATTTTCCTCTGTAGCTTTCTCCTTTAAAAGTGGCCCGGACACAGGGATATCGGAACTGCGACACTGCTTGAACCATTTGAGTAGAGCTGAATCTACATCACCACGAATGCACTTCCTAATCTTTTTAACATTGTTTCCGTCCTCTTTAAAGGCTTTTAAAATTTTGTCCTTGTTTTTTATGGTTGAGCCGACAGTCGAATTAACAAGTCCAAATTGCCGGCATACATCAGCAATTTTTCGACCACTTTCAAATGCTCTTATAACACGCACTTTTTCTTTAATAGGCAAAACCTTCCTTTTAGTGCTACAACTTGCCATATTAAAAAATAAAAGCTAATTACCAAATTAAAATAAAAAAAAAACAAAACGATCCGAACACAATTTCACGGTAGCGAAAATTTCTTAAACCGACTGTTCCGAAACAGAAAATTTGACTGTTAGGAGTGTTAGGACGGCACTGATAAATGCGAAATTATAGATTGTCAGGGTAACATAACTGTACACAAAAGGGATAATGGACCTTTCTTACATTCTTGGAAGGAACAAATGCCGCAAAGCCAGAAACGCATTGCACTTTATTCTTCATAAAATAAAAAAAGGATGACCTACTATAAAATTTTATGACGCTATAACCGAGGGTTAGTTTATTTTTAGCCGATAAAACCGGGTTTTTAATAACGTTATGGAATAGTTTTTGACCGGACCTATTAAAAATTGACGTTATAACCGAGATGACGTAACTACCGAGACCGTAATAAGCGAGTTCCACTGTACTGCGAACGGCAGCTAGATGATTCTTGAAGAGAGAGTCGTGGGTTAGAAACTAGCTTTTGAAATTAGTTTAACACAACAAATTATCATAGATAAGAAGATTATTTTGTTTAACAAATCATCATAGGTAAGAAGATTGTTTTGTCTAACAAATTATCATAGATAAGAAGAAAATGATAGACAAAGGGCGCCACTTAACTTTTTGTATATAAAAAAGAATATTAAGAAACCGTAGATCCAATAAAGGGCGCCACTTAACTTTTGGTATATAAAGAGAGAATATTAAGAAACCTTAGAACTAGAAGAAAGTAAAAAGTAACAAATTATAATTCACAAAGAAATGAATCCCTGTTGCTTAAAATTTTTATTAAAAAAAATCCTTTATAAAGTATAATAATATAAAAGCGGTGTAGCGGTATAGGTATAATAATATAAAAAATTCTAGCGGGCGACATCACAGAACGTTTTTGAAATAACTTCCGTCATTAGTGCTTTATACGTTTACATGATGGGCAAAAATTCTTTAAGTATAGTTAAGCTAATTTTAAATTACGTTTTTGATAAAATACTAGGATGTTTGTTATAAACGGAATTAACTGTATGGCAATATAGGACTCCACTGGGGTTGCTTGCCCTTACATGAGGTATCTATGACATCTAATTATCCTAGTATTTGATCATCAAAAATGTAATTTCAAATTAATTTAACTATATTTAAAGGGTTTTTACCCATGTTCATCATTTTTAACCATGTCTTTAAACTTTACAGTAATAAACCATTCAACTCTTCAACTGACGTTTCGATTTCCAGTTCTTAAATTATTTTCGGAATTTTTCGGCCTTCAGGATTAAATTTCGTATTTATTTTAGAGGTGACCGCAGATCCGGAGTTAATATTGGCCAAAGTTCCTATTTTGAAGTTCAAAGATAAAGAAACAGGATTTGAAATCGACTTAAACTGTAATAACGCCGTGGGAATTCGAAATACTCATCTATTATATAGTTACGCCCGTCTTGATTGGAGAGTCCGCCCTCTGGTGATTATTGTGAAAATTTGGGCCCAATCAAATAATATCAACGATGCCAAGAATATGACGGTGTCAAGTTACTCGTGGGCTTTGATGGTTATACACTACTTGCAGCGTAAGTAACTGAATAGTTTGAAAAGTTAAATTTTCTGACTTTTTTTAAATTTTAGGTGGAGTAGTTCCCCCAGTTCTGCCCTGCTTGCACGGATTGATCCCCGACAAGTTTAACTCTTTTCCGGAAAATCACTCGATGGATGTCCAAGAAGAACTTCCCACAATAAAAGATTTCCAATCGGACAACACTCTAAACCTGGCGGAACTTCTGATCGGCTTCTTCAGGTATTACACCAATTACGATTTCAACCACTACGCCATATCGGTACGAACCGGCTCCAGCCTACCCATAGATGAGTGTAGATTTACTAAAGCTCCGAAAAACGATCCACACCAGTGGAAATTTCTATGCATCGAAGAACCATTTGATCATACCAATACAGCTCGTTCGGTATTTGATTTGGAATCGTTCAAGCTCATTAAAAACATCATCACGGCCTCGTACGAAATACTCGTTAATACGAAAAACCTTTCTAGCATTCTCCCAGTGAACGGAAAATCGGAAGTAAGATGATACAGCGAAAGTTTTGATCAAATTCTTTTTTACTAAAGTAAATCATGCAAATCCTTAATTTACTATTGGAATCAATCTTCCTATCAATTTTTATTTTTCATTTACCTTCCGCTACATTCTACACTTCTTATTTCGAGGCTTCTGATTCAAATTTCTTTGTTTTTGTTTTGTTTTCTATGTCCCATTCATTTGTTTGTTTATATTTTATAAGAATTATTGAAAACTTCTACTTTTCTTTATATTTTAATAAAAGTAAAAACATAAACCATATAATAGTTTATAAGCTTTAATTTAAAATAAATATTTTTTGGCATGCCAATGGCCAAATAAACTACTATTCTAGTATTTTTCCTTATATTAATGCGAATTTAACTGTATTATATCACTTTCTCAAACAAATTATGTTACGCAAGATTACAGTCCTCTTATTGACATCACTCTGACGTTTGACGTCATGAGTGATCTGTCAATTGTCATGAACTTTATACAAATAGTAAATTACGGACGCAACAGATTTTATTTTAGTTTTTGAACATTCCGAATTTTTGATCGAGGCCATTTTTATAAGATATTTATTACTGTATATATATATTCGGGAGAAATATTTAGATATTTTTTTGTGTATGTCTTTGTTTGTGTTCAATAATTGACCACCACTACAGGAAGAAGTTGTATTGGAATTTAATTTGCCATTAATAACATTTATAAAACTCTTCATATAAAAATCAAAATATAAAGCAATCAAACGGAAGAATCACTCAAAGTGAATTATCATCAAATCTGATGTACTGTTTGTAAAATATCAGCTATTTAATATGTTTGTTATACATCAAATTTGTCTATACGTTTTCATATGTTTAAAAACTTGACAAAGTCAGTATTGGAATATCGAGATTTTATATATAAAAACTTTTTTGTTTAAGACAACTTCAATTTATTTCGGAAAATACTTTCCTAGTCTATTTTTATTATCATTATCAATAACAAGTAATGCATTTCTTTATCAATACATTTTTAGATTTACTCAATTTTTAATTACTATTAGTTTTGCTTTTTTTAATGTATTTATACAGTATGAGTCTAAAATATGTGCCCCTCAATTTTCTAAACTTATATCTTAAATTAGTAAATTTTTGTGTAACTGAAGACATCTCTTCATCATTTTAAAGTTTCAGTAACGTAATCATTAAAAATGGCGGATGGATTCTATTTTGTAAGATGATTTTAAATAGGTTCATAAAGGCAAGTAACAAATCAATTGAAAGTTCTTTTGTCACGTAGTTTCTAGATTACTGATTCTAGAAAATACCTCAGTTTTCCATATTTTGGTAGAATCAAAAAATACGACGTCATCGGCATTTTTCGTAGTTGGTAAAATGCCATGCGATACATTATGTTTATGCAGAAAACCTTAGTTTTCCACATTGTAGAGTAGAATCAATGTGTTTATTTATTGAAAACTGTCAAAAAATGACGTCATCTGCATTTTTCGTAGATGTCAATATGTCAAGTGATACATCATTTAAAAAAATCTTGTTTGCCGAGTATGTTCTTAAGAGTTTTTCCACATTTTGGTAGATTCAATTTGTTTATTTTTTGATGACTGTCAAAAATATGACGTCATTGGCATTTATCTCAGATGACAATATGTCATACGATACATCATTTGAAAGGTATTTATAAGCATTTTTCTTAGATGACAATATGTCATGCGATACATCATTTGAAAAATCTGGTTTGCTCAGACACTTTTCAGTTTTTCCCCTAATAATTTAGCAGTCTTTAGCTTTTATGGAAAATACCTCAGTTCTCCACATTCTGGTAGCATCAACTTACTTGTATATAGATAACTGTCAAAAATACGACGTCATCGGCATTTTTCTTAGTTGACAATATGTCATGTGATACATCATTTGAAAGATCTTGTTCACTTTCTCTGTTCCTAGAGCTTTGTGAGATTCTGTCATGTTTTTTTAAACAGTGATCATTTAATTATGAAAATTGTCGTAAATTGATTCCAAGTAATCGAATAACTTTTCTTGTTTGTAGAATCACACTGCGTGACAATAGTTTTCAAATGATATGTCACATGTCATTCATATTTAAAGGAAATGTCAGTAACGTCATATTTTTGACAGATGTCAACAAATAAACCATTTTCCAGTCCTATGGCTATTAAAATATAAACGGTTGCCATTTTCAAACAAAACAATAGAATTGCACAAGATATATGTACACACTTTCAAATGATGTTACTTGCCATATGATTATTAGGCCACTTATCCAATTATATTACAAAATGGCACTCGTCGGTCATTTTTAATTATTACATCACTGAAACATTATAAAGATAATTAAAATATGCCTTAGTTATCTCAAAATTAACTTTACAGTTTAGAAAATGTTTTAAGACTCTCACTGAACATAACATTATTAAACATTCTAGAATTTTCAATGATTTTTGTCATAATGCTGGTGATTTGCTATCATTCATATAGCCTGAGAAGTAAAATGCATGATTTTTCTATGCAAAACAGTTATTAAGAAATAGGAAATAGTCACACAGGACTAAATCAGGCAAAAATTAGAGTGGTTTATCACTTTTGTCTCACTTAACGCTATCGATCAAAGCTCATTTAATCGAGGAAAGTATTTTCTGTGTATCCCAGTGAGATAATAAGGTCAATTTGTTGTTTTTAATATGTAGTTATTTATAAAACTAAAAAAAATCAAATAATTTAAAATGCTCACTACGAAACATTTATAAAAAATCGCAGTGGGCGCAAAAAAATGTCAGTATTAGTTTCTTTTTGTTTGTAGTATTAAGTTCAAATTTAAATAGCTAACGGAAAAGTATAATGTGTTACAGGTATATAAAAGAAAATTAAGATAAAGTTCGTTTAACAAATTTTGCCGTGGTGTTTGAATGAAACGTTCGTTCAGACAGTGACAGTGCTGTTGTACGTACTTTGGGATTGGCGTCATAGTAAAGTTACCTGAGTGATTGGAATCTTCTTTAATCCTCTTCTCAGGATGTGGGTGCCACGTTTTTTATGCCGATATAAGCAACGCGATCAAAGTTATTCAAGAGAATATTTAACAAACTTAAAAACAAATACTTAAATAATTGGACAGCATGATCGAAAACCAACAAAAAAGTCTTCATATTGTGGTAGATCTAGGTACCCCTGTACCTGCTTCAAGAGACACCTCTTTGTTTCTTTTAATCATATATGTGTTGTATCTCGTAAGAAGTCCAATTCTATGGTGTTAGCTATAACCTAAGATCGTTCATAACACATTTTTTTAAGTACATTTTATGTTTATAGTGTACGTCAGATTTTGATGTTTTAGCTGAAACTAGACCTTTACACAGCATATTGCAACATAATGAAAAGAGAGCAAACAAAATCTTTGTGTTTCGCAATTGAGTGACTGGTAGGGATTGCAATCCAGCAGCATTTTCAGTCCAATTCAGGCTCAGGATTCAGGCCAATCTTGTAAAAATCAAATTTGACTACAATCGACTACTAAAACTTCTTATTTGACGTTTTAGTTTCCAAATCAGATGCCACTGCTAAGTTACCAATACATTTTTTTTGTTCTGTAAGTCCATACGTCAAATGAAGCTGTTTTTCCAATATTCGTGACGTCATTGTTACTGCCTAAACGAACCTGACGATTTTTTTGCGGCTCTAGTCTTAGGATATTGATGATTCTGGATATATGTGCAATAAAACGTTAATCTGTTAATCCGTTATACTTTTCTGATAGAAACTCTTTAGCTTTACGCTTAACTTTGCGGGGTGAGATCCCGTGAAAACTGTAAAAGATACATATCATACAACGGGTGCGTTTCCCTAAAAACAATATTAAGCAACGATGTACATGGATGATATATTTGTTTCTGTTGAACGTTATGAGATTATATTTTTTGTCGTTGCGTGTATGATACATTACTCAGTGTTTTCAGATGTTTATACATTGGTGTAGATAATTCTTAAAAAAAATGTGATGTTACCCTCGACACAAACGCGACGAAATTAGGCAACACAGCCTTAGAACTTTAGTTACCAGTCATACTAGTAATCATTTTGTAGCAATCAACCTAGAAATATTACAAATATGTTGCCACGTTTCGTCCCAGCAAACAAATGAGAAAATACGAATCTACAGTAGATCAGTTTTAGAAAAGGTACTTGAACTAAATGTGTAACAAATCAGTAATGTTAAATATGTAGCCTAGTTAATTTTTAGTGAACAATTTTGTCAATCGTCATTAGAGGGTAGCAAAAAATACAAAAAAAATATTTATATAGTTGTAAGGATTTCATTTGTGATTAAACCTATTTTGATCTCAAAAATGGTGATTTAGCTGCTAAGCGTTTTTGCCAATTTCTTTATATTTTAAACATATTCTGGAATTTGTTAAAAATCACTAATAATACTGGCATAAAAGAATCAAGAAAGGGAAAATTATTACAAAAATACAAAGGAATTTTTATGACCTGAAGAGCTAACCAATTTGCCTTCAGATGGTAAGTACTTTATTATCAACATTTTCCGTCATTTTCTACGGTTTAACCAAATTCCCTTCGTACCGTTACTATTATATTGTAAAACTAATTCCGGAAGCTTTAATAAGTCGGTAGTAACGCGAAGGAGTCCGTAGAACAATAAAGAGAAAAATTACTACAAAAAAATCAAATTTTAATTGATTTTTTTTTACCTGAAGTCCTAATTAATTTGACTTCACCCAGCAATTACTTAATTATCAATATTTTTCGGCCATTTTCCATGATTTTACCAAATTTCGTTTTAACCGTTACCTTTATATTGTAAAATTTGTCCTGGAAATCGTTAATACGAGGGTGGATTGATATAAAACTAGCTTTTGATAGAAAAAACAAGTTTTTTGGAATTAAATCGATTTATTTCTCAACAAGTAGTTCGATACACTTAGTAAGACGACGTTTCAATTTTTTTATCCCATCCGAATAGTACTTTTGCTCGAGTTCTTCAAAATAGGCCGAAGATTCAGCGACGACTTCATCATTTGTTGTGAAACGGCGTCCTCCGAGCCAGTTTTTAGGTTTGGAAACAGGAAAAAATCGCTGGCGGCAAGATCTGGGGAATACGGTGGTGTTTAACCAATTCATAGCCTAATTTCTGTAATTTTGCCAAGGCGACGGCCGATCGGTGAGCCGGTGCATTGTCTTGGTGAATGAGCACTTTTTTGCTTTCCAAACCGGGGCGTTTTCGACGCAATTAGGCATCGAATCGATCCAATAATGCTGCGTAGTACTCACCATTGATTGTTTTTCCTTTTCCAAGTAGTTGATGTGGATGATGTCCTTCGCATCCCAGAAAACAGTCGCAAGCATTTTGCCCGCCGAATGTGCACTCTTTGCCTTCTTCGGTGGCCCTTTGCCGCGTTTTCGCCACTGTTTCGACTGTTCTTTGCGCCATCTATCAAAGGCTAGTTTAATATCAATCTATCCTTGTAACGCAGGAGTCCGAAACACGAGTTTTTCGGACTCAGAGAAACTCTGAGCCATCTTTGTCAATGAATCTAGTAATATGGGAGAAAAACGGTGTGTTAAACAAATACAGCTGTATCCCTTCTGGGCATTTTTACGATAGTAAGATGCCAAATAAATGTTTGACATTTACGATGGTATTTTCCATCGTTGTACCAAATTATTTCAGTATATTATTTTTGCAGAATCACTTAAACTAAGTGTTATTCTTGAGCCACTTTGACAGATACACAATAGTAAATATGGCCTAATAGATAACCAACTGTTGCCTAACTGTAATGTCAATTTGAGTAATATTCATCACATTCTAATTCCAGAATATGTCTGAATTTATGGCAAAGATTATGTTAAATAAAGAAAATAAAAGTCACTACGTGCCAAAAATGTCTAGTATTACGAAAAAGGAGCCCTAATATTGTTTCAAATAAATTATTGCATTCTAAAATATACTACGTCTTCAAAAGACCTTCTCAAGTCTGTTTTACAGAAGAATGTGGAAGAGGTCGAAAGTATAACAGTGGCCTAAAAGGTCGTCCAGTTATAAATTTAGAAGAAATCAGAGTTATCGATGTTCACATTAGTCACAAAACAATATTATACGGCTCTTAAATTCGTAGACTTAATTCTAAATCTACTATAAATTTATTAGACAATATTTAAAGTCGAATACAATAATTGTAAACAATAATATAAAACTTAATATATATCATTTTTATAATTTTTTCCAAATCAATCGAAAGAATATTTTTTACTAATGTGGTCGTTTAAAAACGAGCTTTAGTGAAAGATGTTCGGTCGCCATAGTGTTTCTACTTCTAGAATAAAATTCTTCTAGATAAATTACTTCTTTGTAAAACTCGAGAAGTTTATTTTTTTAAATTTAACTTCTCGGGTTCATTTCCAAATATGTATGAAAAATTATTCAATAAAGTCAAATAAATATTGTATTTCTTTCCTAAAAATCTGTTTTATTTGATTTCCACAATCACAACATTGGACTCTTAAAAAGTATAATCTAGAGTATCACACTATAAACTTTGCAGTGACTTATAAAAATCTCAAAAACAATATTTAGGAATAGAAGCATGGAAAAGTCTGTAACAAAAGACCACCTACGATATTTACAGGGGCCATAAAGTCAGCAGTTTTATTTATTTAAAAATATCTGAGTAGTCAGATATAATAATAAATATAGTTAATGGAAATACCAGGAAATGAAAGAAAAAGGTTTAGACAGTTTAAGGGAGATTTATATAGCCCAATCAAGAAATGAAAAATGCTAGTAAATGGGAAATCAGTCAATACTCACAATCTTAAAGAAGTTTTTATTAATAAAGTTGGTAAATTTTGGGCTACCGGTTTAAAGGCTTACAATATTTGCCCCATCATCAGACCCCAGTACAATATTTTTATTTGTATTAAAAACTAAATGCTAAAACAACATAAAACAAACAATAAACAACTGAAACACAATAAATGACACTAAATAATAACAAATTGAGTGAGTGAGCAGCTATAACATCATTTACAAGTGAGATTAACAAACAAAGTATTCAATATAAGGTTGAATGTTCGAATAAATTAACTTTGATGGTTCACAAGGCAAATATCGAACACAGTATTTAATCAAATCTTGCCCAAGTACTTTCGATCACAAGATCATCTTCAGGCTGTCATTCTGTCTCCGGCTTCTATATAAAATGTAGCTTCTCCAATTTTAAAGTGTTTGTTTGTCTTTGTTTAGTGTATTTGTTATGTCCCAATTTACATTTATGACATTCGGTTACTGCTGGATAGGCCACAACTGACGAAATGCCCCTGAAGATGATCTTGTGATCGAAAGTACTTTGGCAAGATTTGATTAAATACTGTGTTCGATATTTGCCTTGTCTACCATCAAAAAACAAAGTATTGTATTGGGAAATTGGTACCATTGGACATCACCAATCTGATGGAAGCTGCACTAAATAGTCAGTCAGTGGTCATTGTTATTATAGGGTTTATTAAAGGAAAATTGTGTTAGTTGAATTGCATTTAATTTACACATGCATTCTAGACTATGAGCTTTGTGTTCAAGAGCCATAATAACCTCACCATAGAAACAAAAATAAGGCTCCTTAAATGTTACATATACTCAGAGCTTCTGTACCATGGACGTATAAATAAAGATGGACTGGGCATGCCCTGCACTCTGTTCGTCTAAATTTGAAGTCGAAAAGTTTATAGGCGCGGGGAAAGAGGCGAGGTGATAGACTGTGACATTACCTTTTAAGTCATCGGCGTGCCTTCCAATAATTGAAAGGTATTTGAAACAGTTTTTTCATTTGAATAAATATTGACTATTGGTTTGATTGCTTTTATTTTTAGTATCGTAAACATATAAAATATTTCGAATAAGTGAGAAACAACGAACGATGAATAATTTTAATTTTCAGTATATAGAAATAAATATATTTATAAAAATTTATTTACACAAAAGAATAAAGATGGGGTAAATAAAATCTCAAAGTACTTTATATAATATTTTATTTAAACTAGAATAATACACAAGCAATAAAAAGTTTAAAAAATTCTTCCCCAAACATTAACCTGTTCAGGGTATTGAGTATGTTTTTCTCTTATCCAGTGAGTGATACGTTGAAAAAATGTAGTGAATTATATTTTATAACTCCAGATTAATTGTTATTTGGCAACATTAGAAGTCATGTTAGACATAGCAGTAGGCAGAAGAAAGATAAAAGTTCAGGAATATGTATTTAAGAAAATATTAATAAACGTAAGAAAACATAAACTATTGTTTAACAAAACATGAACAACAAACCACATATACAACAATATATAAACACATTAAACCTTATGGATGGGGTAGGTTTCTAAAATAGAAATATGCTTTATTGTCACTGAAAATTGTACAATTTCATGAACAAAACTTACAAAAAGTAAAAAAAATAACAATAACAATTAAAATTTACTAAAATTAGAAAAATGGTCAATGTCATATAATAAAAGATAATAAAATTTACAATTCATTGCAAAATCTAACTAAATTGCAAATTGCATAATAAAACCTTAAGAAGTAGTTTACGAATAAGTTTTAGTTGCTGCATTTGATACCCAAATATATAATACTTTAGTTGCTTGTACCTAAACGTACTGTAATTTCTTAATTTCTCGTTAAGAAGCTCTTCCACTGAATAATATGGTCTTTCAGATAGAAAGGCTTTTGTTAATTTACAGAACTTAAGGAAAGAAGTTGAACTGACTTCGTGATAAAATGTTCATTTCAACAAGAAAGGACATAAGTCGGGCTCTTATAAATCTTTAATCATTTTAGATAGGATGTAATTTTTGTTTTCATTCTTCTTACATATTGTTGTAAATACTTTATTTTACTTTTTTGACTCTTAACTTAACTCACTTTTTATAAATATTACGTGGAACATATGAAAAAGTATTATCACCAAGTAACAACTCTACAGTTTCAGTTTCTGATGCTGTAATGGTGCTCGAAGGTGCATTTTCTATATCTATACTTTCCTTGTTTTCTTCATTGTCATTTAAACATATAGAATAATAAATTTATGTACATTAAAGAAAAATATTAAAATTAGTTTAAGATTGAAATAATCTTATACAAAATTTATCCAAAACTCACCTCCTTTTTAGGAGAATTAGATTTTACATTAAGGCCCAAGTCTGTCTCCATATTACATTTTTCAGTATCAATGAAACTCCTAAAATACTGTGAGTAATTTTAATATTAAAATGAAATAAGTAATTAAAATCCACATTTAGATTTATTTGTAAATTTAATTAACAAATTCGATCCAAACTCACCTTTTTGACGGTCCATAAAAATCATCCATATCAATACTACTGGAAGTTGTTTCTTTATTTTCCATATCGTTTGTAGAACTGAAACATTGAATTAATATACTATGCGTGTGCATTATAGTTATTATACTCTGTATAGTAAATTACATAGAAATTCATTATAGTTACATTAGTTCTGATGATTTATGATAAATATTTATTGGAACAGTTCCTTTCCTCATATTAACCCGTGCACTTGGTTGTATAATTAGATCATGCTTTCTAAAGTGTTCTGAGCAGACCATAGCAGTTTTGGTTACTTGTTCTTTATTTAAGCCGAACATAGACAACCACATATCTAGCAGCTGTTGATTCTTTACTGGGAACCTGCATATGATATTTCTTTGAAATTAATATATTTATAACAATTATAGTGTAGATTAGAAAAAATAAATAAATGTATTTATAATACGACAAGATTTACTTTATTTCACAAAATTTAATTTCAATTCATGTCAAGAATTAAGTAATATCACATCCCTGTACTACGCTCATGGACGTAATTCCAATGTTTACTTACGAACGAAATGACAGTTCTGGATGAAAATATTAACAAATTCACTAAAATGTCACAAAAAAGGAAATTATCAACTCAAAGGTAAACAGTACAACGCCATATTCCTTTTCGTCAAATCACTACGATTGGTTAATATTACTAATAATGCCAAGTTTTACATAAAGTTAACATTATCAGAATATATTTTCTTTTAATAAATTAAAAAATTAATGTTTTTCTTTTAATTCCTTGGTTGCGAAATGAGTATATCTAAAAATAGTTTATACTAACTAAATAATACATTTTTATCTATAAATTAAAATCAAATTATACTAAAAATCGAAAATTATTTCGAAGATTCGCTTGGAAAAAAAAAATAATATGACAACGTCAATTATGTCTATGACCATAGATGTCTATGACTGTGACGATCTCATGGCTTCATGTACAGATTTAAATAGCCCGGCCCTTCTTTATTTATAGGTCCATGTTATGTACGGAGTAGAAAACTCTATCAAAACTTCAGGCTTTTGATCTATGGTTATACATAAGGATCCTGAAGATACCATGGACAGACAAAGTCACCAATGAAGAAGTACTGCGGAGGATGAACACAACCGCGGATTTGGTCTGTATACTGTAAGCTAAAGTACTTGGGACATATAATGAGAAATTAAGGCAGATATGAGCTATTTCAATGCATTTTGCAAGGTAAAATTGATGAAAAAAGGGCGAAGAAGAATATCCTGGCTTGCTATCCTAAAAGCATGGTATAGAAAGACCTCAACACAGCTATTTCATATAGCAACCAACAAAATCAGAATGATCGTTAACATTCAGAATGGACAGGCACCCTAAGAAGAAGTGGAATTTGTTTCGTCACAGATTAAAATGTACATTAAATTCAATTCCACAAACTAGAAGAACATTGTGTTAGTTGAATTGAATGAAGTAATATAAAAACCCCAGTACAAATAAAAATATTGTACTGGGGTTTCATGATGGGGCAAATATTGTAAGCCTTGAAACTGGTAGCCAAAATTGACCAACTTTATTAATAAAAACTACTTAAGGTTGTGAGTATTGACTCATTTCCCATATACTAGTATTATGGACTCACATTGGCAACCTTTTTATCAAATGACGAATTTCATGGGAAAATTTATTGCAGTATCTGATTTTTTCTGGTCAGGAAGTCAAAAAAATATAACATTAACTATAAAAGGTGAATGTGATCACCCAATAAGTCATCTAAAAAAATGCAGATTATAATCAGGAGAACAATTTCTCTGTAGTTACCACATATTATTTGATCTTATTTCTTGTGAGTAAATACAATTATACCTACTCTTTCAGTGCTTTAAATAGCTTTTTTACTTCTTTCTCTGCAGGGATGTCATCTAGCTATATTTATGCTTCTTGAGCACATATTTTTCAGTCTCTCTACAATGATCTCACCTTCCCTGTTTTTATTGAATAAAAATCTAGGTTTGAATTCCTTTCTATTCCAATTAACCCTCCTACGAAATTTCCGCATCTCATTTGTGTGTTAGAACAATGGTTAAAATCTCTAACTACTATCTGTATATGGGCCATACAGGAATGTTATATGTTGAGTATATCATGCATTTCCTGACTATTAGTTTTTGCTTTTGAGTTCCTTGACCAGCAGTCCTCAACTTAGTATGAATTGATGTACCTCAAGGTTGATTTTCAAAATTTAACCTGAAACGCTTATTCAGAAAGTTCTTTTTATTAAATTAATAAGGTATTCTCGATTTTAATAGTATAAATAATAAACATATTTACAAATTATTAATACAAACAATAAAATCAAACATATAATTATTTATTCATACAATTCAAAATCTATTCTGCTCGAAGAATAAAAATTGGAATCTTCTCCACATTTTCTAACCATTACCCCACTTTTAAAGTAATTTTCTTGCGACCATTTCACCATTTGTGAGGTAGAATACGGACCTTGTACATCCTCATCCTCAATTTTCCATTTAAATTCCCACATTAATGGCGTACTTACTTTAGGAACATCTTTATCATCATCAACTGCCTCATTGCTACTCGAAGTTGTTACTATTTTTGCTTTCTCCTTCTCATCAAAATCATCAGCATACATATCCAGTTCAGCTTCTTTAACAACTTTTTGTTTCTTATTTTCACTAGCATCAACTTTACTTTTAATATGCTCGTAAGTTTCTTGGTAAACATCCATATTACCTAGCTTTGTTAAAATTTCATTTGCTAGTTCAGTAAGGTCGGTAACATCTTGAGAGCCAGTTAAAGTTCCAGCCTTTTTACGTTTTAGCCTTTCGACACTTGATAATTTCATATCAGCACCCCCTAAACGTTTTAATGCCTTATTAACAGTCTCTTTGGGATTCATATACTTCAACATTTTTTTGTATGAACCAATCTCATCAAAATGTTCGTCTTCATCTTCAGAATCACTTTCAGCACCCAAACCTTCTTCATATACTCTGTACTTTTTGTCACTTTCTGCATTTTCTTTAATTTTCTGCCAGTCGATGTTGTCAAGCCAACTGTCTCTTATTTCTTTTTCATTGTTCCAAATAAAATGACCATCCTTATCAAAATGACCTTCTTCCATTTCTTCATTCATGTTAAATGCTGTCATTTTTTGTTCCCCATCTTGTCTGGCTGTTCCTTCTTCCTCTCCTAAAAAAAAAAATAAATGCAATATAAAGTTTCTTTGAATACATTCATTTATTATCAAAAATTATATTACTAATTCTTGTATTATCTCTTTGAGAAGAGAAACTAGTTGGAATGTTAAGGTCTCAATTACTTCCATGGTATAGTACTTCTAGATATTGAAACAAATCTTATATAGTAACAAATATATACGGGAGTCACACGATAAAAGTACTAGAGGAAGAACTAAAGGAAGCTGAATAAAATTCATAAAGGCACTGCCTGGGACATGGACTCTGATCAATTTTAAGCTCACTTATTTTTCCATTTAATATATTCAATGGCAGTAACAAAATAACGTAACATAATTAAGATAAATTACCCTCGATATCATCAGTATTTAAGACATTATCCTCTTCAATTTCGTCATCTTCCTCATCACTATCCAAAGTATGTTTTTTGTTAGTTTGACGTCCGTTATCTATAGTTTTAAATTTTGTTTCGCTAAAAGCGTTTTCGTAGTTCCTTTTGGACATATTTTCAACAGATTGCCAAATTGGGTTAAATATCTTTATCAAAATTTAATTATATTAAAAAGTATTATGGAAAATCAGCTACTGAGAAAATGAGAATATAAACAAAAAACTAGGGATACGAAACTATCGATACACTATCGATAATTATCGAAAATCAAAACTATCGAATACTATCGATAGTATTTTAAACTATCGAAAATAATCGATAGTGTCATGTGTCATGGTCTTGAAAGCCCGGAAACAAGTATGAAGTGTGTTTATTTGTTTTTGTTTATTTGTTTATGTCATTGTGGTTAAGTTAACTGTTAAACTCATTTACCGTTATTCCTTAATCTTTGATAATTAATAAAGTTTATTTAATTGTTGTTAGTGTCTGTTGGATACAATATCTTGCTATTTATTGTTCAATCCACGTACTTGAAAGGATTCTGCAAGAGGTGACTTAACTGTTTTACTATGGATAAATTTTTAATTTCGACAAAACGTAAAAGCAATGGTAAGTGAGAATATTGTTTTAATTTTGTCTTTGCTAATAAGATATTATTGCTATATTTTAGTATCTGATAGACCAGAAAGCGAAGAAAGTGACCAAGGCTCTAGCTCTACCTCTGTTAGTTCAACTCCTCAAAGGAAGAGACAAAAAATGTCTTTAGTTTGGAACTACTTTACAAAGTCCTTATTAGACAAAAAGTTTGCTAAGTGTTGCACTTGTGGCAGAGAGTATAAAACAAGCGGAAATACAACGAACCTAACTGATCATTTAAAAAGGTTTCATCCCAATTTAAATAAGCCACTATTAGAAACATCAGGTAGTTAAATCTCAGGGTTGTTTTATTTAAAGTAATAATTTTAATGTTTTTAGGTGAAGATGAAATAGGCAAAGAAAATTATGCAAGATCAAATGTTCGTTCTATAAGCCCCTTTTTTAGACGAGAACAAGAGTATGATGCTAACTCTCAAAGAAAAAAAGAATTAGATAAGGCTCTTGCAATGATGTTGGCTACAGACTTTCAACCGTTTTCTATTGTAAAAGATAGTGGATTTATAAAATTTGTCCAGTTATTAGATCCAAGATATGTACTTCCATCACCTGACACTTTAAAAAATACTGTGTTGAAAAATTTGTATGATGACGGAGTGAAAAAACTTACTACAATTTTAAACGAAATAAAATATGTGGGTCTTACGACAGATATTTGGACCTCATCAGCTAACGAGTCCTATATTTGTTTAACGTGCCATTTTATAAACAAAGACTGGGAAATTAAAAAGGCTGTTTTAAAAACAAAAGTAATGGATACTAATAACACATCAGAAAATATAGCAGATTGCATAAGAAAGATTTTAGACGAATACAAAATATCTGATAAAGTATCATGTATCGTAACGGATAACGCGGCTAATATGATAAAAGCTTGTGATCTGTTACGAAAAAAACATTTACCATGCTTTTCACATACGCTAAATCTGGTTGTCCAAGATAATCTAAAGAAGCCAATTACAGCAGATGTGTTAAAAAAATGCAAAGAAGTTGTTACTTATTTTAAGTCTAGCTGTGTTGCATATAAAAAATATATAGAGGAGCAAAACCAGCTTTGGAAGGGAACAACAAATGAGGGAAAAACACCATATAAATTCTTACAAGAGGTTCCCACAAGATGGAACAGTGTTTATTATATGATAAAACGAATACTACTAATATCAGATGCTATAAATAATACATTACTAAAGCAGCGAAATGCTCCTGGTCCCTTTTCTGTCAATGAGCTTAGCGTATTAGGTGATTTGGAGAAAATCCTTTATATTTTTGAGGATGCTACAGAAAAAGTGTCAGGTGAAAAGTATATAACTGTGTCACTAATAGTTCCTCTTGCATTTGGTATATACAATTATTTAACATCTTTACAATTGAACACAGAAATTGGACAAGAATTCTATACTGGTGTAATTGATTCTGTTAGAAGGCGGTTATTTAACTTCGAAACAAGATCAATTCCCAAAATTACTGCTTTATTGGACCCCAGGTTTAAAAAAGATGGCTTTAGAACCACTGAAAATGCCAATCAAGCAGCCAATCTGTTGGAAGAGGAAATGGCAGCCATTATTTCAGGGAATAGAAAAAATACTCAAGAAGAAAATGTCCCAAATAATAGTTCCTCATCAACAGTAACTAGTTCGAGTAGCGTCATTTTTAATTTTTTAGATAAAAAAAATAAGGACAAAGCAACAAATGTAAAAGCGGATGCCATAATTCAAAAGAGGCAGTATCTTGAAAGACCCAATTTATCTGGAGATACTGATCCTTTATTATTTTGGAAGGTAAATATTGTAAATTATAAACATAGATATTTTAAAGATTTCAGTTATTTTGTAGGTGAATGGAAGAGAATTTGAACCGATGCAAGAACTGGTTCAGAAATATTATTGCATACCTGGATCTTCTGTCGAGTCTGAAAGAAATTTTAGTACAGCAGGGCTCATTTTAAATGATCGCAGATCCCGACTAAAATCCAAGTATGTGGACCAATTAATTTTTTTAAATAAAAATTATTGGTTATTCCAATAATTTGTATTTTTTAATTTATACTCAAATAGTAATAAACTATATTTTATTAATAAAATTTTGTTATTACCCCTCCAGTATATTTCCATAAATTTTGTCAAAAAACATATTAGAGTTATTGCAAATGTCAATAAAGGATCCTTTAATAAAGTACAAACACAAATATATCTTCAAGAATCGATATTGAATAAATTTATAAATAAATACATTAGTGACGAATTGTAAGTATTTTCTTATAAGCACATGATATTGGTGTTTCATTTTAAAAATGAGTTTTTTAATAAAAACTATTCATATATAAATATTAATCTATAAACCATTAAAACTTCAAAAATTAAACCTTTTTCATTGTGTTAACTTGTATATATTGTTAATACACTTGGTGTTAGATATCTGTTGAATGAAATATTTACTCTACTTTTGAACCCGGAATTTTAAAAAAATTTAAACTATTGCACAATGTTTGTAGCATATTTGTGCATAAAAATTTATTGAAATTAGGTAGGTAGGTATGTATATAAAAATAATTTATTTCTATACAGTCATGAATTTAATAAATGAGTTATAAAGAAATCTATCCTGTATGTATGTCTATGATCATTGTAATAATAGTTATTAAACACTTTGTTAAACAAAGTTGTTTATAAATTCCTTAAAGGTATAATAACTGGAGCTTCAATAAATATGTTCTTTTTTAAATTGATTTGGCTCAAAACATTAAGAATATACGTCTGATATAAACTTTTATTTGTGAGTTCCTGTTAATAAATAAAACAAAACAACAAACTTGATCAAATACAAATTATATTTTTTGGATCCTATATCTAACCCTAACCAAACATTTTTGTTAATTTGTTACAAATTACAAACAAAATGTGGCACGTGACACGTGATGTGATGATAAATAGAAGTGAAGTTAGAGCTCTTCTTTTTTCTTCACATAATTTGACAAATTATGTCAAAATAAACGGTCTTGGCCTGCATTTTCCAAGGACGTATATTGGGCAATACTGCGCGTGCGTATATGTCAAAATAAAGGACTATCGAAAACTATCGATAATTATCGATGTTTGCACGCTTACCTATCGATAACTATCGATAGTGGACACTATCGATAGTTTCGTATCACTACAAAAAACTGGAGGGGATGGTGGAAAAATGTCATTTTTATTTTTGTCTTTAATATTGTTAGCATTCAACCACTAAAAGACGCAATTATTACAATTTCACAGGTTTAATCCTATATTTATCTTGTATAGTTATATGTTATATTCTGTAATATAATTATTTATTAACATTTTACCATTATTTTGGGCTAGAGATTTGTGTCTACAAAATTAAACCATTATAGGTTAATAAAATTTATGTAAAGCATTACAATTTTTAAATATAAATCAGTTAAATACTCAAGTATAAATAATATTTACGATAATAACTTATATAAATGCAATATATTTTTTATGTTGTTATTTATATTTTTTATAATTTATACCACTAATTTCGGGAGGACATCTATTGAGCAATCTACGAACAGCAACGTTTATCCCCACTTTTTTATTATTTGACGTTTAGCTGTCATATCCACACGAACAGATGACTTAAATGAAAATTTTTATTAGTTGCGAAGTGCGAAGTGTCGCTTTCGGTAGTTGTTTTGGTTATACATATACAGTGCAATAGAAGACAACAGAAATTTTGAGGTATTTATTAATTACTACTGATATTTACATATATGTTAATTTGCCAGCAAGATCTTTTATACAGTATTATGACTCCTGTTGTATAATCTAACCTGAAAATTAATTTGTTGAATGCTGGAAAGTGAAAGGAAAAAGAGAAATGCTCCACTTTTATGTTGTAACAATTGTGAATATTGTAAGCAGTTATATTCTACATTAATTTTTATAATATAAACTAAAAAACTTAGCGATTTTTAAAATTATTATGGTAGTTGCCTGAAGTTACCTAACTTGATGTTTATTATTAAAATAGCTTATAAAATAGCTTCGACTTAGTAATTTGCCTTTGGGTTTTGTTTGTTTGGATTTCCCATATGCTAATGATTTCGTCTTAAGCCGACCTTGCAGATTTCAATAAATTTTATTTCTCTATTTGGATATTTTTATACTTGGCTTACAACACTTTTTAACACTGTTTTATACTTAGAGATCGTTGTTTCTGTTAGTATGTATGGCAGTACTTCCAGGAATTATGTAATGACAATTACAGAACAATATATTTTAATATGTTTTTAAAAGTTATATCTATATTTTAAAACTGTTATTGCCTGTTCAAATTCCTAGATAAAATGTTTGTTTATTACTTTGTGGACATTCAGTTGTATATATTAAATTTAAATAAACACAAGGGCGGCTCTACCGATGGGCCACCTTCCCCACTAAGTAAAATTTGTTGAAAAAAACCATACAATGAAAGCTTTTTACCTTAAAAAACTCCACATTCTTAACAATATCAGGTGGTTAAACTTCTCAAGTAAGATTTTGTAACAGAGCAGCCAACACTATGTAGGATATATTTTTTTATAACAGTAATACAGACATTTTAAATTTCTATCCATTTCCTAGTCCTTAAGTAATTATCTATTTATTACTCTGTCAATGAGCTCACCCAAGAACATTTTCTTAAGGTTAAGTTTTAGAGAAAACATTAAAATTTGTGTAATAGTAATTAATACTTAACATCAATAATAGTAATGAATATCTATAAACAAAAAAATAATTGTGGATAAAATATTTAAAGCACTTTAATACCAAAATATTGCAGAACTTGTTGAAGCAAGCGGTTACACCATGAAGCAAATAAAAACCAAATACAGGAATGTTTAAGACAATTTATCAACTGTATATTTCTTCTATTTTATAATTGAAATTCAATAGGATTGTCAGGGACTCATGTACTATACACTTGATGGAAAACGGCTACATCCTGATATATTTAACATCAAACAAATTTGCCTTTCAATTAACATTTCTGCCTCTTACATCTGAACATCTGTTATGGACCAAGTACACTCCTTGTGTTGTTAATTTACAGTGAGCGGCATAAGCGTCAAAAGTTTATTGATTCTTCTTCTTAGCGTTTAGTTTGTTTTCTAGTTTGATGTTTATACACTCTGGTCCAAAATTAACCACCCACCTTAAAAATGGGTAATATTTTATGTCATATCTCCTAAACCTGTTGTCTGATTTAAGTGATTTTTTTAATATGTTATAGCCTTATTCATTGACAATATTCTTATAATAATATGGTTGCTAAACAGGTAAATTTTCATTGTATACCGGGTGTACAAATTAAACTGTATTTTTTTCTTAAAGTTTTGCATCACCCTTTGTAATATTTAATATTGGCATTTATAAAATATTGAAATTAAAACCTAACTATAGCCTCATGTTTTTTCAACATTTTGTTTTTTGATTCATTCTCTTATTTTGGATAATACAAAAGTTAGGTAGTTTAACAACTAGCCATGTTTTTCACCAATACAGACGATTTAACTAACCAACAAAATTAACCCCATCACCTTTATTATTGTTTTGTTTACATTACCTATGACAGTTTGTTTCCTAAATTTGTGTCATAGAAGGATTTGTGACATATAGTCATTGTACAACATTGTTGTAAATCTGTTTCCGTGTTAATAACACTTCTTGAACAATTTGTAATTAAAATTAGCAATTAAAATTGTAATTTTACATCATTGTGAGCGAATATTGTTTAAGTTGAAATTTTAGTGCTTATTTATTGGTTGTCATTTTAAAAATGCCACTTGTTCCAACTGATGCTGCTAGGGGCAGTGGCTTTAGTTGATGCTGGTTACAGTTCAACAGAACTATGGTACAAGATGCCATAGACGATTTCGGGAGACAGGATCGTACAAGCGCAGGCCAGGTCAAGGCCGAAAATGTTGCACTTCAGTGCGAAATAACCACTTAATTGTCACTAAAGTATTGAGAAATCGCTTTTGCACCGCTCCTGAAGCTCGTAGGTTTCTTCTTGAGAACCGTTAGTGTGAGTAGACAAACGATTAGAAGAAGACTGTCAGAAATAAACTTAAGGGCTTTTCGTCCAGCTCCGCGCCACAACTGCTTCCACAACACCATAGGGCTAGACTTCATTTTGCGCGAGAATATGCTAACCGGACTATGGCGGAATGGAAGAATATACTTTTCTTAGATGAGAGCAGAATAGCCCTAAAAGGTCCAGATGGATGCCAACGTGTCTATAGACGTTAAAATGAAAGGTTTGCTTCATGCGCTATAGTCGAAACAGTGGCTTACCGAGGAGGGTCAATAATTATTTGGGGAGGTATTTCTTACGAAGCGCGTACTGATCTTTTTATGTTCGGTATAGGCAGTGTGAATGCCCAAGTATACATGCAAGAAGTTCTCCAAGATCATGTCATGCCTTTTGCACCATTCATTGTTGTTGATCTCCTCTTTGATTTCGTCTCTTGTGATTTTATCTTTCAACTTCTGGATGTCCGGACGTTTTTGTGCTTTTCTTTTATGGACTTTTTTCATGCGGAATTTGAAACGTCCTAGTAAAAGATTATGGTCTGATGGAAAATCTGCTCCCGGATATGTTTTTGCTTTGTAGTCAATCTTTTTGATATGTAGTCAATCTGATTTCTAATCATTTTTTTGGGCATTCAGCTGGAGATTTCCAGGTGTAGTCTTCGAGGTGGTAACTGGAAAAAGGTGTTCATTATTGGACTATCCGTTTCCTGGCAAGACTGAACAAGACGGTCCCCTCTATCATTTCGCGTTCCTAGTCCAAAGTGTCCCATAGTATTCCCAACACCTCCTTTGCTACGTTGGCGTTGAAATCTCCTAGCAGGATATTCAGTTCTTGTTTGGTGTGTTTTAGAGATTCTATTCATTTAAGAATTTTATTCATAGAATATTTCTATTTCCTGCTCTGAGCTTTCCGAAGTTAGAGCATATGCTTGAATAATGTTCACGTTAACTGGTTTAGCATTAATTTTGAGTACTGCAACTGTATCTGATATTCCTATAAAACTAAGTACACATTTGTTATGAGACACCCTGCATTAAGACTTACCCTGTATATATCGTACTTTCAGTTAATAAAAAATATGGTAAGCTAAATGTTCTTACTGTTCGCCAAAGATTTGTTGAGCCGTTGAAACATTAAATCGTGTCGGATCATTATAATATTTTTATTTAGATCTGTTTAAATTACAGTTAAGTAGAATAAATTTAATATGAGCGGCGGACTAAGAATTTAAGTCAGTTTGAAAATTACTTACTTAACCGACACAAATTGCCTTGCCGGTTTCGAATTGTCGTCGTAGATATATCGGAATTAAGAGTTAGAAAACATTCTAGACTCTTGAATACAATCTTTAAATTCAAGTCAATTAAATTTTCGCATTAAAAACTAATACCACTTTAATTGGCGCAGTGCTCACCGAAATATATTCTTGCCCTTTGGGAAGTTTATTTTGTGAAAACTTTGCCAGAAGTAAGGGATGGCAATTATAAAGCCCTTTCGATTAATTATCAAAGTTAAGAAACAGAAAAAGTTGTTTCTGTATTTACATCAGCTTGATCCATTAAATATTATATTTCTTGCTATTTTCTTCCATTCCTCTTTGTTTTCGCACGGGCCCTAAATAATAATTAGGATGAATCGAAATATCGAGACGCGTACTTTGCGGTATACATAATATATTACTTTGAATTTTTTGAGAACATTTTCTCCATCACATTTTTGGTTACATCGAGCGGGGCTTAAGTATATCAACAAGTTGCAGAGTCCTGGCATCTCGATGAAGACGTTGAAGGGCTTTGACATGTTCGTGCGTATAGCCGTTCGGAAGTTTCTGTCCCTCAATCGTACGTGCGCCTATGTTTACATCCACGCTCCCACTAATGAGGGTGGACATGGCCATGCACGTCCAGGCTATCATGAGAAGGAGACTGACAATATTAATCAGCTCAGCTCATTAACCCTCAGTTTACCATACATGTCACGTCATCATCATTAGGCAATTCCGCATCGATCGCACGTGAATTGAGCCAGAAACTTGAGGGCGGCAATAGCGGAAACAAACTTCGCCAGGGCTCTTCACATTCCGAAAGCTCTGTCTGGATAAGCAATCCACCGCCCTACTCATCGGGGAGAGATTGTATCAAAGCAATCCAACTGCGAGGAAATCTTCTACCAACAAGAGGCATTCCTTCAAATCGTATTCTTTTCAGTACTTTCCTTTCGAATGTGTCGACTTTGCGTTTCTTTCAGGACCCATGCTTCCCTGCCATAGCATGCTATTGGTCGAATTAAGGTTTTATAGATTCTAATCTTTGTATTTCGGTGGACATTTTTAGACCGAAATATATCGTTCCTTGAATACTATAACTAAGTAACTAAGTAATGGTCGTTTCTAAGGATATCAATTTAAAATTTTGAGCAGAAAAAAAAATCACAAAATGATGTCAGAACTTGTTTTTTTTGGTTCTAATATGATAGTATATTAAATGAGCTAAAATCTTTTTATTGGTAACAACAAAAATATAATTTTTTGAAACAAATTTGATAAAATGCGAGATATCCACTTGTAGCACTAAGACAAATAGACAGAAATCGACATATATGGTTCTAATACGTTAATAAATTATTGTATAAGCGTAAAAATAAGTTTTTATTAGTTCAAAGT